GGATCCACAGAGTCCAGCCTCAACCACCTCATCCACTGTACCTTTGGTTGCAACAACAACCACCATTACTAGTACTCAAAATATTGAGATGAAACAAGTAGTTGAGCCTTCTGCATCCTCTTCATCGCCTCAGAGTACGACAAGTTCTTCAAATTCAGGAGATCATTCTCAACAACAACAACATGCATCTCCTTCTCAAATCATCATCACCACTACCAACGAAGAAGTGCCAAATCAATCTTTCCAAAATAGTAATGAACTCGATAATGTTGTGTAATGAATGTTTCTGAAATTCTATTCTTTCAATAAATAGTGTATTCTAGATGGATTGAGAGGATTTGTAAGCAGAAAATGCATTTTCTGATATCGTGTCGTTCATTGTCTTGTTACTCAATCCAAATACGTACCCCATCAATAATTTTATTATCACAAAAAAATATCACAACACCACGAGTTCTGATTGAAGTTGAGAACGACACGTCGTCAACAACAAATCAACCTGACCGCCCACAAACACAACGCCCAATTTTTCATCCATCATACACTCCATCACGATCATCCATCAAGTCATTTCTGTTTTTTTACAGCACACACATCTAAAATCACACAAAAACTTTTGACAAGAAATACCCATTAGCCTGACGAGTGGTTGAGCATTCACACTTTTTACTGCATCATCATTTTACCTCAGAATCTAGCATCTAAACAAGCGACAAACAAAAATAAACATGATCGGTATCATTGCGGACGCAGCAAGCAACCTTCAACAAGAACGCAATTTAGAAGAAGTACAACCGACAGGTTCAGCAGCATCTTCTGCAAACACGCAAACAACCACTACCACCACGACTCGACCTACCAAGAAATACAATACTGGAGGCTCATCCAAAAAGTACATTCCTAGCTTCTTTTCCGAAGCAGATTGTATTGTTGGTTGTAATAACTATGATCCTTATGACCAACAACCACTCTTAAATCCCGATGAAGTTGTAATTTCTACCAAGAATCTCATCTTTGAAAAGTATCATGGAGAAAATCACTTGTTGAGTTCTTTAAAGTACACGCTGAGAGTTTGTACAGTAAATTGTGGATTACCTGATATGTGGGTGAAAATTGAATTAGTTTGTGGTAATTCAAATACTCCTATTAAGTGCGTGAAAAAAGAGAGACGTGGAAAGCGAGGACTTAAGGGAAGATGTTATCAAGAATTTGATATTTCAAAGGTTGGTTGAAGAGAATGATCATGGTTTTATAATACTGTCCTACATCATGATGATCCTATTTATATTGTGGTTCATATACCATTGTGGTGTGCATGAATATTCATTCATACATACATGAAATGCACAAACATGTAAATGTTTGAATATTAATTTATTGATGCTTGGTCTATCACACTCATAATCATACCAACAGCATGGATATTTAAAAGCTAAATTAGAATTTCGTTTTCGTGAAACAAGTAGTGACAATGCCTCTGACAAATTCAGACTCAAGTTAGATATTTACAATGAGACGACGTGTTTACTGACCTTTCTGAGTCCTCGATTTAGAACGGTTGTGAGATCTCCACAACGAGGAAAATATAAATTATTGAGAGAACAATTGGTATCTCAGGGAATTACTGGAATACCTTATGAAAAGCCTGAGGATGAAAAAAGTGATCAGCAAGATTCATCGGACAAGTCTTCACCCTCCAAATTGCAACCAATTCCACAACAAGATTCCGCGGTCTTGTCGAATTTAACTCCACTGTTAGAAGCTGCTGTTGGTTTAGCAGGGTCAGCATCTACGACAAGTAGCAGTGGCAGTAGTGGTGGAAAACGAAAACGAGGAGAAAAGAATGCAACCAATAAAACAACGAAATAAACTGCGCATTCAACAACTCTGACAATGATTTTCAACTCAGCAAAATTTTCACAGTGAATTTTGCGATTTTACAATTCAAAAAAAATGTCGAACAACAAAAAACAAAGATTTGAGCGTTACATCGACAAGTCTTCCATTCCAGGTCATGAAGAAAAATCATCATCGGGAAAGACCAAATTCAATGTAAACCAAGCAAAAATTGATGATGTTAAAACGGCATTGGAAAATGATACCAACGCTCCATCATGGTTGAAAGGAGGTGCATATACCGAGGAAGATAACCCCCATGGTCTCGCTGACCGTTCCGATTTCATAATTTTGTTTCCACAATATAGAGAACAATATCTAAAGGAGAATATTTCTCAAATTGAATCCACGTTAGCAGCTTCACCCTACTATTTAAAAGTTACATTAAATTGCAAAGAAGGTAAAATGATTGTGGAAACAACGGATAAGACCTTTGACCCTTTTATTATATTTAAAGGAAGAGACTGTTTACAATTAGTAGCAAGAGGTGTTCCGTTCCCACAAGCTAAGAAAGTTTTGCAAGATGATGTATTCTCGGAAGTTATAAAGATTGGAAATTTGTGTAGAAACAAGGAGGTGTTTACGAAAAGAAGACAACGATTATTCGGACCTGATGGATCTACTTTGAAAGCTCTTGAAATTCTTACAGGATGCTTCATTTTCATACAAGGAAAGACAGTGAGTGTGATTGGAGAAGTGAATGGCATTAAAACTGTCTCTGAAGTCATTTCAGACTGCATGAATAACATTCACCCTATTTATCACATTAAGCAATTGATGGTAAAACGAGAATTGAAAAATAATTCTGAATATGCCAACGTGCCTTGGGACAAGTATTTGCCAAAATTCAAGAAGAGTGTCAATAAGAGTATTGTGAAGAAGAAGAATAAGAAATTGAAGCCAAAGAAGGAATACACACCATTCCCACCAGCTCCTGAAAAGAGTAAGAAAGATATTGCAATTGAGACAGGTGAATATTTCTTGTCTGAACAAGAGAAACAACGAAAGCGAGAGGTTGAAAGGTTAGAACAACAGCAAGAAAAGAAAATTGAAAAGAAAAAAGAGAATGACAAGCTGTATCAGCCACCAAAAGAAGAAGAAAATCCAAAGAAGAGAAAAGTTGACAGTGTTATTGAAACTGACGACAACTTGATTAAGAATATCTCACAAAGACAAACCAGCGGCCTTATTGCTCAACAAAAGAAAAAAACTAAGGCGTCAGATTTCATTGATAATTAAATTATTCTTGTTGCCTTTTACTCAGAGTATCAAGTACATCTTTCACTTCTTTTGTTAACTGGTGATTATCCCCGAGTACGTACGAGAAAATGCTTCTAGCTTTCTCCAGATGCTGTGCACCCTTTTCGTAATCTCCAATGAAAACAAAGTACATGCCACTGACTTCAAAAGTCTTCCCAGTTTCAACATGATTTTCTCCAATTTGTTGAAGCATTGTATTTAGAATGTGTTCGAACATTTTCTCAGCGTCCGTTACTTTATCTTCATCTAAATCTTGTAGGGAAGTTTTAAAACTCTTTTTTCTGTTTTCTACATCTGCATTGTCAGTTGATTTGTTAAGGCCATTTAGCAGAACTGCTGACAATTGGTCATACCAAATATCTACAACTTTTTTCATGAAAGATATTCCTTTTTCTGCTTTGCCTTGCATTGAAACGAAAACGTTGCCTAAATTGAAATACGCAAAACTTGTCACAAGATCATGAGTTCCGTGCTCTAGGGCTAAATAATATACACTGGCAGCCATATTTTCTACTGCCTCGTTAACTTTTCCTTGCTGTACATATAATAATCCAAAATGTTGATGTAACTCTGCTCTTAAATTTGGTGAACATTTTTCCTTATTCTTCATGCATGTCCAATTTGCGATTGAAAGATATTCCTCAGCTTGTTTGAATTGTTCCATTTGTTGACTAGCCTTGGAAAGGAGAAAATAAGCTTCTACCTGTTGCAAGGCATCCTTGCCATATAACTTTTGAATGTATTCAAGAGCTTTCAGTCCTCCAACGGTTGCTTTTTTATAGTCCCCTTCTTGTAGGATTGTTGTGCTCTCACTTAATGCAACCTCAATGATGGCCTCGAGACTTAATTCAAGTTGTTTAATATATTCTTGTTTTTGTTGTGCAGTTGTCCCACTGAAATTACCTTGTTGAGGTGAATTTAACTGCACAATGAGGTCATTGAATTTTTGTTCTAATTGCAGCCAATTCAATCCAGATCTTCCTTTGGCTCTAGTATCTCCATTCTCCGATTCTTGATTTAAATCAGAAAGAAACAGGTTGGATGATTTTGAGAGTAGCGTTGATGTCATTTTTTTTGGCGGACTAAAATTTACAATTATTCATTCATGCAGAAAACTTTAATTCTTTCTGACTAACCCTCTTGAGGAAGGGTATTCTTCAGAGGGTGCAATTCGTTTGTCAGTTTTAGGTCTTGAAACTTTGCTTGGATTTGAAGAGGAGGGACGAGACTTTCTCTGAACCGATGAAGTCGTTGAATTGTTGGTGGCTGACATCACTTCAGGCTCAAAATTCGTGGAAGCATAGACCGAAGGTTCATGCTCCTCCATGAATCTATAATCTTCAGTGGTTCGTTCAGGCATTTCCATTGGAAGATCAATCACGTGATCTGTTTTGTATCTTGGATTGGGATTTCCAATGACCGAATAAGCCACAGGTCGTTTTAAACCTGAAGCAGATATTGGACGATTCTTTCGTTGATGATTTCCTGCCAAAAACACGGATTGAATTTTCCATTCATCCTCTTCGTCGTCCCAAACTGCTCGTTCCTCAATTTTCTTAACCTCTTCCGCTGGAATGAAATGTTCCATAATTTTCGTTCGAAGTTTTAACTCTCGTTCCAACTGTCGAATGGTGTACAAATAATCTTCTCGTTCTTGTTGGAATTCCTTTTGCAAATCAGAAATTTCTGCCTTTGCTGCTTCGAATTTTGACCACAGCTTTTTGAGCTTTTTGGTTTTAATTTGAACCTCATCTTGGATGCTTGTGTATTTCTCCTCCATGACTAGATTCTTTTCTTGTTGTTCTTCCATCTCTCTTCGTAATTGAAGTTCTAATAATTCCTTCTCTTCTAATGCCTGTTTTTGTTTTAAAAGCTGTTCTCTTTGTTCTTCGTTGATTTGCTCCAGCTGACCTCCTTGAACCAATCTTGACTGAAGTTCCATTAACTTGTTTTGAATTTCTAGCTTGTGTTTTCGTTCACGCTCTAAAGCTTCATGACGTGCCTTCAATTCATTTTCAATCTTTATACGCTCATCCTCTATTCTTTTTTGTTGCTCTAATAAAACCTTCTTCTCTTCAGCAGACTTTTGTTTCATCTCTTCAATGATTTTTTGTTTTTCCTTTTCTTTTTCTAGTTTCATGCGTTCCAGCTCTTCTTCATTCACAGAAGCTGACAATACCATTGGTTGAGAATTGTCGCTCACAATAACAGTAGTTGTAGAGCTTCCTACCACCACTGGTGCTTGTGTATGAGCTTGAGTTTGCTGTAATTGAGCTCTTAAATTCTCAATTTCTTCTTTTAATTGCCTTAACATGGCGTCCTTAGGATCTTCATTAATCTTTGGTTTGTTTTGAATATGTTTGGCTCTGTCGGCATACCTCAACGTCGACAGGGTTTCTTCATAGTTAAAATCTGCAGGTGAAAAGTTGGCAACCTTCCTAAGGGTTATCCATATGATACATTAACAATAAAATACAAACCATTACTGTCTTAGTGTTACCTCCAAGTGAATCTTGCAATAATCTGGTGAGCTTTGAGTCTCTGTATGGAACATGTTTGCCTTTTCCTTCTACAAGAGCTGAAATAACGTTACCCAGAGCGCTCAATGATAAGTTAATTTTACAACCTTCCTTCAGTCTTTCACCTGTTGCTCCCGTTTTATCTGCTCTTTCACTTCCTGCCAAATCTACCATGTTCAGCTTACCAGCTCTAATATGTACCTTCTTGTCAACTGGACCATCTACAGTACTTTCAATCTTAATAGTCAGAATGGAGTGAGATCTACTTGAATCCTTATTCATATTTGTTTCTCCTTTGGCTCTGTTTTTAGAACCAATTGCTAAAATTTTGTCTATGGCTTTTAGTTCTTTTACAATAATATTATTAGCTTTTACATCAACACCCTCTTTTGTTTCTTTTAGGTCTAATTTCTTTCCTGCGTCAGCTTTGGGGACAAGTAAATCTCTAATTTCTTCGTTATAAATTTCAATCATGGACACGCTGATCACATAATTCTTATCTTTAGAAGCTTCGTCAATCAATTCAAAAATTCTACAAAAAGAATTGTAAATCAATCCTCTCAATTCAGGAGGCTCGGGCTTTCCTTCCATTCTATGTTATTCCAAAGTTGTTCAAAATGATATTCGTTCAAAGTTGCTGTTTCATTTTCATTACTTACGTGTGAGTCTTTCCTGATCCTGTTTGTCCATAACAAAACACTGTTCCGTTGTATCCATCCATGACACTTTCAACAATCGGTTTAGCTGTAGATTGAAAAACCTCAATTTGTGTTGCACTATTGGTTCGGAGTCATTCAATAAAACATGAGTGTATTTCCAAAACACTTACTCCATATCAAATACTGCATCGAATGTAAATGGTGGCTTCGGAGGCTCATTTTCATTCTTTGTAAGAATCACTTGATTGAGATTCTTGTCAATTTCGACACATTTCTTTGATTTCTTTTCAATCTCGGTCTGGTTGAATGGTCGACATCGCACACACACTTTGACGCTTTCCAATTTTTCTTTAAGGACTGCAGCTCCTGGAGGCATTTTCCGAATAATGTTGATGATGATCGGATATAGAATCAGAGAAGAGAAGATTGTATTCGAATACAGAGCGTCCAGAGAGATTTTTTGTTTGAAATTTGAACAAAACTATTTTTTTCGTACGTGAAATGGCGGGTAAGAAAAACATGTTGTTGTTTTTAGAGAAATCAGCTGAACAAGGCGAGATAGAACTAATTATCACAACCCAACCCTACACCATCATCTCCACTACTGTTCACTATCTTGACTATCTTGGACCCAAAAAGTAGTAAATTAATGGTAATGATAAAAGTCTCTGTGCTCAATAAATTGGTCTTTGCGAATTTTTCTTTCCTTGGTTGTGTAGGGCATGATACAAGGTTGTCGTAAATAAACGTTTACCTTGTCATTGGTATGAACTTCAAATGTCATTTCTCCAACACCTGTAACAGAAATCCAGCCAATTCCACCAATACAAATATCCAAGATACTTTCTCGTCGAGTGGTTCCAGTCACTTTAAATTTGAGAGGTTTGTTCAATCCATAAATTGGACTTTGCTTTCCGTCAATGGGAGGAACGATTTGATATTCCACGTTTGGTGCATCTCTACCAACATGATTAGCATAGAACTGGTCAGCATTCTCAATCGAAGTGCAATGAATGGATAACTTTGGAGATGTATACACTGAGAAAATACATCGATTCCATTCCTCGTTTTTCACATTATCCTCAATATAATCTAGTCTAAATAAACCAGATAAGAAGAAGCATCTACCTGGTCTCAATCTCACAAATCGAGGATTGATGACATCTTGAGACGGTAAAATATATTTCCAATCTTCGTACTTCAAATAATCAGTGAACAATTTTTGGTGTGCGTTGAGAACTCCTGGAGTGTCAAACAAATTTGCTCGTTCTCCAGTTGCGGTAACAATGGGAAATGATATAGTTTTCAAGGTAGTTCCAGGAAGTGCTGATGTGGTAATTGCAATGTTAGTCTTTCGTGTTTCCATCTGTTGTCTGAACAGTTGGTTAATAAATGTTGATTTTCCAACATTTGTACATCCAACAATATAAATATCACCTCCTTTTCTATACGAGTTCATCTTTTCATGGAGCTGTGCCATATTCGTTCCTGTAGCACTACTCACAATTTCAATTCCAACGAGTTGAGACCTTTCTTCAGGTGTTTGGAATAATCCAAAATCTTTCTTTAAAATTCTTCTCACCCATTCTTGCAAACGTTTATAAATAAGAACTTTGGTTCGTTCTTGTTCTGTGGAGGGCTTTTCATCTGGAGATCGGCCTTTCAAGAGTAAATCAGCCTTGTTGGCCACAACGAGCACATTATGCTTCCCAATGATGTTTTTTAGGTTGGGAATAATCGACCCGTAGGTATCAAACAGATCAATAATTAAAACAATGAGAGCCTTCTTGTTGAGATTTGCGATTCGTTCAAATACATGTTTCACTGCTTCTTGATCAACGGATACAGTACTATATACTCCATAATTTCTTAATTGATGGCATCGCTGGCAAACCAACTCACTCAAACTATCATCAATTAAATCTTTTGCTGACTTTCCTTTGTGTTTGATAAACTTTTTGTAGAGTTTAAATTCATTTTCGTCCATAACAAGAAATCCTCCTACGGAGTTGAGAGAATTTCTGTTTGGTTGCGATCCTAATATTTGTTTAGCCTCATCTTCGCTTACTTCTTTTTCTGTTGCAATTTCAGAGACTTTTAAATGTTCCAGTTCTTGTTTCTTTTTTTCAAGTTCTTTAAATTCCTTTTCTAGTTTTGAAAATTTCTCTTGTTCTGCTATTCTTTTATCAACAGCATTTGGATGAATAAACCCAGGTCTTTCAGAGTCGGATGTTTGAAGAGTGGCTCCACAACCTGTACAATGAGCATTCCCTGCAATGATTTCGGTTGCATCAGAAAGTTTGACATGTTTCAATTGGAATTCGTGGTTGTGCAAAACCCGTTTCTTTTCTTCCGCAGCTCCTATGACATTAGAAATGTATGCACGTCTGCTTTTGGATGTTACTTTTTTTACTTTTACATCTACATCGGACGAGTCGGAATTATTAATTTGTTCATATGTTGGTAAAATATTTGCAGAAAAACATCGGTACTGTTGATCAACCGATTTGAAAATATTATCATTAATATTCGATGGTGTGGTGGTGGATATCAAAAAAGAGTGTGCTCCGTATTTCTTGCACGGAAATTGTGATTGTAGTAATTTAACACTTCTGAAAAGTTTGTGCATTTTTTTTGTTGAACCGATCGATTGGTTTTGCTTTTCTTTTCGAAATTAAGAGTGACATCCAGTGCCAAAATTTACCAGCGAAATATATTTGGTTTTGGCAGAGTTTTCAAAAGTGTATTAAAACATCACCATTGTGTTCAATTACTACTAATAATCAAAATCACGATATCGTTTCAGTACTTTTGGTGCAATGAGAGCCCATCCAAATATGGCCATACAGACCCACTGAGTGGCAATTTTCACCCACATGGCTGCCAAAGAATGATCCACATACCACTGTTCGTCTTGCATACTCAAAATATCCCAATTAGCCAACACACACGACATGTAACAACTAGAGAACATAAAAACAACATGAGCATAGAATAGTTCTGAGCATTCGGCTCGCTTTGCATCGTCATCTTGATCATTCTCATCTTGATCATCATCATCATCATTGGTAGATTTGTGATCGTCGTCTGAATGCTTACTCATTGTAAAGAAGCTTGAAAAGCTTAATCCTGTGGATATGGCACTTCGACTATTGAAAGAGAGTGTTTCCAAGATTGGAATTAAGAATCATAACACAATCATGAGGAAACAATCACACCAATGACATGTTGCGCACAATGAGAGGTTATCAATGTTCCACTTTCCAACACAATCATACTTACACAATGGCAAAAACTGAAATCAATACGCTGATAATAATGGTAATAATTGAACTTGCTGTGCTGCTATTGGTTCCGCCTTGTTCAGAGAAATCTCCCAAAGAATTGCAAGCCTTAGAGGGATCTGAAGTGAGAGCCGACCAACACAGAAATGCAGTATACAAAAATATGAGTCCTGTAGGATAAATTCCTCTCTTCAACACCATGGCCACAATGGTAGAGATGACTGCTGCGACCACCGTAAAAGAAATAAAGAATCGATTCAAATGACAATCTGCACCGGCTCCAAAAAAGACAAATTCAACCACAATGAACGCAACAGCAAGAATGTAAAACACAATTGCAATGACAATCATTAAGTAATCCCAAAATCCATAGGAAGAGTCATCTCCCTTAGATCGGAACCACTCTGCTGAACTAAACGAAAAATCAATTAAAATAATTAATTGAACAACAATAAATATGCAAGCCATTACTAGTGAAAACCAAGCAAATCCATAGAAAAATGCATCAGGAATAAAGAAAGGAATGATCATGAATAAGGCAAACAGTGGAAATTTCACTATAAACCACTTGTTTTGAATATAAAGTCTAATTCTATCTCCTACACAGAACAATCTTGATGCCAAAAAGGCAAACATTAAATAGTAGCAAAAGCATCCAAAACAAATTCTATAAACTGCATATTTGCCTTCCACTCGTGACAATACACTCGATAAAAACCAATTTTTCACATCTTGTCCAAATGGAACGTTATCAAAAAATCCAAATAATCCTTCTCGCAAAAACAGAGCTAGAGTACGATCGTGATTTTTTGTAAATGATACCATTCATTGATAGTATTAAAGAAGTTTCAATTTAGAATTTAAATTGAATTTAAAACCAACCAACGAGAAAGCCAACCACTAGAAAAAACGCATAAACGATCCGAGTCAATGTGAGCCTCCTAGGTGTGATGGCTCTCAATTTTGATCTCCATCCCGATTCTTCACCCGTGTCAATATCAATGTATGAAGGCATTTTGTTTTGATTCTAACAACATTCAACTAGAGGAACAACGGATCCAATCACGTCCTTTTTGTTAATTTTTTAATAGAGAGAAGGAAAGAATTCCAATTGACTCTGATCGAACATCAGCTCACTGTTTCTAGAGAGAGACCTGAGGTCATTATGAATTTTATCTCTCTTGATGGTCATCAACTATTTTCTATAATAACTCCGACACTTGTTGAGGCAAAAGTCATTTAAAAATTCATAATGATGAATACCCCAACCCATGATGATGATAACAGCCTATCCATTCTTTCCGAAGAAGGAGCTCATGGTACCGAGCATGTCATATCGATGAATTCTACGACGACAAAACACAGCACCATGATGACGTCGCAGAAAGTAAGCGAGAGAAGTAACAGTTCAACCACTGCAAGTTCCAACCCTTCCTCCTCCTCTCCATTCTATTCCATTCTCAAACCGTTGGGTAAAGGAGCGAGTGGAAATGTTGTCCTTGCAGTGATGAATCAAAAGAAAGTGGCCATTAAACAAATTATGTGTCGGAATGAACGTGATTTAAATTTTGCAATGAAGGTGTGTTGAAGCTATTACTGAAATAACAATATTTATCACTCTTGAATGGCATATTGACAACTGACACGTGAATCTGCAGGAAGCATGGCCCTTGAGAAATTTGAGTCATGAAAATTTATGCTCCATGGATGATGTTTTTGTGGAGAAAATTCTGTTAAATGGCATTGAATGTTTTAATGTAAATTTAGTAATGAAATATTTCAAAGAAGGAGATTTGAGCGTGTTTTTAAAAAAGAGATGTACCAAAGATGGCAAACAATTTCTCACACAAGAGGAAGCTCTTTCGTTCATGAGACAACTGGCATGTGGCCTTAATTATTTACATTCCAAAAATTTAATGCATAGAGATTTGAAACCACAAAATATATTTGTTTCAAAAGAAAAACTTAAAATAGGAGGTATGCAATTTAATAGTTCCGAAATGATAACTTGTTACCATTATATTATTTTTCTAAAACGATTGCCATGAGTTTAGATTTTGGCTTGATGAAAGAAATGCAAAATTCCTTTACGTATACTGTGACAGGCACTTTGAAATATTTAGTAAGTTTTGCATTAATTAATGTGGCGTATCATTGAGCATCATGGATTTAATACCACACAAATATATTTCTATTCAAATAGGCTCCAGAAATTTTGAATCAACAACCTTATACCTACAGTGCTGACATTTTCTCATTGGGATGTATTTATTTTGAAATGTGTACATTATTACTGAACAACAGAACTCTCAACGTTGAAGTATTCAGAAATAAGAATTTCAGTGAAGATTTACTAAACCAATTGAACAAACAATTTTCACACGTAGTTTCGCCTGACATGGCTCGTCTCATTACCAAAATGCTTGATATTGATCCTAAAAAGAGACCTACTGCACAACTACTCGTGACAATACTCGACGAACTCTCGAAGGGAAATTCATGGAATTTTTCGGACGTGTCTGGAATTTCACAGCATCACCAGAACGTGTTGCAAGAAGACGGCTCCTCTTCCACTACTCCCTCAACACCTCCTCCACCACGATCCAGACGAGTAGCTTTGGCCATCTCTAAAATGGCTCTCACACCACTTCAAAAATTATTGTATGGAGCTGGTGTGAGTATGTTACGGATGGAACCAAGCGTTTATGCGGACTATGATGGAGTTGAAAATAATTTAGCAAGTTATGGAATTGATATGGAAAGTATGACGATTAAGAATGAAAACACTAACAACCTTTCATTTAGTGTTTCCACACGTATTGAGGAAATTGAAGAATTGGATTCCTCCTCGTTGGACACGGAATCCAAGTTGATACGTTCATTTACTTTGAATCAGTGGTTACTTATTCTCACCTCTCCGTGTATCCATCGTTTGCCACTCTTTCCATGCATGCCCACAAAGAAAACGAAGGAAAGTTTTATAGATGCGACCTTAATGACCTATTCATGGTACATGACTCCTCAATCACTGTTGAAAAAGTGTTTTGAATTGGTACATGACATTCCTGATCAGTTTTTTGAGGAATTTTTATTTAAGAGCGAAAGTGGTGATTATGACAGCTCAGCATTGTTGACAATATTTGAGAATGACTTTCAATTAGAGAATGAAACCTTCCCCTATTGGAAGTATTGCCGCTCTATCGGTGAATATAGACTTTTCTCAGTGATTGAATTCATTACAAAGGTATGCTATTCGTGATCATGATTGTTCTTATTTTCACAACTACAGTGGTTAAAAAATCGAATTTCAGAATGGACCAGTAACATGTTTGAATTTTTACAACATCTTTCCAAAGAAGCGTATGAAAAAAGAGGATATCTCTCAATGTCTGATTCTCTCTTCTCTATATGCTCACAAGCACAAAGTCTGCAATTGAATGGTAGTGAAACTCCATTTCATGTTGATCAAGTCATGTTGGAAGCGTGTGAAAACTTTAGATTAGAACAATTGAAAAAACTTGAAGAAGAATCTGATGACGATCCAACCTTTGAGAAGGACGCTTCACCTGAAAAGAGGAGACTTTTAGATCCTGTTTCTGTTTTCACTCCTCAAAAAATTATTGCTCCACAACCTATAATCTCTGGCGCTATGTTTCTCAGCGGATTTACTTGGCAGGCTGTAGACACCATAGAATTAGCTCGTCAATTAACTCTTAGAGATTATGACTATTTTAAGGCAATTTCAATTGAAGAATTTGAGTTGTGGGAGAAGAGAAAGACTTTACACGAGCATTCCAATGCTCGGGAATGTCACAAAATTATGGAGATGAAACGAATTTCAGATTTTTCAACCTCCATGTTTGTTTCCTCAGTATTAAGTCAAGTGTATTTGAAGCATAGAAAAAAAACACTTTCAAAAATGTTGGAGCTATGTGTGGAATTATTCTCTATGAATAACTATTTTGGAGTGAATTATTTAATGAGTGCCATTCATCATCCAAGTGTCGACCGATTGGAATTCACTAAAAAGGAAGTCGATCAAAAGAAATGGACACAATATGAAAAAGTTTTTAAATCCATGAAATATGAGTATTTGAGGCTTTCTATTCATGCAGTGAGGAATGAAATATTTTCAATTCCCCATATGGATATTCATGTCAATGACGTGATTCTTCTGAATGAGCAAATGCCAGATATCATGGCTATCTCAGAAAGTAGTTCTGATGATAATGAAAAAAACACATCAAGTACTTGTGGTAGTAGTGATCAGCACGTAAATTGGAAAAAGATGCGATTGAAGAGTCTCATTCAGAGCCCACTCTATTTAAAAAACAATTCATGTCGGTTTCAAAAGGTGTTCCAAATACAGCAATTACTACGAAAAGAAAAGTTAGAACAATTCGATTATTCAATGGAACATTTCATGAAAGACAGTTTCGCAAGAGAAGGATTGAATTGCAAAAAATCAGAAGTGTTGTGAATTTTATGAGCTCGTAGAACATTCGAATGACTTTGAAAACAATTAACTATTTGTGAAAACTTTTGAAAAATTGGACTCTGTACACCACGATGACGATCACTTAAAATCGAACATGAATACTTTGCTTACAACAAGGTACATGGTTTGGATGTATTTCTCTGTGAGGGAGAGGATGCTTCTTTTGCCTTGGTTAAATAAGCTCGAATGGCTTCATCAAATACTTTTTTAACATTTTCCTGAGTTTTGGCAGAACATTCGACATATTTCACAGCCTTAATTTCTTCTTGCAGTTTTTCACCCATTTCTGTTGTGATTGGTCGTTTACCTTTGTTTTTCAATTTTTCCACCGTAGTCTCATCTTCCCGTAAATCACTTTGAGTTCCTACAAGAATGATTGGAGCTGCTTTACAATGTCTAGAAACCTCTGGGAACCATTTAAGTCGAACGTTTTCATAGCTTGCTGGTGAAACTAGAGAAAAGCATACAATGAATACAGAAGTACCTGGATATGAAAGAGGTCGAATTCGATCAAAACTTTTCACACAAAATGCCATCCATTTAGTAAGAACATTTTTCAAAACCCTCAGTATACTTACTCTTCTTGACCAGCAGTGTCCCATAGACCTAAACTTGTCTAATCATCATGATCGACAGAGTTGTTAATGATGAAAGATCGAGATTATTATTGAACCATGCAATTATTATTTAAACAAGAGACATTCCTCAGAAAACAATTTCATACCTTTTGACCATCTACATTCAAATTCACAGAATAATTGTCAAATACTGTAGGTATATGTCTGTGGAATGTGCAAGTCATTGATGACCAATGTCAATCATGAATTTAAATTGATTTTTGATTTTGCATGCATTACTTTCTCCACATGTGCTCCAGTAATTTACTTACTCTTCAGAGAATTTTCCTTTTGCATAGACATACAAAAGACATGTCTTTCCAACAGCACCATCACCGACAACGACACATTTAATGTGGGTCATGGCATTCTTAGAAATTCGGTTGGAATTCGACATTTTGAAGAGTAATAATATTATAATGAAGATGATGAGAAGAAGGGATTCGGTTATGTAGATTGTTGTTGCTCTTCTTTTTGCGAGTTGTGTTTTTGTGTCCTTCATATTTCTCGAGAACTCTCTCTTCGATGCCATACGACAAGACCCGAACAAAGAACTCGTTCATAAGGGTGACCTTATCCGTCTTTCAAAGGTAGGAAATTTTATCACCATACACTCTTGAGAAAGGTTGGAATTTGGCATTTGATGTTGCGACGGCCAATTATTTTTGAAACCAGCGCTTTTGGTGTCAATGAACTTGGAACTGTAATTGGTGCGCCTAATCCACGTGTTGGTTTACAGTTGTGCTTTGGGCCCAATTTGATTTTCCCAATTTCTCAAGAGATAATCGTTGAGTTCAGCACAGACAATTCTCAAAGCAAGAACTTCAACGCAAAAATAGACATAAAAATTTTACAACGTGCAACAAATCCATGTTCCCAAAAATTCGACAAAAAAATAGCATCATCTCAAGTCTTTGCCACCTCCTGTTCAACACGCGATAGTCGCTCTTGTGCGCACAAGTTGTGTTTTGAACAAGCCTTGAACATTTCATATTTGCAGCACAGTTTTTTGAATTTGAACCTATCATCACGGTTCTGATCAAATCCACAATTGAATTTCTACAACGTGCAACAATCAAAAATTGATAACAATCCTTCTTTCAAGAATTTATAATACTTCGATAATAATATGATCTCAACAAATAATAACAACAATTTAGAGTCTACAGAAAATGACCAGGAGCAGATATCAATGAACTTTGTGGTCGACGATATTGTTAAACAAATGGATGGTCATGCAAGCTGCCCAGATCACGAAAGTTCTACGTTTATGTCGTTGCTCAAAGGAAGTGAAGTGAGAGAAAAAATCACACATGAAATCTCCAAGTTTGTGAAAGTCAAAATTGAATGTTTGCCTCAAGGATTTCAACACAATCAATTTTGTTCCCCTGCTCAAACCAAATATTCCTGCTATGTGAATGACGTGATTCGTGTTTCTGTGAGTTTTGATCACAAATATTTAGACTCCATTGCAGCAGAACAAACCATCTCTCCCATTGCTGAGAGTTATTGCTCCAAGTTACTTGACAAATGTCAAGTTCAATTAGTGTCCTTCATTGAAGGTTCCACACAGAACTCGACTGAGAAAAAAACAGTTGAAGAATTGAGTATAATGATGGGAAAACTCGGTGATAAAACCAACGAGAATGAAAAATATGGCTCTTTTCATGTTCCAAGACCTTCTCAAAAAAGAGGTAAGAAAAAGGAAAAGTCTACCGTCAGCACTGTGACGAAGAAGATTGGTTTTGTGCAATTGGTTCATTACGAATCTGGAAAAGTTTTGGCTCGTAGTGAGAATTTATGGATAAGGTCGAAATCAAGAGAGGAAATGGAAACAAAGAAGAGAAGATCTGTTTTATCTTCCAAGAAGAACAAGAAGAGAAAGACTAAAACAGAACAACAATTCGACAAGGAAAATGAAGCCTGTTGTCAACAGAACGCATTCATTCAAGAACCGCTCATGTCAGAACAATTTATTAAGGACTTCTTTGAAATGAATGGAGCCAATAGCAATGAGGAGGAAGAACAAGGCCAACCTCCAAAAACTGTTTCCATTGTTGAACAGCCTCAGACTAAGGCAGATCTTGCATCATCCGATGCTGTAGATCTTAAACCAAAACTTTCAACACTTCCAAACCAAGATGCATCCCTTTCTTCGAATACCTCCTCTGATGTTGCAGGATTCAACAACAACAACAACATCACGCTGAGTAGCGGAGGTATGAATTACTTTCCATCCCCTAACCTTGTCTATCCATTCTTCCCAACCTCCAATATTGCTTCCTACTTCCCTAATTGTACTTCCAATTTTGTTTCAATCAACCCTTGCTGCCACCTCATCCCTGTAAATCCATTCCTCTTTGATAACTTTTCCAACCTCACATCAGCTACCTCTTGCACAGATCTTCCTCAAGAATTTGCATTTTCTGAAGTGTTCCCAGAAGACGATTGTGGCCTGAAACGTAAACGTAGCCAACTTACTCCAACAGATTTGCTGAGTGACACGACCTTTGATTTTGAATTAAGCCCAAAGTCTATTGATGAAGAATCTGTTTGTGACGAGTTTCCAAGTCCTCTTTCGAGCGTTTTTGGCGATTTAAATTCACCATCTTCCAATCCTGCATCTGCAACCTCTAACGCAAGTTTTTGGGACATGTTCATGTAAAATAAAGTTGGAACAGTGAAAGCTTTCACACAACAACAATGATTTGCAAAAATTCATTACTCTTTATGATCTTGAATTTTTGACAAGTTAGCTCTAAAGGACCTAAAATCAAATTTAAACAGAGTAGAACCAGCACTTAAAATCTCAAATACACTCTTGCATTGATCTTCCAAACGTTTCACATACTCCTCTTCATCAGTAGCAAGCCAAAAACTGATTCTAATCATGCTCTTTCTGTTTGCAACAATACAACCGCAAATGTTATTGCCTAATCCGATAAAGTTTTCTCCAATACACATTATACATGAGAATAACCACCATTGATCGGCTTCTTGTCTAGACTTTTTAGTAAAACTAAAAACCATTTCTCCTCCATTAATACATTGTGGATCCTCCCATTCAGGTTTAATTCCATCTCTCATTAAATAATATGTTGTACCTATTGGCAAGCATGATGGAGATCGTACATTGTTAAACAATCGCCAAAAGTCCTCCACGGTGTTGAACGTTTTAACTTTTGTAAAAAAGGCTTTGTAATTTTGTTCATTAATTTTACTTCTTGGACTGTGGTACCACAGAGTCCATGGTGATTGTGTGGTGTGGTTTTCCGTGTCTGTTGGATTGCTCATGATGTATTGTTTTGTTGTAGATTTTGTTTGTATTAATTTAATTAATTTGCATAATTTTCGGGTTGATGATAATCGAGTGTTGAAAGCAGTGTTGTTTGTTTGCTGTGTCCGGTTTGTAGTGATGTTTTTGCGTGTTGTTGTATTTTTTTAATTTCTTGTTTTTATTTCTTTAAATTAGTGATTTGAAAAGTCTTATCAAATCAATAATTAAAAGACGAGGATAGCCCGTCTTGTTTCTTTCTTTGCTGAACATCACCATCTTGAGGTCATTGTTGTTCAAAAGTACAAATTCCGAATGAAGAAAGTTAATTTCCTTGAAGAAGAAATATTAAATTTTGAATTGGATAATATTGTATACAATCAACTTTCTCTTGCACATTCCAAAAATGTACCTCTTCTTCATTGAATCATGAAAGCTCTATTAATACACCCATCATAACGTCTAGACGCAAGGAATTGTTGATCAAGCCTTGCTAATTAAAAATTCAATAAAAAATTCTGAGCGCTTCGTTGAACCACACGCTCTCGCCATCAAATTTTCATCATTCATCAACCACAACAACATACCTTGTTATATCCGATACATTGTGTATTAGCAAAGTTGAACAACACCAAGTACTTTCGCGTTATACTCAACATCATCAAAAATTTTTACTCCTTTCTTGAATTATACAAACATTTCCATCCGTAGCTTACAAATTTAATATCATCATGATGACCACAGATAAGAAATATGAAGAACCTCTCGCCGATCATCAAGGTGAAGGCGAAAATTACAATGAAGATGAGGAATCAGTGGAAAAACATTTTCTTGAAAATAGTTGGACACTTTGGTATCACAATCCTCAAGCTAAATTGAACGAACAAAATTACTCTCAATTTTTCTCTGAAGTATATACATTCTCTGATGTTGAAACATTTTGGAGGTTTGTGTTATGTTACGGATTTGTTGTTTTATTCAGCATGGATTTTTAGTGTGTTTAATCATATTCGAGGACCAAGTGACATTGCCACTGGTACTACTTACTTCTTATTAAAGGAAGGCATAAAGCCTGCATGGGAGGATCCACAATGCATTAACGGAGGAGAATGGGTTTACAGCTTTCCGAGGAAATTCAACAGTGCCGATCAGTATTGGCTTGATCTGGTCATGTTTTGTGTAGGAGAATGTTTCACATACTCAGAAAATCTACTGGGGTGTTGTGTTGCTAATAGAAAGAATCAGGTACGTACTGTGAGAGCATTTGCATTTTTGAACCTTTGTTATTCGAATGGATGAATGCGCTTGGATCAACACGTCATTTCAGATTCGTATTAATTTGTGGGTTAACACGCTAGATGAAACAATTGCGAAAAAGTTTGGAGAACAATTTAAATTTGAAGCGCTAAAGCTCAACTCTTCAGTATCAATAGATTTCAAATCTTTTAAGGATCAACTTGACGGGAAAAAGACAATTCTTCAGTCCGTTTGAACGTACGTGAAATGGCTATGCTTGCTTAGTGGCTGATTCTCGACTATACTGGATCGTTGCTATGATCCACTTAAAGATGTCATCTCAGTCACAATATCAGTAATAAAACTCCTAAAAACAATATAAAATCGATCAACAATGACAACTTAAACAGAAAGTTGGAATGTTTTCACTCATTGATTCTTTATACAGCTTCAATGATTTGATAATTCTTTTTTCCAAGCCTTAACACTGCAATCGTGCCACCTCCAGCTACCAAATCATCGCTTGTCAAAATATACTTGGGATCTTGTTGTCTTTTGTAATTGATATAAAATCCTCCATTTTTGATCAGCTTACCAAGCTCAGCCTTAGATGGACCAAGTTTAAGCGCTAAAGCAATATCAACAATGGGTTTCGATAAAAGCTCTGACCGAGGCAATTGGGCACTGGGAGAATCTTTCATCAAAGTCGATATTTCATTCTTAGACAGACTCTTAAGAATGGTTACGGCCTCCTCTTCATTTCCAGATCCATAAAGCAAGTTAGAACATTTCTTAACACACGCCAATTGATCCATGCCATGAATTTGTTGTGTAAGTTGGTCGGCCAGTATTTGTTGAGCAAGTCTCTTCTCTGGTTGTTTGTTATGCTCATTCATTATTTGCTCAATTTCTTCTACGGAAACAAATGTTAACATTTTTAACAATTTTTCAACATCTGCATCCTGTGCTCTCGTAAAGTATTGGTAAAAATCAAATGGTGATGTCATGTCAGGATTAAGCCAAACAGCATTTCCCATTGACTTTCCAAATTTCACTCCATCAGCAGTAGTGAGCAATGGTACAGTCATTCCACTGCATGGTATTTGAGATATCTCAGGATTCATTGTCTGCTTCTTTTTAATAAACTCAAGCCCGCTTGTAATATTTCCCCATTGATCAGAACCTCCAATCTGTAGTCTCACGTTACGTGAATTAAATAGATGATAGAAATCATAACTTTGAAATAAACTATAGGAAAATTCAGTAAAGGTCATTCCTGCATTTTCAGCATCAGCATTTTCCAATCTAGACTTCACACTCTCTAATCTAAGCATGTTGGTAATTTGGAAATATTTACCAACATTTCTTAATAAATCTATCATTTTCATTTCTCCTAACCAATCTGCATTATTGACGACAGTAACATTGCTTGTATTTTCTGAAGAAAAAAAGGCATTCATTTCTCTTTTCAATCCCTCAATATTTCCAGCAATTATATTTTCTTCTAGAAGAGGCCTTTCAGATTTTCTTCCGCTAGGATCTCCAATTCTTCCTGTTGCACCGCCAACTAGACAGTAAATGTGTACCTTTTGAGAGTCAAACGCTGTTTGAAATCTCTTTAAAGTTTGTAAAACCAATAAATTTCCGACATGAAGTCCTGATGCAGTCGGGTCAAATCCAGCATAAACTCCAATAGGTTTCTTTTGGTTGCCTGGCTGGCCATTTGCCATTTCATTCACTAATTGTTCAAAACCAGATGTGGCATCGTTGAGTACTCCTCTTGCTTTCATTTCTCGGATGAAATCATCAGCCGGCTTTAGCGTTGTTGCAATAGCCGATTGATGAAAAAATCGGTGATGACGATAAACCTCCGAGAAGACTGGTTGTTTGGAAATCTTGGAAACAAGTCGATTTGAGAAATGTTGTGAGGAAGGCTTGAACAGCATGGCTTTCATTTTTTTCAATACTTCCTTTTTGAATGGACGGGCAAGATGAATTGCGAAACGTAGTTGTGAAATATATGGTTTCAAACAACCCACAAAAACAAGGTGTCCTGTTGGTAATATTGAACTATTGGTGTCAAGATATTTAAAATTAAAAAAAATTAAAAATGTTGCGTGTCTGCATTCTTGATGTTTCGGATCATAAACAATTGTTTGAAGATGAATTATTTCAGAAATTCATGTTTCAAGAGTCTTTCTCTCAGTGTGCTTCGTTCCATGTCGCACAAAACAAGTGGCCTGTTGCTTCCGAAGATGTTGCTCATGAAAATTCTCCTAATAATTCGATCATTCGCTATTTATTAAAACATTTTGATGCAGTTCTCATCACAGGAAGTGAAGATTGTTGCATGGATGATTCGTTATGTTACATCAAACAATTATGTGATTTAATAAGAGATTTAGTGGATATTAATTTTCCAGTTTTTGGAATTTGTTTTGGTGCTCAAGCGATTATTCGAGCCTTGTTTGGAAAACAAAGTGTTGCTCATTTGAAAGATCTTGGCAAGGAGCCAGAATTTGGATGCATTGCATTAGAGTTGACGAAAGAAGGAAAGGAATGTGGTTTATTTGATGGAATTGAACACGTTCGAGAAGGAGTTGCTTTTTATTCATCATCCTCTCATTCAGATGCATTTCTATTGAACAATGATCAAGTCGAAAGAATCATCCAGTCTCGCCATTGGGAAAATCAAGGTTATCGTATTAAGGGCAAGATGTGTTATGGGCTTCAATTTCATCCAGAGATGGACACTCATGCTTCGAATGCAATATTTAACAGCGTCACAACAGTACCTATCAAGTATGATGACCATGTACATGAGCTAGATATGAGTGTTGGAGTGAAAATTGCAAAAAACTTTGCTTACATGGTTTTGCATAAAAAGAATAATAATTAATGAATTTAGTACGATATATTCATAATATTTCTAGCGGACGTTTCTTCCGTGTTGAGGACCGTAATCTCGGCTATCTCTTGGACGATTTTCGAAATAGTCACGTGAGGTTGATTTATCGGATGGCTTGTCGGTTGTTCTACCATAATTTCCATATTGAGGTCGGTTGCTGACATATGGCCCACTTCTTCCATAAGATGATTGTGCTCTAGGAGGTGGAATTTCAATGGGAACACTAGGTGGCGGACCGCCATAAGTAGGTGGAGGTCCATAATACGGAGGAGGAATTCTTCCATAGTAAGGTGGTGGAATTGCATGTGGCTGAGGTGGAGGAGAGTCGTGACGTACTGGAGATGGATATGGATGGTATCTAGTATTATTGCTGGAATATGAATAAGATCTTCCACTACTGCCACGTTGGGGTGGTGTTGAACTGGTTCTTGGTCCATAGGTTGGAGACGTTGACCTAGAGGAAGAAGTGGGTCCATATCTGCCTGATGAAGATGCTGGATGGCTTGAAGGAGAATCTGCATATGAAGAGGTTGTTGTTCCTGAAGGAGGAGAAGCATCGTATCCATCAACATTGGATGGTGGCTGTCTTCCATGATAATCTGTTGCAGGTGGTATTCCCTCTCGAGAATATCCATAGTTGCCACGATCGCCACGATCACCACGATCACTATAATATGATGATGATCCTCTGCTGTAAGAATAATTATCAGATGAAGGATGATAAGAATCATGATATGATCCTCCACCACGTGAACCTCTTCCTCGACCACCTCCTCGTTTCTTGAGCATCTTTTGGTAATCATCTCGTTTCATTCCTCCATCCTTTCCTCTTCCGTATTGTCTTCCTTCGAAAAAGCCTGTATCGATAGCAATCTTCAAAGCACGATTATTTAGTTTACATCCACGACAATACTTGACGCAATCTTCGGCATCGGACCTGTGATAGAATTCAACAAAACAAAATCCACACGGCGTATGAGTATTTCTATTGAGTCCCATGATCACCCGTTTAACTTCACCACACTTTTCGAACAATTCATAGATTTGTTCTTCCTTTGTATAAAAACTTAAATTTTCAACATAAATTGTGGAGGACTGAGAAAGAGCCCTCTCAAAATCCTCTTCATTTCCGCCTTCGTTTACGTAATGTTTGAGCAAATAATCATATTCTCGTTTGCTGCCGTAGAAGAATAAATGTTTGGGTGGGCGATGTGCAGCTTCGATGAGATGAGCCATTTTTTTCCTTGAAGGAGAAGGCTTCTCATTGTTCCCTCAGCTTTTCTTCAAGCTTTAAAAAAATTTATTCTAATTACTCTGCAACATTGTTTGAAGTTGGTGTCTAGACCATGAAAAACCTTTCCAAAGGACTCAATGAAACCAAGTCATCTCATTTGGTGTTGAAGAGAAAAAGAGATGCCAATACAAATCAATTGGCTTACAACAAAGCCTCTGAGTCCAGTAGTTCTGATGATGAAAGTGTTGAGGCAGTTGAAGAGCCTTCTTCAAGCTCAGAGACTTCAGAATGCGAGGTGGATTCCCAATGCGAAGAAGAGTTATCTTGCGATGAAGAAGCAAACACACTCACCAAAGAGCTTGTCCTTAAAGTACATGAGGGAAAGAAACGAATGTCTTCTATCATTGAGGATTTGCAAAAACGAATTTCCAACGGTCAACTGGTTGAGCAGTCCAAGAGCTACATCAGAATGATGAGCAACGAATCAAAGAGAAGACCAAAACATAGAGAAACGAGGGAAGTTGTTAAGGAGCCTTTAGATATTTACCCATTAAAACAGACCACAAACAGTACAAAGAGGGGAAGCGGGAAAGAACAAGCTTCTGCAGACTCTTCCTCTCTTGAAATCACTCTCTCTCATATTGGAGTTACTCTGAACACAATAGTAACAGAATTGAAGCACTTGCGAAATCAACTTCAGAAATGAACCAAAGTTGAAATTCAAACAAAATAAAAATAACCAACACCTAAAAGACATCCCACAGCAGCATATCCGAACACAAATGACAAAGAAAGGAGGAAAAACAGCAGCCAGTCTCAAAAAGTCATCATCATCTGGAGGAGGAAATTACGAATACAATCCAAAACGAAACATCGTCGATGTCATTCCTGGTCTAACTCCGATTGTGAACTTGCCTCCATTACCTTCCGATAGAAAGAATGTCGATCCAGTTCAATATCGAGGACCGAGTGACTATAGTAATTGGCTAATCCCTAATCATGTATGTGTTGGAGGTTTTCCACGATCCAAAGAAGTAGATCCAATAGTTTCGAGCGGTATTTCAACATTTGTTAACCTTGTAGAACAGGATGAAGAGTTACGTTGTGGTCCTTTTTACTTTGATAATGCAGCTCGTAAAACCACTTTACAAAAATTAAATTATGTGACCTTCCCAATTCGTGATAAGAATATTGCAGAAGATGACAAGGTGAAAGAACTTGTGCAATTATTGAGAACCTTAGTCATGAGAGGAGAAAAATTATACATTCATTGTGTTGGGTAAGTATAGTAGGATCATGAACAAGCTATTTGAGCTTTTAAATTATGACATGACAGTGGTCATGGAAGAACTGGTACCATTGCAAGTGTATTATTGGGAAATCTGTACAACATTTCAGCCTATGACTCGTTACAATGGGTCCAAGCGTTTCATGATGTCAGAACTGTTACGAATGGAAGAAAGTCTCCAGAATCGACCATTCAACGAGACCAAGTGTTCAGGTTATTGAGTGATAATAAATAAACTTGGTGCTTCACTCTCACAAAAAATTTCCTCAATCCCTCATACTCTTTTATCTCATTTGACTCTGCAAAAATAGAGCCATAGAGGGATCGTTTATCGATAGTTCAATGCTTTAAATTGGACCCTGTATGAGAAACTATGCAGAAGGTTATTAATAGTGCGCTCAAACAATCTCAAAAAATGATTGCATCAGGAGCGATGGGCTCTGTATCATCATCCAAATCTTGTGCCTGTGCTGCCAAGAGAATTTCATCATCCTCTTGCTCGGAGCAAAATGGATCAACAACTAAGCAAGAATCATCGATCAGTATCTCCTCCTCGACCTCTCTCAACAAAACCACAACAACTACAACAACAACCAATACAGGACAAGGTTTTTATCAGAGAGAGTTACCTGTGGGTTGCATTGCATTTGCTTCCTCGGAGGGAAGGAAAATATTTGAGGAGAGCATGAATGAAGGCAATTTGCACTCTTTTTATCCGTTGATTGAACAATATCATACACAATCCGAGCCAGCATGTATGTTGTTTTCATTAAATTAATTTAAAAATTATTGAGATACGAAATGATTGCTAGACTGTGGATTGGGAACTTTGGTAAACGTCATGAATGCCCTGAAAATTGATCCTAAAAGGTTTGTTGGAAAGATGATGTCAATTTTATTAATTTTGTTTGATAACGATAATTAGAGTATGGAAATTTCCTTGGAGATGGTTCTCAGAAGACATTTTCGATTGTTGTGTTCCTCTTGAAATTGTGAAAAAAGAAGGAATTACATTAAGACAGTTCAGCTGTTTAGCAAAATGCAACGGAGCTGCCTGTCAAAGTAAGTGATGCCTCATAATAACTAAATTATTTTACCCCATTTTTAATAGCTTTCAGACCTCAAGAGACTTCCTTAGATGATTTTAGAAATGCTATTATTGAATCTATTAAATCTAATGATTTAGAAAGCAAGGAATTAGATCCCTCATTCATTGTTGTTAGCTATGACAGAGCAACACTAGGTCAAACTGGAAGGTAGGTTTTCAGATGCTGTAGGTCGATGTTTCGTAACAAAGCAATTTTATGAAGTGGACACTTTTCTCCAATCGCTGCCTATAATGCTAAGAGGTAAGCAACATTTGAATTTTTATTCATAATCACACATTCTGTAAATGACAACATCAGAGACATGGTATTAATTTTAGATGTAGCAAGATTCAAGTATCCTCCTCACTGGGTTAAGTTGGAAAAGATGTGGGAAGCATTTTACCCAGTTGACAGCGCTACTGGCCTCTCTAGAGGATTCATAATTATTAAAAGAGACAACATTCAGAAAGAAGATCAAACAATTTGCTATAGAGTAGTTTTGCGAGAGAAATGGTCAGAAACACTCTCCAAACTGCTGACGTTTACGAGAGCTATCACTGAAAATTATACACAAAAAGTACAGAGCGAACTCGACAAATCACCTGTTGATATTAGCAAGTTCTGTAATAGCATTGTGGAAGTATTGAGTAGTTCAATTTATGAAATTATGGAACCATTGCTCACAATTGAAAATAACATCTCTGAGGAAATGAAAAAGCTTTGGAATCAAAATATGAACAATATATTTACAGACTTGAGAGAGACACAAATTTTCAAAGAAATTTCCAAGTTTGAAAAGGATAGAACAAAAGCTATTATGATCTCTGTCCTCATGGTCAGCATGCCATCTCAATTATTTGAAGAAATTCATTTACGATCAGCCCATGAGAAAATTAAGGCTCCACTCGATTATGTTTGTAACGCTAATTGTTGCAAAACAATTCTTGAATCCAATATTAATCAAATCTCAACTCAACTGAGAGCATTGTTGGAGCTCAGTTTGGAAAAGTAGGCTATCACTTCATTGGTCGAATAAATTCTTGTATAACACTCGAATAATTCTTTTCTCTGAGGGTCTACCAGGTCGTTATTGATACTAGAGACATTAATAAGCTTTCTTAAAAAAATGGTGAATAAGGCTAAAGCAGCGACAGACGAGTTGTGGCAACTATTTAATAAGGCTATTACAGAGCAAGACATGGAAATTACTCGGAAAGACGATCAATACCTCAAAGTGTTGCAAGAATCAGAATCAAAGATGTGTAAACGTATGGAGGTACGTAGGGTATCAAAGTGTGTTCATGATTTGGAATAGGAACCACCCTCTAGTTGTGCGAGAAGCAAATCAATGAATTAAAGGAATTAATGATTAAAGCCTATGAGAGAGATGTTGTTATGCTACGAAACTTGAAAACTCTTTTTCAAACTGAAAAAGACAAGATCATTAAAGAGATGGCACTCTCCTCGGAGCATGTAAATGAAACATTCAAACCTCTTGAAAAGTACTTTTCCATGATTAAGTAGATCGGATGGACGATCGTGATGATTGAATAAAATTTTAAGAGCGCTAGCCTTCTTCTTCTTCGTCTTGTTGAGTTTACCCTTAGAGTCAACCTTAACGACCCAAAAAAATGGCCAGCAAAACATTAAACTTGTTTTCCTCCGACTTGTACTCTTCAGATGAGGATGAAGACTTGATCAATACTACCAACCAAAATTCATCCTTGTTGAGCCAAAAGGTTGTTGAAACTTCCTCGGAAACTCATCAACAAGAACACTCATCCCATCTGACTCAAACCAATGCAGATCTCGATCAGGATGAAGAAAACGGATTGGAAACTAGTGTAGTTCTCTCGTTATGCTATCAAAAGGGAAGACTGGGTGTTGCATCTTTTGATTCCAACACTGGAGAGTTATGGTGTGGTGAAACCAATGAAAACTCCTTGTTTGAAGCAACAGAATACGGTATGTTCAGTGCGTCCTTCACTAGTGTGCTCTATAATATGAATACTACTTAGTCAAGTATGAAGTAAAGCCAAATCTCATCCTTGTGCCTTCCAGAACTGAGAATTCATTCATGAAAAATGTGAGGAAGCCGATGGAAGGTGCCAAAGAGCAAGTCGAGGTGAGGCTTTTGAAAGCCTCCGATTTTGCCCATGATAACTCAATCAAAAAGCTTCAATTATTGGAACAATTAATGTCAGACGCCACAATCACAGAAGAGAACTACATGGAAGCCAATGCTGAATCGTCTTCTCGGAGAAAAGATATGCGGTTTGATTTTTCATCTTTACACTTGGAAGAAAATCATCAAACGGTGAGAGCTCTCGGAGGTGTACTGTCTTTTCTACAAAGTAACAGACTATCCTATGGTGAGATTGATGATATAGAAGTGTTGAAGAATATCAAAACCATCACCAATTTCAAATTGTATGTTGTTTGTGAACATCATCATTTTTAATTTTGTGACTTGCAAAAGCGATGGATTTGTTCAGTTAGACATGAACACGCTTAAAGCCTTGTCCATCTTCAGCTGTAAGTTGTTTGCTCAAGAACGTCAATTCCTTTTAATTGTGCATTTGTTTATCAACTACAGTGGAAGCTCATCCCTCAACAGCCATTCTTTCTGGTCGGCCTAAGGAAGGTCTATCATTATTCGGTATCATGAACAAGACCAAATCTTCAGTCGGTAAAGATTTACTAAGGCAATGGTTTTTAAAACCAGTTATGGATGTAAACATTATTCAAAAGAGACACAACTCTATTGATTTCTTTAACAAGTTCACAACAGACATACTTGATGAGATTAGAGATAATTTGAAATATGTGAAAAATACTAAAAGAATTCTTTCTAGAATGCGAGAGGCAAAGGCCACTGTTAACGATTGGAGTAATTTATACAAGACCTTATATTGTTGTAAAAACATTTCAGAAATACTTTTTGAAATGGCAGAAAATTCCAACATTGACGTTGTAGAGGAGTTTTTGAATGCTTGCAACGAAGCTATTGTAAAAGTACTGCAGGCTATTTCAAAGATCGTTGACTTTAAAGAATCAAGAGCTCAAAACCGATTGGTCATTATGTCCGGGGTGAATTCAGAGCTTGACAACCGAAGGCAAACATACGAATCTCTAGACACATTCCTTGATCTAGTTGCACAACAAGAATCTGGCTCTCTCCCTCAGGACTTCCCCTTCTCTTTTAAGGCTGTATACTATCCTCAACTGGGATTTCTGTTGGTGGTTGATAAGACTACAGAAGCAAATAATTTCGAGAACTTTGAAGAGCATGGTTTGCGATTTCATTTTGCATCTGATCGATCTCTGTATTTTAAGAATGCAACAACGGATGAGTTGGATAGTGAGGTTGGAGATATCCATCATCTTATCATCGAACAAGAAACATCTATTGGTATTAAGCTTGAAAAATATGTTCTGCAATTTCAAGACCAAATTAACAAGCTTAATCATGTATGTGCGAAGTTAGATTGTATCTTGTCATTGACAGTCTGCAGTAATGATTTTAACTTGTCACGACCAAGAATGACCGAAGAACCGATTTTAAAGATTGTGGAAGGAAGAAATATTCTTCAAGAACTGACGGTAGACACTATCATTCCCAACGATACTGATTTAAGTGAATGCATTCAAATAGTTACAGGTACGTGCCAAAACGCTTCATCTTTTGGGTTCAAACGATTTTTCATGACAACCAGGACCTAACAATTCAGGAAAGAGCTGCTATTTAAAACAAGTAGGTCTCATTGTATTCATGGCGCATATCGGTTCATTCATTCCAGCCTCTCAAGACTCTGTGATTGGTATTGTCGATCGAATCATGACAAGAATTCAATCTCAAGATAGTATTAGTGTCAATCAATCTACTTTTGCAATAGATTTACTTCAAATGAAGGGAATGATCGACTACTCAACACCCAGGTCGCTATTACTGATCGGTAAGTGGAATTGTCAAACTTTCAATGTTGATGATATTATGCATTGTGTTTTTCCCTTGGAAAAGACGAGTTTGGGAAAGGCACTCTTGCTCTTGATGGAATTGCCCTTCTATCATCCATTCTAAAAAGCTTTCAATCTAGAACTCAGCCTCCTCGAGTGATAGCCACAACACATTATATTGAAATGTTACAATATAACCTTATTGATTACAAAAACAAAAATATTCAATTTATGACCATGGATGTGCATATTGACAACACGACCAATAATAATGAGGATCAAATGGTAGATGAATTTCAAGTTCCCAATGCTGAAGATTTGGTATTTCTGTACAAACTCAAACCAGGAAAAATTATTCCAAGTTATGGGATCACTGTTGCGTCCTTGGCTGGCCTTCCTAACCATATTATTAACAGAGCCAAGGTGGTTGCAGATAACATCTCTAAAGGCAAGCAAATCAAACCCATTCGTGAGAACTCCAAAGGAAAGATTTTCAAGGAACTCTTTGAGAAATTTATGTCCTTGGATGTAAATCAAGAACAGAGTATTTCAGATCTATTCACTTTTGTAAAGTCCATTTAAAAACATGGAGTCATGTTTCGATCGTAAACTCGATTCAACATCACGCAACTTCAATTTAAAGCCATTGCAAGCATTCTGGGGGAAAAGCGAAATGTTGGTGCAATTTCAAAGAAAAAATGCAAGTAAAGATCGAGTTCAGGTATGTGCAGAAATAATTCATCAAACACGAAATCAACAACCCATACAGTGGCGGATGTGAATTACTATTTGATAATAAAACCTCATTGACAATTGACAATTTGGAGGAAGGGACAACAATGCAACAATTAATTTTGTTGTTGAAAGACAAATATTTAAAGGAGAAACCAGAATTATTTATGAATAATGAGAATACATCAATGTAAGTCTTCAAGTCATGATGTCGTGAGCGAGAGGAATCAATTCCGATGTTTTTGATTGGATGTTTTTCAATGATTATTTTAATTCGGAAATAGTCGGCCTGGTATTTTAGTGATTATTAATGACACCGATTGGGAGCTAGTTGATGAATTGCAATATAAACTTCAAGACAAGGATAACGTTGTATTTATTTCAACTCTACATGGAGGATAAAAGGATCAACACTCTACTTTATATTGTTATCTATTCAAAATTATTTTTTCAATTTTTAATTATTATTATTTAACAGTCATCATGTTCCGAGAGTTGTTAATGTAATTTGGCACGCACATTCGAATACAGGCAAATCATCAAATTTATTGCATGTACCAACCATGAGAAACAATCAATGATTGTCCAGTCATTGCATTATTAGGATGAGCAGCAAAGAACAAACAAGCTTGTGCAACATCTTCGATCGTTGTAAACTCTCCATCGACAGTGTCCTTCAACATGATATTCTTTACCACTTCTTGTTCTGTAATTCCAAATTCCTTTGCTTGTTCGGGAATTTGCTTCTCAACCAAAGGAGTCAAAACAAATCCAGGACAAACCACATTGGCAGCAACTCCCTTCTTTGCTCCTTCCTTAGCAACGGCTCTACATAATCCCAAAACACCATGTTTGGCAGAAACATAGGGGGCCTTCAATGGTGATGCCAACTTGGAGTGTACACTTCCAATGTAAATGATTTTACCTTGCTGTTGTTCATACATTTGCTTTAAGGATTCACGAGTACACAAAAACGCAGCATCCAAATGAACGGAAACAATCTTTCTCCAATTATCAAAGGACAGCTTATCAATTGGATCAATATGTTGAACTCCGGCATTGCAAATCACAACATCTACGGATTTTCCATAGTGAGATTTAATTTGAGAGAAGGAATCCACAACAACTTGTTCTTTGGTAACGTCCATAGCCAAAGCTAAATGTTGAGAGGAATTTTGAAGAGACTTGATGGTTTCTTGAGCAGCATGAAGGTTCAAATCACCAACCACAACTTTTCCTCCTTCTTTGGCAAAGAGCTGAGCCACACCTTTACCGATACCACTGCCAGCACCTGTTGATCATCGTCGTGGTGAGAGTTATTATTTTGGATTAATATATTCAGTTGAATCAATTATTGGTAGGAAGGGACGAAAAAGATTTTCGTTTGGGAGATGAATCATGATGATGATCATAAACGCAAAATGTCAGTTCAAAAAAGAGATTAATCACACAAAACTTACCAGTAACAAGACAGACCTTTCCTTCCAACTTTCCAGCCATTGCGGCTTGACTTGTGGAGAAGAATCTTTGGGTGGCCTTTGGAGTGGTAATAGTAGTGGAGAGCTTTTGGGTGGTGTTGAGGACGCAACGTTTGAACATTTTTTGTGGTGTTTTTCGAATCGTCATCAAATTGAGCGAAAAGCGAAAATCCCCAAAAATTCGCGAATTTGTTTGTCCCAACTATTGGAATTGAGGTTCAAATGAAGAGGTTCCAAAACAAAGAACAAACTAGATTGTTTTCACACAAGCATATGGTTTTATAGAATTATTAGGAAAGTAGTAATTGGAATGCAATGGGAATGTGCTGTTTCATGCACAAATACAGTAGCGGATATGATTTACAAAACATTCTTGAGCTCATCTTTCTGTTTGTCAGAGAGTGAGGTTGGGAAAATAACATTAAATTCAATATAGAGGTCTCCCTTTTGGGCTGGATTCTCCTTTCTTGGCATTCCTTCTCCCTTCATCACTCTGACACTGTTTGGAATGATGACATCATTAATCTTGATTTGCAAATTTCTGTCATCTAAATGTTTGATAGTTTTTACAAGTCCTGTCAAACTCTCTTTAAGTGTAATGTCCATTTTCATTTTCAAATCGTCTCCAACTCGGGTGAAAACATGATGTGGCTTAGATTTGATTACAAAAATTAAATCACCGCTGCGGTGTGACTTGGTAGCATCACCTTCGCCATAAAATACAATCTCTTCACCTTCTTTCATACCTCTATCAATCTGAATGGTCAATGCTGTCGCTTTTTGAATAACATCGAACCGATTTTTACATTCTTCACAATTATTTTCAGTCATTCTCTTCATTTGTCCATTAATAATCATCATTCGGATGACCTTATTTCTGCATTCACATTTTTTAGGTTGAGCTCCACTTTCATGAGCAGTTCTTACTCTCTTGAATGTCATGAGCTTTCCATTGTAAAGATTTTCCAAGGTAACTTCAAGTGGAATTCTCAAATCTTGACCCTTGAATTCATCTTCTTCCTCTTGACTGTCATCACCGCCTCCAAAATTGAAATGGAATCCACCTCCAAAGAATTCAGAGAAGATATCCATTCCGCCACCAGGGTGACCTCCTCGTTCTTGTTGCTTGAGACCCTCTTCTCCATATCTATCGTAGATTTGTCTCTTTTTCTCATCTGATAATACCTCGTAGGCGTGAGAAATTTGAGCATACTTTTTCTGTGCTTCAGCTTTATCAGCTCCTTTGTATCTATCAGGATGGTACTTCATCGTGAGTTTTTTGAAAGCTCGTTTAATTTGATCCTGAGCAGCATTCCGAGGAACGTGCAAAATTTCATACAAATCGGAGGCCATACAAGAACCTGCTAATATCAGCAGAACGATACAAAAAGAGGCTGCTAACACGATTCCGAGAAGCCTTCGTGATGAAGATGATGACGAAGCATGGGATGATGATAAAATCAAAGAGGATAAAGTCATTTTTTTCTTCGGAATCATCCAGCTGACAAACACGTGTTTTTGGTGACCAAAGAGTACGAGAGAGATGGGTCTGAATGTATCCAGATAACAGAAAGGAATTTATTGCTGATCAGTAATGAAATTATTGAAGGAAAGTATTGTTTTGGGATCTTGTTGTTGGTTTCATAAAAGAAAATGAGTACACAACAACGAGAGGATTTGGTGGAGGAATTTAAAAAGATAGCTGATCGTTTGAAGAAGTAAGTATGATGGAGTTGTTTGATTTATAAGAGTAGGAATATGAACCACCATTCATTTCCGATCAAAATGAATACGATTTAATTATGCTATGATGATATTATTATTTACATCATCATTATTACAATAATACATACTATTCATAAACTTTATATATATTAATATATATATTAAATTTAAATTGCCATTACTTACTGAAACAATAGGCGAATGTTTAGAAAAGTTCCATATGACCAAATTTCGGAACAGTATGCAAATCTATCTCTTCATTTGCAAAGAAATGGACAAAAGCATTATACAGCCATCTCCATGTTATGTGCAGCCAAGTATGTAGCATCCATATATTTATAGGAAATTCTTAAAATTAAACATCAAGTGCTGAGAAGATGAACAAAACTCCATTGAACGCAGCCTTCTTTTATGTCTATTCTGGTAGAATTTTCTCAGATCAGGCTTGCTCTGAAAAATTGATACAATATTATACAGGAGAAGAATTTATTTCTGAAGCTATCGATGCATTCCGAGAAGCCATAGAAGTATGTTTTAATTTCTTGTAAGAACGTCCCAGATTCACTGGAATAACTTTAGATTTATGATTCCAAGCAAATATTTTCAATGTGTGCCTCATTATGCTATGAATTGGCTCAAACACTGAAAGTTTTGGGAAAATTTAGTGAGAGTTCTCACTACTATACAAAATGTTTCTTTTATTCAGTGAAGCAAGGTAAATTAGGAGAAGTAGACCTTGATTCAACTTTTGTGGATAATTCCAATAATTTGTCACTCAATAGAGACACATCACACTCCATGGAGTTGAACTCTCTTCAGAATGCTATTGACTGTTTATTGGAAATTAAGGATTTTGAAATGGCTGTACTGCGATTAAAAATATACGTCAACATTTTGGAGGAACGAATTGATTACTTTTCAAATTCTGATACCACAGAACACAATGTAAAGCTTATGGAATGGAGGCCTATTTACAAGATATTCATTAGGCAATGGATGGATGCTCAAATAACATTGCTAATTGTACTTTTATTACAAAAAAGAAAGGAAGAGGCCTCAGAGGTGTTTGAAAACTTAAATAGTGGAGAGGAAAATAGTTGGATTGCAAGCGAATTTCCATTCTTCTATGAAAATGTTTTACCACTATTTGCTGCCTTAATTGTAAGTTGTTTGAGATCAATGAATAACTAAATGATGACTATTTCTTGGGTATTTAGGAGAATTGTACGGATGACAATATTGATGGAATTGAACAACTGTTATCTCAAGAGTTACAATTTTGTGTGACAGACCAACAACAATCTCTGCTGGAAATATTGAGAAGCGCCTACGAAAATCCTTTATTTATGGATATTTTATTAAAAAAGGAAGGTGCTGAAGAGAAATAATAGAATGTTATTGAATCTCTCGCTAGTAGTATAAAATTTATTTTCTAATCATTCTCCTATACATGGCATCTGTTCGCATCACGTACTTGAATTCATTGGGATCTGACAATGTTGCTCCCTCATGGCAATTCCAATGTACGAAAATCAGCACTTGTCCTGCCTTTGGAGTGACGCTATGAGTGATTTGGCTTGCATTTGAATTTTTGAAAAAGTTTGTTTCTCCTCCTGATTGGACATCATTCAAGTACAACAGTACAGTTAAGAAAGATGTTTCCTTACATTCATAATTCTCCACTTGTTGAGTATTTTTATCCTTCAACGTTACCATGTAAGGTTGGCGACTAAAACATCCATCAGTATGAGGTACAAAGTATTGACCAGCCGAATACTTGTAAAATCGAATTCTTTCATTAAATCCAATAGCTTCATATCCTTGTGTCATTTGAGAAGGAACCACCTTTGCACAAAGATCCTTCGCGTGTTGTGGAATGACATGTTTCAATCGATCCCATAACAAGTCTGAATACTTTTTACAATCGACAATGACTCTAGAATTATTTCTGAGATCTTTAGCCATTGTTGCGTTGAAAGTGGCTTCAACAAAACCCATTTGTTCACTCTCCTTAATGAGTTGTTCACATTCTTCACGTGAAAAGACGGAATCTAGGAGCCAAATATTTCCTGGTTCAATTTCTTGAATGGTTATTGAAGACATTGGTCTGCTTGTTGTATGTGTAAATGTTTGTTCTTTTTTTTTGAAGTGCATCGTGAATGCGTTTGGGTTTTTTTTTAACCGTTTCCAGAAAGGTGAACTTGGAACTGCTAGGGTTCATGCCGGAATTCTTTCAAATTCATCAGCACGTTTTTTCATTGAGTCAACCCCTTTTCTAACACAAAAAAGACCTTCATCAAGTTCCTTTCTCGAACATTGCTTATCATTGAGGAATATGTCATGACGTTATCTTTGCATTGTCACACATACATTCTCTCAATCATAATAAGAAACAATAATAGTGACAATTTGTGACTTTTTCTGAACTGAATCTGTTGGAAATATTCTAGAATCAATATTTGATTCCACAGCTTTTCTATAAATGGTATGTTCGACCGTGCATCCATTGTCATGCAGTACTTTGTAGACTTCTGAGATGGTATTGGGAGCGCTTAGTTGATTAGAGGTTTTAGAATTTAATCCTTCACAGGTTACAAAACTGATATATTTGGATTTATCAAAACCAACTCCGACAGAACCAAATTTCTTTTTTCTAAATAATTTCCTCTCAATGACTTCTGACAGTTCGTTAATAGAGAAGAAGAGAGATTCATTGTAGAGTTGTTTGAGTGTGCATTCGTCTATTATTTTGACATACAATGTTCAGAAATGAAATTCAAAAAATAAATTTTCAATGAATTTTCTTATTCTTTGAAAATCACTTACCCACTGGAAGACAATCTTCCATTTGAGTTCGATCGACTCTCAAACAAGATAATAAAATTTTAAATATTTCTGGATTTCGATCAAGAAAAATATAATTTTGTTGAAAATTTATCCATTGCTGATCTGAATGAAAATGCATCATCAAATTCGATACATTATGATTGGTCATTCCACTATTTTCAAGAGGCATTCCATGCTGTTGTTGTTGCTGCTGCTGTTGCTGTTGACTATTATTTCCATTACTATTCACATTTCTATTTTCGGAGCCTTGATGATCCAAAAATCGAAAATACGCACTAAAATATCCTTCATATTTACACAATGTTTCACGAGTGGTTTTAAACACTTGTCCACCTACATCAAGGAGGATGACGTGTTGAGAGTGTTGTTGTTGATGCATCATTCTCATATTCGAATGAAAACAACCATCCATGTCATGGGTTCGAAACGGAGGTGAAGTCGGAGAAGTACTCATGTTATGAATCATGACTGGATGAAAGTTTTGTATGGGAGATGAGGAGAAGGAGGAAAGCGGAGAAGAGGAAAGAGAGGAATTGGTGGTTGGAATGGGAAGAGTGTGATGATTGGAGAACATTTTTTAGAATAGGTTTTTGAAGGGAGCGGATCAAGAGAAGACTCAATATTGAAATGACTCCACTTATTATTATTTGTATGAATGATCATTCATAATGGTTTCAACGGTGTGACATTTGGCATGGTTCAACACGAATAGAATAGAAAAAAAAAGTGTGACATATTATAACCAGTTTGCGTATGGCAGGTAGAGAGATTTATGGCAGTTCACATGATCATAAATTACAAATAAATTATTGTTGACACAGTTCACAAATTGACACGCAATCATTAAAGAATGACACACCTGTGGTCACTCACTTGCAAAACTTCAATATGATATTTAAGATTTGTTTTGGCTGGTACATAGGGTGGAGCTCCCTTTTCATAATCTATTGTAAACATTGAGGAATAGTTCAGTAAAACAAACAAACAATTAAATTGTTAAAGCACATGTTTTGTATACAGACATATTGAATTCATTCAGAACTTACAAGCTTCTGCATATGGTATGTAGAGATCTGCCTTCGTTCCTTCCCGGAGATGACCCGAAAGAAATGCAATATCCCATCCATCAATGACTTTTCTCTCACCCACTTTAAACGTATAGGGCTTCTTGATGAGCCATGTATCATCAAAATCATGCATTTGATGTTCCACTCTCTAAAAATCATTATTATTGTTTTCATCAAGTGTTATAATTAATTCACCATCATCCATTTAGAGTTCCCGATCATCATCATTTCCGAATATCATCAACCGAATATTCTTCTCTCTCAAAAAACATTAATATCGGGATGAACACTTACAGATTTGTAATGTATAGTTACATAATCCCCTTTTTTTGGAACTCTTCCATTGCCCTCTCGTAGCACATGAATTTGGGTGGTCGTGAGAGGTGTACTCGTGAAATCATCGACTAACATTTTTTTTAATTGAACTTTGGTTTCATGTTCCAAGTTCGTCGTGATAAGAATTTATTTGAAAAACAAGCAACTTTGGTTGTTGTGATGAACACTAAAACTTTATTCAATGGTACAAATATCGAGAATATTCTTCATCATATTCTTCCATATATCGTTCCAATTCATCTTCTTCTTCGTCATCACTTGATTTTACACCCTTGTCATTAGCATCTTGAGCTCGCACAAATTCTTTCATAATCTTCTTATTCTTCTTATTTTGCTTTTTTGGCTTTTGAGTACTGGGTTGTAAAATGGTTGTAAATTCTTGAGCTTGTTCTTCTTCAATGGCTTGTTCTTGTTTCAAACATGCCACAATAAATTCTCTCAATTGACCATTCGATAACATGTCAATTCGATTTCGTTTATCCCAAAAGACAAATTGATCTCGGTAAATGAGTTGTTGAATTCTGTGTTGTGGCAATTCTTCAGCCAAATCCGAATTCAAGAATTCTTCATACGAAATTAAGGTATCACCTTCAAATCGATCTTTATAGACCATTGAGAGATGAGAATAGGCATCGGATAAATCTTGATCCCACATGATACGATCCAGTGCTTCTTTACAAGTGAGGAATTTGGGTTTCTTTTTCAACCATTCTTCTTCTTCTCGAGCAATTTGTAAATTCTTGGAATTCATGTGTTGTTGTTTTTGATCGGGAGAGGAGGATGCAGAATTTGTGGTATTGTTATTAATATTTACAGGATTGGAAAGTTGAGGAGACATTTTTCAATAGGGAAACAAGAGCTGGAGGTAAAAACCTAGAGTTGATTGTTTTGAATTGTTGTTTTTTTGTTTGTTTGAATATTGAATTCGAGTCGAATTTTCACTCTTGAATTTGAAGGAAATTGAGAGGTGTTATTTTTAGAATTGAACTAAATTTTGGATTTGATGTTGCACTTGGAGAAGAGGTCACACTGAGACAGCAATTAGCTAAAATTGACTGGCATTCACAAATCTGCTCATGGCTTGTCTTGCATTTCGGTCTCCATGCTTTCCAAGGTATTGGTTCACGTTTTTCAATCCAAACAATGGTTGCCAAATGGTACGATAATACACACGTTGCCACCACGACCAACTGGCTTCCATGTCTTCAAGAGTTTTAGCAAAATAGGAATAGTATGATTGATCGTAGGGTCTTAACATGGATTCATGATGTTGATAATACAAGAGTTCAGAATTGAGTAAGGCACTGGCTCCAACAGTAGGAATAAATGTATCAAATTGTTCAATATTGAAATGATAAATGACGCCTTTGAGGGCCAAGACTTTTTCAATGGCATCATGGAGTGTGAATTGTACTCGTTGATCTAAAATGGAAAGCTCTTGAATTTCTTGAATTGAGGTTTGTGTATTTCTGGAAAGGAGAGAACGGTTTAGAGTATGCTCATGATAATCTCTGAGAGCTAAATATCTGGCAGTGAGAAGAAGGGCCATGTGTAATTTTCGTTCAAATTTCTCTTTCTCTCCATTGAGGTAATTTAAAATAGCTTGTTGATATACAGAGGAGGAGGATGTGAACAAATTTGTTGACTTTGCTTTTGTAGCATCTCTGATATCACTGTGGAAAGAATTTTTCAACTCTAAATATAAGGGAGTGTAGTACTTTTCATAAAATGTTTTTAACATGATGGGATTCCCTCCAACAATATCATAAATTTGCTCAAAACAATCCGTTCCATTGATTTTTTCATCGAAAAGATAGGAATATGAAAGCTTGGCTTCAGATATGCTTTCTTCAATGAGTTCAACAAATATCACTTGATCCATATCCATTTTGAGTTCTTCTCTCATTTGGTAATTGTAATAATTTCCACTCACTTCAATCAATGTTGGAATAAAGGGATCTACGTAAAGAGCAACCATTCTCAATAGAATGGCATCGTGAAGATTGGATCCTCGATCGTCGTTGGAATAAATTTCTTCTGGAATGTCAGTTTGAAATTGTCGGATATCATTTCGTGAGAGTAGAGCGACTGACTTGGAGAAGACGTCCAGATATTGCAATCCATTGATGAATAGCTTTGGATGTATGTCATTGAGAGAGATGGCCATAAATTCTAAAGTTGAGAAAAAAAAAGTTAATACTTCCATTCCAGTTCTCTTTTTTGATCGAGAATAAAGCTCTCTTCATTTAGAGAAAGATTTTGCATTTGTGTTAAAGTTGTTCCATTAAATATCAATGTTTAAAAATTGAACTTACACAAATGCTAGAGTATCAATTGCTAGTCGGAGGCTGTTCTTGACAGGACTATCATAAAAAGGTAAATACATGGAAAGTTTCTGGAAAAGTTGTGAAAACCTGTTGTCATATCCAACATCTTCCGTACTCGTTGAATTCTTTAGCTTTTGAAAGAGTTGATTCATGTCTTCATCATGAATTATTATATTGATTAAATCGTCTCTTGATTCGATCATCTTCAAGAATGAATAATTAATTGAGAGTCTCTCTGTTAGAATCTTTTCAACATCAGAAACTTGCAATTTGTCGCCTGCTTTGTCAGCACATTTTATCAATTGTTCGAGACATGTGTTATCGAAATAATCTGTAAAATGTTCAAAATCTATAGGTAGTTGAGTAGATTCCATTTCCTGAATTGTTTTGAGAAAATAGGTTTCAAAATCTAAATAGATTGAGACTGCATTTGGATTTGTTTCCTCCACTTTCTTCAATGCATCTACAATGGTATGTGATTTTCCACAACCATCAGGTCCTACAAAGAAAACACATTTCTTTGACAGATTAGACGTATTCATAAATCTTTTAATTTTTGAGATGAGTAAATGTTGTCTCGAAAATTTGAAAACTGGTAAATCTGTTTGAGAAATGATATGCCCTCTATGTTCCGAATGAAATGCTATATTCGTAGAATTGTTGTTGCCAGTGTGAGTGATTGAAAAATGTCTAAAAGTCTCTCGAGTGGATTCATGAAATATTTTAAAATAATTATTTAATCCATCATGATGATGACACCGTGCTTCCATCAAGTTCCCATAATGATTCGGAATCCCATCTTTCTTTCCATTCCATATACATGATTTAAACGACGAGGATGCCAAACAACGGTTGAGGAGACCTTTTCTCATTTTTTTTAAGGTCATCAAAAAAATGGGCCAACCAAAATCAATTTTGATGAATAATAACCGAAGTCGAATACGCAACAACATTTCATTCCCACTTGAGATGGACGTTGAAATAACCAGTGCAACACCTTATCTTACCACAGATCTTCTTGTTATTATTTTTGAATTTCTAGATACATCTTTCGTCCGACAATCCTGTATGCTCGTATCCAAACAATGGTTTTATACAGCTCGGAGCTCTCATTCAAAACTAACTACTTGGGTTCATTGGGAAGGAAAATTCAAAAATTATCATTGTACAAATTCCATGAATGTTGATCATTACGATCAAATACGAACTTTGTTAAATAATCAATGTTTAATATTGAAAAATTTAAATCTTTCCAACAATTGTTTGTACGATCGTGGAGCAAAGATGTTGTGTGAATGTTCACGGCTGAAATATTTGAGAGAGTTGGATGTATGTAAAAATCAGTTGACATGGCAAGCAGTACAGGATCTTGCAAAAAGTGAATATATGAAGAATTTAACACGACTGGATGTATCAGATAATAGGATTGAGCTATCAGGTGTCAAAGCAATCGTGTCAAGTAGTTATTTAACAAATTTAACAGATTTGGGATTCGTTAATTGCAATATTCCTGCAGAAGGAGCCACGTTAATAGCAAATAGTTCAAACGCTCATAAATTAACACGGCTATTGTTAGGATATAATGAAATTGGAGCTCAAGGGGTTCAATCTATTGTTGAAAGTGTAACAAATGGAAAATTATGTAATTTAAAAAGTTTGGATATTGGCCACAATGATTTAGATAATGAGGTTGCACTATACATTGCTGCAAACAAAACATTTATCACCCAAATTTGGTGTTTAGAAGCGTATTCGAATCGATTCAAACAGGACGGAATACGGAAATTGAAAAAGTGCTACAAGTCAAAAGGTGGCATAAATTTTTTAAACTTGGAGTTGGATTTTAGAGAAATGGAACGCCTTGTGGAAAGTATGAATTCAAAAATGCAAATGATGACACAAGTGCACTGACACATTCCAATTTCTTCACAATTCTACGACTCACAACGTACCTCATGAAAATTCTTCCAAGAAAGTTACTACTTTTTATTTCTGTTGAACTGCAGGCTTCTTAGTTCCGAACAGGGAGAGAACAATAATTTCAAATAAAAGCGGAATGACAACATCAGGTCTGAAGAACCAAGACCAACTCTTGACGCCGCTAGTGACCATGGCAAAATCTGCCAAGAATTTTCCTCCCTTCTTTTTCACACAGGATGCGACAGCGTCCAAAAGAACTGGATATTTAGCTACCAACACGCACATCTTATTTGCAAAGTAAAAATCATTTTCATAATGATATTGCCATAAGTCTTGGTACAGCTTTAGCCTTTCCTTAGAGAGATCTCCTTGCTTTAACGCCTCTCCTAATACGTCTGCAGCCATTTTAGCACTTGGTTAATCATATGAAATATTAAGGATTTGTAACTCAAAAAAATCTTACCTATCCATAGCATAGTGAATACCTTCACCTGTGATTGGATTAATTAATCCACAAGCATCACCAATCACTAAAATGTTGTCACCATATGACTTGGAAATTCCTCCTAATCTCAAATATGCAGCTTTCATTTGATCAAATTTAGCATTTGGTCCCAATGCCTTCTTAATTGCAGAATCTTCAGTAGTACAATATTCGTGAAGTCTTGGCAAATCATCCTTCTTTGGCTTGCCTCCTGGAACAATATAAGTACATAGTGACACGTCTCCATCTGAGTGTAAAAACATGGAGCAATAACCTGGTAAAACAGGCTTTGGATAGAAAATTACGCAATTCGTTTGGAAGTTGTGGTCGGAAACATAGACTCTAGAGGAAATTCCCTGAGGTTCTTCCTGAACCATTTTCAATGAGGTGGCAATCTTTGAGGGAGCTCCATCGGCACAAACCAAAACTGAGGCAAGGAATTTGTATTGTTTTGGTTCGGCATCCTCATCTTTAGGTGTGTGATTTGCAACAACAGCGTATCCTTTCAAGCCAACAAAATTACGGTTGACCTTAATAACATCCATTCCTTCCTTTAAATCTGCACCTTTTCTTTGAGCAGCACGGGCGACCTTTTCATCCAAATGAATTCTCTTAATGGCACATGGAGTCCATTCAGTGTCACCACTCAACTTTTCGATGGCATCAGCTGAATTCGAAATAAAACTAGTACCATTGGGCCCAACAATGCCTCCAGATCCCATTGGAGCAACCTTGTTTTCTTTTTTCAACTCATCCAAAACTCCCATTTCTTTCAAATGTTTTAAAGTTTTGGCAGTACAGCCATCACCACAAGTCTTCTCACGAGGGAAATACTTTTGTTCCAACAACAAGACCTTATAGCCATACTTGGCCAAATAATAGGCACAAGTAGCACCAGCTGGTCCAGCACCCACAATTGCTACGTCATATTCATTCTCTTTCAAATTAGTATGAACTTTTGATTTGTAGCTTTCGGAGATGGTGGGATCTTTGATACTTCTTGGTGCTCGTTTGAAAAATCGTTTTAGACCACTAGCCTTGTAAGCATAGATGAGAAGTAGAATACCACCACTCACGAGTAACCATTTTACAAGTGCTTGCTTTGAAGGCTTTTGTTGGAGAAATTTAAGGAGTTCATTGAATTTCTCTTTGAACGTGTCCATGATGAAAGAGATATATTATTTGTTGTTATTATTATTATTGATGATAAAGTAAATTTCGTTGTTGATCAACACCACTTTTCAAAACGTCGTATAAAAGATAACAAGGACGAAATAAATTGTATGAATACAATGCTCAATGACTAATTATCGGATGATTTCAACAACATTCAACAACCGTTAAAAACAATCATATGCATCACAACAAGCAAACCTACGTAGATATCCCAACTCGGTCTTTTTGTGGGTTCGTGTGTTGGGCGGTTTCAACAAAAAATTACAAATTTTCACTCCGAGATTTGGTGCGAATTTTTAACGAAATAGCTTCGTTGGCCGACCAAGAAGAAAACAACATTTCAAGAGGGGGTCGACGACTTGGTTTTGGCCTCCCCAAGAAGTATGAGAATCCAATGGTTCATTCCTCCATCATCATCATGATTACTACAGTGTTGCTCACGATACATTCATTGTAAACTCCGTCCCTTCCAGCTGCCCATTCCGAGGCTTGCAATCATGAAAAAATTAACATCAAGTTTTCGATTCAACAACCACAAGATGATTTTCAGACAACTCTTCTCGGCAGAGACTTCAACATTTACATACATTCTCGGATGTGAAGAAACTGGAAATGGTGCAATTATTGATCCAGTTTTGGAAGAAGTGGAACGAGATGCTAAATTATTGAAGGAATTGGGATTGAATGTGACTCATATTCTGGATACTCATGTTCATGCTGGTAAGTTGTTGAATTCTTTCATTGTTGTGTGATTCATTGAATACTCTGCAATGTATTTAAATACTCGGATTGCATTTTCATATTTTCCATTTTGGGAATGAAATGTATTCACATTCTTTTGAATGTCCATGTAATTCTCACACATGATCTATACAACACTCTTTTATAATGATTTGAACAATTCAGATCATGTCACAGCTGGTGTTGAATTGAGAAAGAAATTTCCACAAGCAACTCATTGTTACAGCATTCATTCAGGTGTCACTTTTACCGATGGTTTAACACTTGTCAAAGAACATGACGTCATTTCCATTGGTTCCACTATTAAAATTCATGTTTTGGAAACTCCTGGACATACGAGTGGCTGCTTGAGTTATTACTTGGAAGACAAGTCAAAAGTGTTTACTGGGGATGCTTTATTTATTAGAGGTTGTGGAAGGTAGGTGTTTGATTGAATTGTTTAAACAATAATCTATTTCGAACAATTTTTGAATTTCCCTTAAATGGTAATTCATGTGTCATCCAAATAGATGTGATTTTCAACAAGGATCTTCCTCGACACTCTATGACAGTGTTATGAAACTTTACAACACCCTTCCAGATTCATGTGAAGTATATCCAGGACATGATTATAAAGGAATGACCAAAAGTACCATTGGAGAAGAAAAGAAATTTAATCCAAGAATTTTCGCGGCACAAACACGAGAAGGTTTTTGTGAAATTATGGATAATTTAAAGTTGTCAAAGCCAAGATTTTTGGATGTGGCATTACCAGCTAATTTACTTGGTGGAGTCAAACAATAATATCTGTATCTGATCTCGAGACTTTGGTTGACAGATAGACAAGTATTTTGGATCTGTATCTGATCTCGAGATTTTTGGCGCTCAATTTTACGGTTGTTTCATTCAATTAAAAAAATAACAACACCGTATCATTGATTTGTTGTTTGTTTAATTAATTTATTGAAATGGAATTTATCAACGCTAAATATTCTGGAGATGAAAAGAATGGTCGGATGGAGGGGGAGAAATGTCGATTTTCTTACGTGATGGAAGGAATGCGCTATGAAGGTGAGATGAAGGATGGTCAATTTCATGGAAAAGGAACCTTGTATTATAGCTCGGGAGCAAAGCTTGAAGGTCAATGGGAGGAGGGAAGACTCGTTGAAAAAACATACATTTATAAAGATGGATTAAAGTTTAATGAAGACATCAAGAACTGGAGTTATTGTCAGTTGGGACACAATGATGAAGAACAAGATAGAAGGTTCTATCATGAAGTGTTGCAAGCAGCCAATTTTGAACATCAATCCATTCTTCCAAAATCTGAACATCAATGCATTTCTCAGGACGGTATTCAGCCAGCATTGCCTTCACGCAGATAGAATCAGTGCATTCTGATAAGGAATAGTGTCATTTGCATGATTGTTGAATATTCATTTTATTATACTAGATGGTTGAACTAATTCTTTGGTACAAAATACACAGAAGGAATAGAATGCAGAATGTCTTGATGAACGCTCAAGAAATCAATTAACTCAGATTGCACGAGTATTTTCGCATCTCTTGAAACCTTCTTCTCCAAATTGATGAATAGAGATGGATCGATAGTTAAATTCTCCACTTCTCCTTTCAATAATCTTTCTGCCATCTCACTACATACATCATAAATATTTCCAATTAATGTCTCCTCGTTTAAGAGCTTCTTTTTCACATCGTTCTTGAAAGACATGAATTTGTGACATAAAATTGCCATAACCCAATTCTCTCTCAGGAAGGAAATAAAATCTGTGATGAGTCCTTCTTGATATCGATTCACCAAATCGTTGAAGTATGACACTGGGAGACCAACCAAACTTGCTAAATTTCCTTCTTCCACAAGCTCTTGTCCAAGATAACAGATACATTCAATACAATTTGTAGTCTTGTCAACATAAATGCAGCAATATCTGAACGAATCCACACATTGACGTAATTGAGCTGATCCTGTGTTGCAAGTAGTTTCGAACTTTAGACATTTTTCAACATCAAAAGTAGAAGTCATAGATCTGAAGAATCTCACACCTCCTGGAAGAATACATCTGATAGAAGTGTTCTTTGTAAAGGTAGGCATTAAATCAGGCTGGAATGCGTAGTCACCAACTCCGAGAGAGTGCAACACGGATCTTGCAAGTTTTGCACCAACTTCTGAAGAGTTGAAAGCTTCCATCATTCTAGATTCACCAAATCTTCTTGAAAACTTTGCCATTGGACCTGCTGAATAAATACTCGGATCGGTAGTTCTAAATTGAGTGTCGACAATTAATCTTCCGTCAAAAACGAGAGACTGTCTGTTGACTGTGGAAAGAATTCCATCATCAACATCTTTGGAATGACAATTAATAAATAGAGAGCAATCCAACTCGAGTAGCTTGGTATTCTTAAGTTTTGTATCGTCCTTTTCGGCTTCAGCACCCTGAGCAAGATAAATCTTAATCAGATTTCCATCATCATCAGATGCCATATCTTCCAAGTGATAAAACATTAAACTTTTCAATCCAACCACTTCCAATACAGAGTCCATCTTTTCTTCAAGAGAATCATTCTCATTCAGTACACACTTTTTACCTTCAGGAAAGATGAGCAATATTTTAGATGGATCAACTTCATAATTTTCTAACAACGCTCTGGCTGTACACAATGCATCCAAAGAGGAACCATAGACCACAACGAATGAGTTTTCTTCTCTGTACCGATCATCGTTTTTCACAAAGAAGGTCGATAAATAATCGGTAAGAGTCAATTCCTCCCCTTGTTCATTTAACACGGTGCTGTTCAAATTCAAAATTCCTCGTTTTGGATATCCTTGCAATTCGAGATATTTCTGTTTCATTTTGTATTGTCTACTTGTACACAAAATGAGGATATCATACGTGATAAAGCTTGATGAGTTGTCATTCAATATTACTCTCTTGTTGTGTCTGTCTATATCTTCCAATTTATCTCTAACAAAGAAAATATTTGGAAGGGAGATCATATTTTGGAGTTCTCTATTGCTAAACTCTTCATCCGTATCATCGGCATAAAAGTCAGAATAGTTTCCATCGCCATTGGCAGGAGAAACGACAATGATATTGTTAAAGTAAAGAGAGGAATTGACTGAAAGCTCCTTAATAAATCCAAGTCCAGTTTTGGAACCGCCAATAACTACAATTCTAGAAAATATTTCAGTCTTCTCCTCGCTCAAAAATCTTCTGTTAATAAAATAAAGTGAGTCATATTGTACATTGGTTTGAATTCTTGAACCACCGCTCGATACAGTTGTGGTGGTTGCTGTGGTGACGACTGTTTCATTGTCGGCTGCAGAGAGTCTTCCATTGGTTTCAGAGTTGAATTCTGGAAATTCTATTTGTCTTGTTGATTTCAAATAAATTAATTCCTTATTCAAACTTTCATTCGGTACCTCTCCCCTGTAGCATCCATAGTATAGAATGTGTTTGTCCAGTTTTTTCATGACCTCTTTCAAAAATAGTTTTGAATATCTGAAAAATTTTTGCTCAATGTAGTAGTGAGTGATCATTCCCTGGCATGTTCCTCTAGAAGAATAGGCAGAGTAGTCAATGTATTCTGTAAAATCAAAATGTCTTCGAAGTAAAAATTCATTGACCTGTGTATCAATGACAGAAATACCAATGATCTCATTTTGCCCTCCAATTGCTGAGTTTTTATCAAAGAGAAGCATTGTCACGTATCTGGAACCCTTGAAGCTTTTTGCGACTGCTGAAATAAACTCGTCATCGAATTCAGCCAATCTTAGTAAATTTAAAATGGTCTCTTCTGGTGATGAATTCTTGTCAAGAGATGTTTCAGTTGCCTTCACAACCAAAAAGTCGGCCATCAATGAAACCTTTGGTAATAAGTGGAGAGAATAGCTTGAGCATTCCTGATTGGGTTCGACAAAAATAAATTGTTTTAAGAGAGGATGCTCTGATTTGGTGTGATCTTCAAAATTAATACCAACAATGCAATACCTGATATTTGAGAAATATTTGAATGCCTCCCTTAAAAAATCAATGCTTCTAAACTTGTACTCCTCTTGAATGTAAAATAATTTGATTTCAAATGCATTGGCGTGATAGATGACTTGATCTTCATATTGAGTTTCATTAATGAACTCATCATAAATTGGCACGTCCTCGCTTTGGAGTTTGTAATCTGTGATGATTTGTCGGACATCAATCTCAGCAGATAAATACATGACACCAATTATCTCACCTTCGTCATTTGTTGCAATGAGAATTTTGCGGTGATCATTCTGTTCGTAAAGCAGATTTGCAAAAAAGTACTCTCCACTTGGTTTCAGTGAAGTAATGTTCTCGCAACAAGATAAAATTGGAACAATATCATCATTATCTTCTACCACTGCTTGTCTAATTGATAGCTTCTTCACTCCTTTCCCCAACGAGTCTCTATGACATAAAAAAACAAATCTTTCATTCTCTGATTTAATGACATCTTTTGCACACTCTTTGGAGAAAATTGAAAATTCAGAAAAGTAATCCACCCCAGCAAAGTTTTTTCCTGGTTGATAGCAAATATAATCGACTTCAGGAAATGTAATAAATATTGATGACAACATTTCCAATAGCACGTGCTCTCCATAGAACGGCTCAAAGTGCAATAGTCTAATCCATGTTGCGTTCCGAACTGATAGAGGTAGGTGGGAGAAATACTTTTCAAATTCAACTGGATCTGAAATACAATCAAATTCCAAAGACACGAATCCGATAATTTGGTTGTTGTCCGTCTCTGCAATAATTGACAAGTAACTCGTCTCCAACACTGATTTCAGGTTATAGTTGCCGAACCTTTTGGCAAGAAGGAAGCTGTTGTCGTTGAGAAATTTTTGTATGATCGAAAAATCCTTTGGATAGGCTCTTCGGACCCGTACACTCACGGACTCTTCATTGTAGTCAAGACCCAATGTTGTTTGAGGTGGATTGAGGGAGGCTCGTGTTTCGAGTTTGAATTCATCCATTTTTTTGTAGATGGTTTCAAACAACATTTTAGGCGGGTAAGGGAGAGACATTAGATAATCCCAAAAACTGTTTTTGATAAACAACAAGTTGTTTTTTATAGATTTTTTACAATTTTCAGCTCAAAATATGCTACATCGTTCAAGGAGTGTGGCCAGAGCTTGCTAAATGTCAGTGAAAAATGGAAATGCATTGTATAAATTATACAATGAGCCTAAGAACAAACGGTAAGGCTCTAGTTTTTCTTTGTGTCAACATAGGCATATGCAGCCTTGTTGTGCATGATCATTTCGTCATCGTTCACAAAATAGAAAGAGTCTGACTTGACTTGATAAGGACTGTTTTCAATTTCCTTAACTGTGTTTGATGCGATATATAAACACCTTTCCAGCCTAGTTAAATTACTTACTCTCTTCTTCTGTCAATTCAGGCATAGAGTAGATACATTCCCATGTGTTTTGGCTGTTGGGAATACAAAATTTGAAGTTAAAATCAAATCCCTTGAGAAGTCTGTCCTTGAAGTAGTGTCTTTCAATCATTCTGAAATTTTTCACTGGTTTTGGTCCAACTTTGAACACCAAACTGGTTGCACATGTTATCACGAAAATGTATACAACATATATACAACAAGAGTTATTGGTTGCATGTTGTTATAACACTTACGTTGTACCGATTCCTTTTGATCTCAGCATCGATCTATCAAATTTGTAATTAATTGAACGGAGTGAATCCTCATCTAAATTTGATCCTTGCTTCATCAATTCCTTTGCTGTTTCCTCAGCCGAGGTATGGAACAACACTTCTCCAGAATCACAGTTTCGGATTTTAAACTCGAGAAATTGAATTCCAACGGTGTTAGCGTTAAGGGGACATAAAAATCCTATTTTATCATCATCATTCCAATAATTTGTTGGTATCAATAATGGTTCATCCTCATTTCCATCCGTATGTTGTATTTCACTCACACTTACCTTCCGTTGGTTTATTGAACTTTAAAACGTCCTGTGGTGTACACTTCTTATCGTTTGCGAGCATCTTGTATTCGGAGAAAGGCTTGGTGGTGAGGTTGGCGAGTTTGGTAATTTTTTTTGTATGTGCAACACTAATGCGACCCCTCGAATTTCTAAACTTTTTGGTGTACAACGTTGGCGGGAGAATGGCCATGCCCAAAAGCCTCATTTTTATCTCGGTTGTATCTCAAGAACCTCAATAGTCAAGTACTCATTCTTGTAGTGTCTAAAGAATTCGAGCAAAGAAGGATACTTTGTCAAATCGTCCCGTGTGATTGGTTGGATATATTCCGTGTTGAAGTGGAAGTAAGTGGCCAGAGGTTTAAGCTGAGTGTACGACGAGTTCCGAAGTAGTTTGGCATTTAAATGTTTGGGTCCAACAACCAAAATTCTATCATTGTGCATAAATTGTTCGTTGATGGTGTGAAGGAGGGTTTCTGGATTTTCAACACCTGCTAAATCTGTGACAGATATCTTGGTTGGAATGAAATAAGACAAAAGGTAATGAGGCGCCGAATATGTGTTGTGATAAACAATGCCAACCCTTCCTTCTATTTCTTTTGAATTTGGAGTTTGAGATTTCAGAATGATGGATGGAAGAGATGTTATGCTTGACACAACACCTACTTGATGAATCAATGTATAGAATATGGAAAGTAAGATTCCATGTAGGATGCAAAGAAAGAGAAACTTCTTGGTTTGTGCTGGCCAAAGATTTGAATTATCATTCGTTGAGGTGTTGGACACTTGACTGTCATTCTTTTTTTCTGAATAATCCATTCGTTCAAAGTCGTATCCTGACAATATCACCAAGCAGCAAAATGAAGGTAAAATAAAACGAGGCTCCTGATGTGGTACATAACTTAGAATTATTAATCCTGACAGGGCAGATAAAAATGCAATCCAAATAATATAAGGAATTTCAGTAATGCCAACAGCAGAGGAGTTCCAATGAGTGGAGAGGAATAGTCTAGATATGTATTTGGCAATCCATCTGAAAAGTCTAAAACAAAAAGCAAAATATGTAAATCCAAATAAGAGAGGTGAATTAATCAAAGAATGGATATATCTGGGATGAAGTGTATGAATGGCCAAATTTTCAACGTAAGAGTTGTAAATGATGTTGTTCAATGGCGCAATAACAATGCTTGAATTGAATATAGGGCTTAATGTCGGGTCGTTCCAATCGCTAATTAAGTTCAACTTATAAAGTAAGTATCTAAAAGAGCTCAAATAATTTGGTCGAGAAAAATACTTAAAGAAAAATATGCTGTCAAGAAGAATCAAGAAAGAGCAGGCCATCAATGCTGTAAATCCGAATGTTACAATATTTCTCGTTATGAACAAAAATTTTGTTTTGAATGAAGAATGCCATTGTTCAAACAGTGGTGAGAGTAACGACATCAGTGCAACTGGAGTAGCATAAAACGCAAAAATAAAGTTGCTGAAAAAGCCCAGCGAGAAAATGATTGCATTCCATAATAAATAAATGGTGCTTCCTGTTTCTCTTCTTTTCATCTCCATCAGCAAGAAAAGAGCAAATAATGCTCCTGATATTGTATTCGCAAAAGTTCTCGTCGAGAAGACCAATGTTGTTAGAAAGAATGAATAAATAGTGAATAAAAATAAGCTCTTTGACGATAGCGATCGCAAAGATGATCCTTTAAATTGATGTGACGCTTTGCAATCCCTCGAGCACAATAATTTCCACACAAACATGTCATTTAAAAAGGAAAGGAAGAACAATAAAATTTTTGGCGCATATAAAATAATTAGAGGTGAATATTGGTGTAATAATTGCAAATATTCATCTCGATCCAACATGCTCTTGCAAAATGACATGATTATTTTCACCACGTACAATGGAATTCCAGTGAATATCAAAGGAATTAAAGTATTTCTTTGAGGAAACTCAAATGTAAACTCCCATCTTAAAAAGCTTTCATCCAATACAGTTCCATTCATTGAGTTGTAAGTTGTAAGATTATTATTCCAACCCAAATCTACTTGTTGTTGATATAACCCCCTAAATACTATTGAAGAAGTAAATGAAGGAGATTGAAAAAATTCATCAGGAAAAATATATCCCATCGGAAAGATACACAAAAAGCGAATGATCAAGCTGAGTATGTAAGCTCCTCTCAAAATCCATTCCCATTCTTTCATCTTTTCATTCAACGAGAAGGTTGATTGTGTTGTTGCTGAATGAGAGCCTTCCGATGAAGCAAGAGGCATTTCTATAGGATGATGAAGCCTTTCTGAAGATGAAATATTTTTTAATTTTATTCAATCAAGCAAATTGGTGGCTCACAACAACTTCTATTTTCCTCGCAAGGACATTCATGAAAGAAGTGTTAAGAGAAAGACAACAACTCGGATGGCCATTTGATGAACAAGTTGTGTTGGAATCACCTGAGACTAGTATCTTGATGGCTGATGTCCCTTGTCAATCAAAAATTTATCATACCTATCCATCAAACATGTTTCGCGTCAAACAGAAGAAATTGTAAAATAAACTTGTCATCTTTGAGCGCCACCTACTCCTGTCATTACCTTGAACATTTTTCACACAGAATATTCCGTTGATGTGCCAGTCAACTTCAAATTTCTCAATGACGTATGGGCATTTTGCAAAAAAATCAACCACAAAAAAACACTTCCAACAACACACATAAACAATGGCAGGCGTAGCAATCAGCGATGATGTTGTCCAATCCTTCAACAACATGAAGCTCAAGAAGGAAGATACTCCATCACAAGCTATTAAATTCAAAATGTCCAACGATTTGAAGTCAGTTGAAGTTTTGGAAAAGGTCCCAAAGGGAACTTCATATGATGATATTGTTGCTTCTCTCCCTGAAGATGATTGTTTGTATGCTGTTGTTGATTTCCACTATGATAACGAGGATGGTCACCGTGAGAAGATGATTTTCATCAACTGGGCTCCAGTCAAGGCTCCAATCAAGAAGAAGATGGTCTACGCTGCTACTAAAGGAAGTGTGAAGGATAAGTTGGTTGGTATTTCATTGGAAATTCAAGCTACCGATAAGAGTGAAGTTGATTCCAAGACTGTTATTGATAAGTGCAACCTCATTTCTAAATAAATTGACACTCGTCCATGATAAAGACGATGTTGTAATTTTTGTATTATTGCCACTTTCATTGTTTTGATCGTTTTAAAAGAAGTTTTATGAGTGAAATGGCTCATCATGATTATACTGTATGATGTTGGCACCACTTTCGATTGAATCTTGGTCCGAACTGGTGTGTCATGATGACGTTCCAACGAGTAATAATTTTATTCAACGGTGGCTCTCGTGCCATTTACATTCCGAACTTCATTGTGTAATTATAATTAATTAATTTTGTGATACTTTTTTACAGATTCCTGCCATTCGTTCATGCTGTTAACGACTTGGACCGACGTCCTCTCTAGCCAACTCTCCTTGTTTGGTGCAATGAAACCATCAAGAGAAGCAATGTGACCTCCTCTCAAAGTGGTGACAAGCATTAATTTCTTGTTGTACAGGAATTCTTCGAATGGAATCGCTTCATATGTGGAAATTGGATCGTCTAGAGCATTGATGCAAATTGTGGGAATGGTAATGTTTTTGAGCTTGTCTTTGCAACTGTGAAAATTATAAAACTCTTCCACTGAATCGAATTTTGGATTCGATAAATGTCTGTTAATCTTATCATCCAAGTCTCTGGTTGAGCGGATGGTAGACAAAATTTGGACATACTCTTCGGGTAATAATCCCTTATTTCTCTCGTAGCACATGAAGCGCTCTTCAGCATATGCTTTATCATAAATTAATCTTTGGAAAAGGTTGGATTGTAATTTAAGGGTGGCAGCATTAAGGTCAAATGGATTTCCTATCGAAATAGCATACGCAAATTCGTTTCTTGACTCGTCATGATCATCATTTGGAAGAATTTTTTCATGATTCTTTAGTTTTTTAGCTCCTTGATATTTGGGTGCATTCTTTCCCACGTGCTCTGATAAATATGTAAGTAACGTGTTTGCCCCAAGTGACATTCCAACTCCAACCAATGTTTCATCAGGGCCAACCTCCTTTCTTACTAATTGAATAACGTTTCTAATATCCTTCACCGTGTGAGTAAGGCCTGGAATAACGTGAGTGGATGGAGAATGGTTTCGATTGGGTTGGTCCAAATCCACTGGTTCTCCTTCTGGAGTCACTGGATGTGTGGTATGGTGGCCGTGATGAATTGTAGTTGGTTCCGTTGGAGAAACAGATTTGTAATCCATCACCACACACCTGTAGCCTGCCTTAACGAAACTTGAAATTAAGTGTTTGACTCCAACAGCATTTGTTCCTCCTGACAAACCAGGAATGATGAATATTGTTGTGTTTGATTTTCTGCCAGATTGAGCATAATTCGATTGATTTCCTCTGCCGACTGCTCCCATGTTACTTGTTGATGCTTCAAGACTATTCGAAGCAGTATTTGTGAGCGATTCCGATGGTTCAAACCAATCCAAATTAATGATGGCTCCATCCTCAAACTCGTATTGATTTCGTTTCTTTTTAAAGGAGGATTCATCTTGATCATCAATAATATGGCGTACAGCTCCACCAAATGTTGTTTGAGCATGAGCATTAATCAACCATGGTGTTGGACAGAATCTCTTATTAAAATTCGGCACCGTTCTCTTTAAATGTTCCTGAAAAGCATCAGCATTATTGAGCACTTGCTGATTCGGAGAGTAAACCCATGGCTTTTGGCACACGAACAATCCATAGTATCCAATAAATCCCAAAACACCCCATTTCAACAATTTAGTTTTTGAATGTCTTTTAAAAAAGCTTTCTCGTTTCTTCTTTCTGAATTCATTGAAATATTCTCGTTGCTTGTTTGATGATGATGAGTATTGGCTTTGCTCCGAAGACATTTTTTAATTGACTGGAAAATTGCAATCCCGCACAATATCAAGCATGGTGCCTAGTGGTACTTTTTTAGGCATTCTGTAAAACTGTACTGTGCTTGATACAAGAAGGGTTGCTTGATAATGACAAAACATGTTTCATACAATGAAACTAGAGGTAGAGACCAATTTCAACAAACAGCTCATGTCCAATTATTATTTTTTTATGAATTGTTCGCAGGGTTTCCACAAACAGGCAGATTTGACAACCAAATACGGTGGAATCTCGTTAAAGTCCAAACACCCAGTAGTTAAAAGAGTTCAGGCTTGTTTCCTTGGCGAATAACCTTAAATGCATTCATGGAAATAAACTTGTTAACATGCATCAAACCTGGATATTGTGAAGCTACACATCCAATGTGACCAAGTTCAAGGGTAGTTGGGGCAACTATTCCGATACCAGTAATCTCCTCATTACAGTAATGCAGAATAAAAAATAACTTGTCTTTCAATCTGAACTAGTTTTGTAAGAAGCTTGTTTTCGTTTGACAGTGTGGAGATGGTTGCTTCAAACATTTGTAACCTGCGCGGAGTGGCTTTTTCTCTCCTAATAAAATTGATTTCAACGTTATCGGTGCCAGCTCTGTATAATTGAAGAATCATTCCGGTGTATTGCCCGTTATTTTGTGCAACGGTCTTAAAAATCGCTGGAAACTGTTTTTTGTTTATCCAAAAAGGATTTTCAATTTACATGTCTGATGCTTTTTCCAAGTGAATCAAGACTTGGCCTTCGTAGAGGCACCCAATGTTTCTCTTAATGGAGTTGATATCCCTCTTCATATCCTTTATATCAATCTTCATATCCTTTATATCATTCTTCATATCCTTCATTTCATTCCTCATTTCCATGATACAAGTTGCAATAATGAGTAAAACCTGATGATAAGATGACTTTTTCAACTCTTCATATAAATCGGAATGTGCGGTTTGAGAAGAATTAATAACACAATTTCCAGTACCAGAAATTGCAGGCTCAAGAAGCGGAAGGCAACGTTGTTGACTATTCTTTACACCGTTATCACCAGAAACCATCTCCATTGGGTGTTCATCTTCTATTACTTCTTGATGGATGTTTGATGCACTTGTTCCTGCCTTGTTGCTAAGATTAAGCGAACTAATATTAGCTGTGGGCGGTTGGTTCTCCGAAGGTAATACAGAAGGTCGGTCTTTTCTGTTGTTAAGGGGAACGGTCTTCATTTTTGAGTTGTTTTCCCCAAGAATGGCCTTGGTGGCGGCTTTGGAAGCTTTTTTATCCTTCTTTGCTCTCTCCTCCAATACTCCCTTGATGTGAGTAATATATAGGTTTCTATTCTCAATGACTCCCTTAACGGAGAGTGGTAACTCCTTTTTTTGAGATGCAAGTGATGAAAAATCATCAACTCCCATGTCATGCAAATAAGAGAGCTTTAGTGGATTGGAAATTTCCTTCCGAAGTACATTCATGCATATCAAGTAAAGTACTCGTTTTGATTCGTTTGGATTTTCCGTACCGTTCAAGAACTTATCTAAAGCCATTTGTTTTTCCTGAAGAGAAACCGCTTCATCAGCCAGTGTTTGGTAGAGCTCTAGACTCATTGGAACAGCACCAAGAATTGCCAAATCCAAACCATAAGTATTAAGCTTGGAAAGAGCTGCTTTTAAACTCATTCTCTTTAGTTAAGGTATTTTTTTTGAACGTTCAAAGCCTTACAGTTTCGTACGAGACAACATTTCATTTGATCAAACTTCAAGATAACCAATATCACCCAGAATCTGAATATCATATAAGATACATCGAACCATTAACTCTCTCATAATCTGCTTTCAGTGTTGAAGTTTGTTGTAGTGATAAAATACGTGCTTAATTGTGAATGAACAAAACTCAAAGAAATTGAATATCTGTAAACTGTTGATCGTCAAGTAATTGTTGATACAAGAGTTGTAGTCTTCCTAATAATTGAGTAGGTGTGGAAATAACCTTATTGACCAAAATATAAGTATCACCCCTAATTTCAATTTTAACAAACGTGTGTTGAGAGAGCGACACATTAAATATTTGAAAAGGTGTGTGATTGGTTTGAGAAGAAGTTTGGTATGGTGTTATGAAAATTGGCATTAATCCAGTATGAAACACTCTCCCTTCTTTAGATGAAATAAATATTCCACTACTGTTTCCACATGCCATATATTGAATGTCATCTCCAGGAGAAAGATTAAAGTCGATTTTTGTAAATCCGTTAATATCAGAGTTTGTAATGCCAATTCCTAATTCTCCATCTTCTTGAAGACCTTTAAAATGTTAGTTCAATACCCAATTCCATACTGCTTGTCAAAACAATTGCACATGAATTCCTAACTTACCAAATGAATAAATTTCATTGGACATGGTCATTACAAATGAAAAGCCATAACTAGATGTCATTGTTTTCACACTCATGCTTTGTTCTTTAGAAAAGAACTCAATTAAAATTGGTGTTTTCACACATATTGTTGTGCTTGGAACTTGAGGACCCAATTGACCAAATTCTGTATATCCACAACCATATAATTGCTTCACATGATTCGTTTTTTCACTTGCAGTGGTTACGAAAAACGTATTGTACTCCCCACAATAGATTGTTTCCAGTTCAATTTCGCCTTTTCCGAACATTTGTAATTGTGTTGGAACCAAGACAACATTTTCTTGCTCCTCACCAATTCCTAGTTGTCCCCAATGGTTCTGTCCAAATCCAAACACTTCAGAATCTTCAGTCAACACCATTGAATAGAAGTTTCCACATTGAATTTTCCTAATTTTCATTAAAGAAAGAGATGTAATTTTTACAAAATCCAATTGAGTAATATTATTTCCAATACCTAGTTGACCATCATCATTTTCTCCAATTCCATACACTCCATCACTTGTGATAAAAAACGTAAAATAAGCTCCAGAAATCATTTCCAATATTTTCAAATTTCTTTCGTTGAAAAAATCAATTCTTTTGAACTCTGAATTCATTCCATATTTATCTGTTGGAACATCCTTATTTCTGGTAAATCCCCACAATTCTTCACGTGTTTCGGATAAAGCATCTTTGAATAGAAAATAGCTCCTCCACAAGGATGGAGAAAATTGTGAAATTATCGGAATGACGAGATCCGTCTCAGGAATGAGAGCTCTCATATTTGTGAGTGGATTAGTGGGTGTAGCCAGTGCTGGTGGGCATGTATCCCTTTTTGAAAGCCACATCAAGTGATACAATTGAGTGGATTCAAATAACATTTTTTTGAATTTAATGTTCAATTTTTCACCCTGCGTTTTGTATCATTTTTGAAGTGTTGCGCTTGTTGTGAGCTAGCCATCCAAATTAACTTTGATCTTTCAAATATTGCTGGGACTGTTTGCTCTTTTGTTGAAATACTGTGATTTTTTCATTCCCTAATCGTTTCAATTTTAAGTATACGAGTTGAGTCTCTTCATTTCATCGTTGTATCGTTGAATAGGACAGACACACCAAAGAAGCTTCAGCAAAATTCGTCCATGTCTACCATAAACTTGGGAAGTCTCCTGAATTTTCACTCAATCATCTACAGTCCATCACATCTCTTGAACTTTTTCGATGCTCTGTCATAACTTCTAAAACTGAGTTCCAATAATCTCAATAATTCTTGAGGTAATGTGGATTCATTTCTGATACCAGAATGGACAAGTTTATGGTAGAAGTTGAATTAAAACACTGACCCATTCTTTGGAATGATATAGAACTTGTTATCCCGAGTCAACATTTGGAATGTGTTCTCAGTCCCAGTGGAAAAAGCGATCAATGTCTCCAGAAGGAGCTCGAACAAGAGAGACGAAACAGAAGCAACAAACAACTCAGCACATAGCACCAAACAAAGCAAAAGGATGGAGATTTTGCAAAACCCTGCTGAACAATTAACGGGTGATCAATATATATCAATTTTGATCAGAAAAAGAAGTGTCATCTGTGCATCCAATTTGAAACTGCCAAATAAGTGTAATTTCCAAAACAGAACCGAGAACGAAAAATTCCTTATTAACCAACTTTTTTCAAAACCATTTTAAAATACCCAGCTCTTTAAATATCCTTTTCCAAAGTTCCCATACTATCCATGTGGCATCCCTTTACGCTCTAAAACCTCATGGTCGATTTTGGATCGAAACACCATATGATTGAAGTTTTGTTTGCGAACACAGCAACTGAACGAATTCCTTACATCAACTGGAACAACCCAATCTCAAAGAAAAACCATCGAAACCAAAGGTTTTGTTTCCAATGAAATCAAAAGCCGTCAGCACGTTCAGCATGACCTCTTCCTTGCAAATCAAAACAAGTGCGAGTTGGGAAAGTTCTTCCTCATCCACAACATCCTCTCAACGACTTTTACCTCAAGATATCTTGGAGGATGAAACTCCTCAATTACGCATCAACAACAACAACAAGTCCAACACAAAACATCCAACAACAAACGAAAGATTCAAATGAAACACGATCAATGTTTACTCATGAAAGCCTCATCTTCCGTTCAATCCATCTTAACCTCGGGTGTGGATACGTACTTCTCGAGAGACGGAAGATCCTGCTGGAGGATTCAAATCATCAAGCAGCAAATCAGATGGAGCCCACGCAACAAGTGCTACTCCTCATCAATGTATCATGAATGCTAATGCTCTTATTCCTTCATCACCACAAGATTTGGGATCTTTTGCATCATCCTCGGGGTCCTTCAATTCAACATCAAAGATTTATTATGTAATGTCGAAATGGGTGAATGACATTGCTCGATGTACTCTGCAACTCACCACTTCTCCGAATGTCATTCCCGTTTCAATTTTGGGTCAATATCTGCTCGTCCTTCTCTATTCATGGTACTTTTTGGATTACTGTTCCTTTGCAGTGGTGGCCGTCACTTGTCTCATAGGTGGGTTCAAAGGTCGGAAATATATCAAAGTGTTTAGTCGAGACAGTCACTTGGTTCCTACGACTGTAATTGAGGAACGAAATCGTCTCATCGTCTGCCTCATTCTCTTCTCCATACGTTACTATTTTCTTTCTCAAATGAAAATTGTCATTATTCCCTTGTATTTCATTTCAGTCATGACCACCACTATTTTACGAAGGAATAGTCTTTGGTGGTCCATTGCACCCATGCTCTTTGTCTTTTCTCAATTCATCATTGAAACAAGTACTCAGTTATTAAGGGAAGGATGGAATGCAAAGAGTGTTCAAATATGTACAGAAAACTTGTCCTTTGTCATTGTGATTCTGCTATTTACTTTCTTCACCATCACAACAGGGATGAATCTAAAGAGCAAACTGAACAAGTTGGAACAAACGAGTGAACAATTAGAACAAGCACTGAGTGCCAAACAAACTTTTTTAAGACACATTAGTCATGAATTTAGAACACCATGTCTCTCTTCATTGGGAAGCGTCGAACTCTTGAAAGAAACCACTCTCACGGAATATCAGAGAGATTTGGTCGAAACGATTGCGTCAGCAGATGGAATTTTGTTGAATTTAATTGAAGACATTTTGACGTTGGCTAAAATTGAACATGAAAAAAAGTTGGAAGAGAAGGAAGAAATTGTCGACACTTCAAAATATGTTCAAGAATTTAGTTTGGGACATTGTGTGAAAATGATTGGAAATATTATCAAGAGTTATTCCACACAATTCAATGTGAATGTTTTGGTCAAAATTGATGAAATGACCAAAGATATTGTTGTGAGAGCAAATCAAACAAGAATTCATCAAATTATTTCAAATTTAATGACAAATGCAGTGAAAGCCTCAAAATCAGGAGATGATGTTGAATTGATTTGTGAAACGAATTGCAATGAAAAGAAATTGGTGAATGGAGTGATGGAACAAGATGTGATTTTCAAAGTGAAAGATCGAGGAGTTGGAATTCCAAAAGAGAAACAACAAGTCATATTTGAACCTTTTTCTCAATTACATAATGTGAATGAATCGATTTATCCAAGTTCTGGTCTTGGATTGAACACTGTGTTGCACAATGTCACTTCCATGAGAGGAACTATTCATCTGGAATCTGATGTTGGAAAAGGTTCTGAATTCACAGTCACTCTGCCACTTGAAATTGTACCTTCTCCATCCTTAGTCAATAGTCCAATGACTTGTAGTTTAGAAGAAGAACAGTTGAAGAAACAGCTCACAAATCCTGGGGTTTCCGAATCCGTGGACATCGATCCATCTCTAAAGAAACAACTCTCCATTCAAGAGAATTATTTGAAATTATTTGCTACTTCGGACCGAACTGTTGTGTCCAAGAATAATGCTCAGATCATCATTGCCGATGACAATGCCATTAATCGAAAGGTCATTGTCAAGTTGATTGAAAGTTTGGGATATGAGACCGATGCAGTGTGTGATGGAAAGCAACTCATTGAGAACATTGATGAGAAGAGACACAAATTAGTATTTACAGATATTGTAAGTATTAACCAACGTTGAAACACTGTTTCACTCATGCTCTCTTTATTATATGTAAACACACAACTCAGAATATGCCAAATTTAAATGGATTGGAAGCAGCAAAATTCATTAAGGCCAAATTCAAAGATCGTATTCATATTGTAGCACTCACAGGAGATGTCTTGTTGGAAACACCTCCATCCATTTTTGATTCAGTGATTACGAAACCATGTCGGAAAGCAACACTCAAGAAATGCATTGAAAGTATTCCATCTCTCATAGCTTGTAAACATGATGATTGAGAAAATAAATAAACGAATTCGTATCATAACAACCACCTAAAGCCTTCTTTCGGAAAGCTCATGGACGGACGCTCGTCATTTATGTAACGTCTTCTAGAGCTCAAAAGGGAAGGTGAGATCTCCATTTCAAGAGTTAGCAAGCGCTGAAAAATCACCAAAAAAAATACCTCGCACGTTCCATGATTGCTTCGTCGAACAACAACTACTTGAATAAAGCGGAAAGAAGTGTTAATTCGTTCAGGAATAACGACATAAACTCAACAGCGAATATTCACTGGCCACTTGTTTCTTCAACAACTACGAACACAGAGGCAACTATATATTCCCTCATCAACATGAACATGAGGTTTTGGATACATTGCCATCCATATCCTCGTTTTTCTCCTCGTCTCCTTTGGACGATGAGCTTTCATCTATATCAACAAGTACGTCCAGCAATTCGTTTAAAATTGAGGACCGATTGGAAGAAGATTTTGAGCAATTGTTGATGGAAGAAACTCCACCAGAACTAGTTCCGTTATTTAAATTTAACAGTTTTTTGTTGACAACTGATGGAAGATGGGCAGTGTGGCTATCCATTCTTGTTCAGCATGTTGTTTTCTTATTTTATGGATATTATTTTCTAAATCTCTTTTCAACAATTGTGCTCCTTTCATCGACAGTACTTGCATGGCCTATTAAGAAATTATTTGACAAGAACATGCAGAAACGAAAGCCCGAGGTCATTTGTGCTGAAGAAAGAAATGCATTTCGCAGTGGTTTTACACTATTTTTAATCAGGTTTATAATCCTCAGACAGCACAAAATCATGCTACTACCTCTGTACATTATATTAGCAATTGCAACTACTAAATTTACAAAGTATAGCGTATTGTGGTCGTTCACACCTCTCTATTATACTTCAGCTTTATTTATTGTGGATTCGGTTTATATATTTGCGTGTTTCGGCTTTTCTGAACTATGTGTTACGTCTCTGCTTGAAAATATAATATTCTTAGTGGTCATACTATTGATCAGCTTTTCAATTGCAATCATTGGAATTGATCAGAAAAGCAATGTGAAAGCACTGGAAAATACTAGTATTCAACTCAAAATGAGTCTCCTTGAAAAGCAAAAGTTTTTACGATCTATTTCACATGAATTTAGATCTCCTTGCTTGTCATCATTAGGCAGTGTGGAATTGCTTAGAGAGACGAGCTTAACAGAGTATCAACGAGACATGGTTGAAACAATAGCTTCGGCAGACGAAATACTTTTGAATTTAATAGAGGACATTCTGAAAGCAGCTAAAAATGAGCACGAAAAGAAGGTCGGCCACGTTGAAGAAACAACTAAAACGATGAAAAATTGCCAAGAATTTAGTTTAGGGTACTGTGTGAAAACTATTGGTAATATTATTAAGAGTTATGCCTCGCCCTTTAATGTCAGTGTGGTGGTCAAGATAGACGATCAACTCAAAGATATGGTCGTGAGAGGAAACCTCACAAGAATACACCAAATTCTGGCCAATTTGCTGACTAACGCAGTCAAAGCATCAAAGTGTGGTGGAACAGTTCAGCTTATTTGTGATGTTGAATTACACGACAAAAGTGCGTCGGCAGTAACAACGGAACAAACAATTGTTTTTACTGTCATTGATCATGGAGTTGGAATCCCTAAGGATAAACAACACAAGATATTCGAGCCATTCACTCAGCTCCACAATGTGAATGAAACTGTTTACAAAGGGTAAGTTTTTTGTTTACAGAGTAGGGTGCTATTTGGTGTTAGGTCTGGTTTGGGCTTAAATACCGTTTTACATTACGTACAAGCTTTACGAGGCTCCATTCATCTGCATTCCGAGATTAATGAAGGGACCGAATTTGCAGTTTCTCTTCCTTTGGAAGTTGTGAATGCCAATAGCTCATCCAATGACGGTGCGAAAGATGGAGTTGTTGTGAAAAAACATCTATTCAAACAAGCAGTTGTCTCAAACCCTGAGAACACCACCATCTTCAATTCTAATGCAAAGATAATAATCGCGGACGACAATTCGGTAAACAGAAAGGTCATTGGGAAACTCATTGAAAGTATGGGGTTTGAGTATGACGTAGCAAGCAACGGTCGCCAGTTATTGGATGGTTTTGATGAAACAAGGCACAAACTTGTTTTTACAGATATTGTAAGTACCAACCGCTCTTAAATAATTAACAACGTGGTAAAGAACATGCCTGACATTAATGGGGTTGATGTGGCCAAAATACTTCGTTCCAAATTTAAAGAACGTGTGAAAATTGTTGCTCTGACTGGAGATGCCATGTTTCAACCACCTCCACATCTGTTTGATGTTGTGATTTTGAAACCTTGTCAAAAATCGGTGCTCAAAAGTTGTATTGACAGCGTCTCATTTGACTGAGGGCCAAGATTAGCTCAAAATTAATTTTTTAATTTTTTTCAATTGTCAGAAGCTAAATTTGGGTGGCTGAACGAATTCACAAATAGAATGTTTTCTAAAATACTTCTTGTTTCGACGATATTAAGATCAGGCAACAAGAAGGAAGATCCAGCAACGATGTTCTCAAAAAAACCATCCAAGTTCTTCCCATTCCGTGTGAGATCTGGTTTATTGGTGTTATTTTCCTGGCTGCACATGCCTTAGCGTGCTTCTGGTTCAAGGAGAGACCTCCTTTGACAAGATCTTGTTAGATATCCTTTCGGTGCCAATCCAATCGCCTTATGGATTTCCAACCATTTCCAAAGAGATTAGCGTCTCAAAATCAGCCTGTGTACAATTCGTCTATTCTTCCAGTCAAAGTATGGAACATGGGAGATTTGTATGCCTTTGATGAACAGTGTGCGCTTCACAATTATACATTCTCTGTAATCAAAAGCTTTGGAGATCGATTTCAGCTCATAAATGGAAGAAACAAAGCGAGAGCTTGACCATCGGGAAGTGTGAAAATGCAGCTCCAAAGTACAACTCGCGTCTCCTGTATTGCAAGCCTCTGAATGTTTATGGTCAACCAATTCCTGATGGATTTACTGTGTGTGTCCAAATCTGTTGGGCTCCAATGGCACTCAGCTTACAATGAGTGTTGAAATAGATCCCTTTCTACAATGTTCTTTCAACATGGACCCTCAATGTCGTTTAAAACCTTATCCAGGACAAGTTGCGCTGTTCATTCACCCTGGAAATTTAACTGTTGCAGAATATGAACAGGAGCAGAAAAGAAAACAAAAAGAGGATTTGCAGAGAAAAAGTGAATTGGTTGGTTATGTGATGGGAGGTGTGCTTGTTGGATGTATTCTGATAGTGATTGTTGTGGGAATTGTTGGATATTTATGGTATCAAAGAAGATGGATCAATTATCTACGTCAAGAAAGCAAACCTTCGTCCTTGGAGGAACATCATGAAATGTATGAGGAAATACATTCTCAAAAGGTCGATCGAATGGAATTGAGTGACGAATAACTTGCTCACCTTTGTTTGCATTCACACAATAAAGCACTAGTGACCTGCAGTTTTCAAGATTTGGGTTTTTGTTCGGAGAGCGTTCAGCTTAAAAAAAATGAGAAGAAGCCTTTCTTCATGCTCTTCCTCGTTCAAGTCATCTGTACGAAAGATTACTTCCGCTGGTCATCGCCCCTTCCATGATGTCAATACGAGAACAACCTCTGTTTTGAATCATACATTATGCGGAGGTGCAAATATGAAAAATGGATCGGATCATGATGACTTTTCGTTAATTAATTGTTGTTCATCATCATCAATGAGAAATTACCATAGTCGGGCTAATGACAGGTATAATTCTCGTTCAAAAACTAGAAATGTAGTCGAGGAACAAAAGCCAAACACCGTAAATTTAGAACAAGTTCACGATACTATCAAGAGAACATTTAACAGCAATGAATTGGATTGTATTTTCAAGCCTAAGAGCATTTGTGTCATTGATGACTTTAATCCTGAAATTCATTCATCTCCTGTTCCTGTTCCGAATGATAGCATTAGTAGTACACTTGCAAGAAATGTGTTGTGGAATTTAATGTCAGTCTCTCAAGTTAAAGTTTATGCTGTCTCAAAGCACGTGGAAAGAGTATTGCAAGATCCAAACAGCAAGCGTCGTCCTCATTTATTAGGAGTTCAAATGTATTCTTCATTGGGCGAGCTTTATGACAACAAAGCAAGCTCCAGCATCCCTCTGAAATTAGATTTAGCAGTCATTTGTTGTCACCAAGTTGAAACCATGTTTACTGCTCTGGAAGAATGCATCAAACATGGTGTAAAAGGTTGTGTGATTATTGGAAGCGTTTACAGCAAATTCTACGAAAAGTTTGCTGAAAATCAAGCAGCAAACATTGAGAAGATGAAGGACATTCTTAGAGGCTCGGAACTGAGAGTTATTGGACCTGGAATGGGTCTCATTACACCACTGATGACATCTTCTGGCCAATATCATGTCGGAGAAATTTACAATAACTTTTTGAACATCACACCAACAAACAGAAGCTCAGAGCTCACTCGTGGTAAAGTGGCAATTATTTCTCAGTCGGGAGCTTTGGCAACCACAATTTTGGACTGGAGTTTGAAGCAAGGCGGTGGGCTGAGTGGATTTGCTTGTGTTGGAGCTGACCAAGTTGATGTCAATTTTGCCGACATGGTAGAACATTTCGGAAATGACAATAACACTGATGCCATATTGTTGTACATTGAAGATTTGGGAAATAATGAACACATCAAGAGATTTGCTAGCGCTGCCAGAAGCGTTGCTCTGAAAAAACCAATAATTGCTATGAAAATGAATTCTAGTAATAGAAGTGAGGACAACCATTTGAACGCTCTATTTGAACGAGTTGGTATTCTAAGAGTTAACTCTATTGAAGAAATGTTTTACATGTCCCAAACAATTGGAAAACAAGCAATAACAAAAGGAAATACTATTACAGTAATTTCAAATTCTGGTGGAGCTGCTACACTTGCCGTTGATGCCATTTACCAATCCGAAATTACCGAGCTAGGATCTTTGTCACCAAAGAGTGCTAAATTATTGCAAGAAAGTGGAATTGATGTTGAAGAGGCATTACTTTCTGGTAAAAAAGCAATTCCTGTCAATATCAGAAACACAGCTACTCCAGAGCAATATGTTGCAGCCCTTGATATCGTTTACAACGACCCAAAGACTGACAGCGTGTTGGTAATGTTGACACCCCAAACAAGAACAGAACCAACCCGAACAGCGCAATTCCTACAACGTTATATCGTTGAAAAAACAAAAGAAGGAAAGTTGTCGAAACCAATCATGTGTTGTTTTATGGGCGGCAGAGACGTCGAAGCTGGTAGAAGTATTTTGTTGAATTCTGGTATTCCTGCATTTGCATTCCCTGAAATTGCAACCAAAGTTTTCCAATACAACTACAGATATTCTAAGAACTTGGAAAATCTCTATGAAGACCCAAGTTTGTTGGACAATGACCATGAAAGTCAAAACGACGCTGAAGCCAAAATGAAAGCTAGAGAATACATCAAGTCGCTCCAAAAACAAAATCCTAACAAGGAGTTACTCAATGAATTCGAAAGCCAGCAACTTCTCTCTATTTATGGAATCGATGTACCTCAAACCAAGGTGGCTACTACAGTCGAAGAGGCTGTGGAGGCTGCCAAGTTAATTGGATTTCCAGTTGTGTTAAAAATTCACAGTGTAGATACAAGCATTTCAAAATTAGATATTGGAGGCGTTATTGTTGGATTGAGCGACGACAAACAAGTTAGACAAGGTTTCATCTCCATCAAACAAGCAGCTGAAAAGAGCAATGTTAAATTTACTGGTGTAACTGTACAAAACGATTGCAAGAAACTAGTTGCAAGCAAGAAGGACTCCATCGCTTTTGAGTTGTATATTGGTGCTGAAGTGGATCCTCAATTTGGACCTGTTATTTCATTTGGAACAGGAGGTTCACTTCATCAAATTTACAAAGACAAGAGTTTTGGTATTCCACCTCTTACCGCTCCTTTAGCTTATCAAATGCTCAGAAAAACAAAGATTTCAGATGCTCTTGTTGAGAGATTCAGAAATAAGCCAGCAATTGATATCGAGGGCTTAAAGACGTTGCTTGTAAAATTTAGCAAGATGGTGCTCGATAATTGTGATCTGATTAAGAGCTTTGAAATTAATCCTCTGCAAGCCTCTGCCACAGAGAGAGAAAAGATATTTGTGGCCTTGGATTGTAAGATGCTTCTTCACAAACCTTCGACTAAAAAGACACAACCAGTCATACGATCTTACGAAAGAAAATATGTTACCAAATTCAATGATGATATTACGGTCAGACCTCCAAGTTCAGTGATTTCAAGAAGCTCATGTCCTTCTTTGCCAATCTTTCACCAAAAACATTGGAAACAAGTCTGAGAGAAACAGCACTTCGGTCTCAGTATGCCCTTGCATTCCTTAACCTCAAAAATCAGTACAATAAGGCCAAGAATGATGCTCCTCAACCATTGGATCCATATGCTCTAACTCTTACCACTGAATCTGACTCAAAGACCATTTATCAAGAATTGGTTCAGTTTGTTTCAAGTGATTTTGATCGAGAAGTTGTGTTATTTGCTATCGATAAGAGAAGCAAGGCAGTCATTGGAATGGGAGTTTACACGATTTTACAAAAATCCATTATCAGTGGAAGAAAACGAAAAGCAGAAGTGGCTTTATTGATTGGAGAGCAAGCTCAAGGAAAAGGTATTGGAAAATACATTCTTGATCAATTGATTCAAATTGCCAAAAATGAAGGCAATATTTCTCAAATGATTGCCTATGCCAATGAATCGAATGTTGGTATGCTTAAACTTTGTGCCAGAGCTGGATTCCAAGTTCAAGAAAATGAAGAATTAGCCAACCAAGGAGTCATTGTATCTACTTTAGATTTGTAAATTATTTAACAGCAAATGTGTATTAATTAAAGCGTAACCAGCTCGGTACGCTGGTATTGATATATGTTATACTCAAATAAGGAGACAGAATCAGCAATGGGTTATTATTAAAGGATCCATTTCTCAACATTTATATTGGATGGATCAATGAATGTCAAACCAAAAAGGAAATCGCATTCATGTCAAAATACAAAGGCATCATGAAAAAAATGACCACACAACTTCATCTATTTGTCAAGCAATTGCCAGCCAGTGAAGAAGACCCAGCTGTAAGTTCTTCTTCTTTCAACATTCTTTCGCAATTCAATGTATTGTCTCATCATTCCCACAAATTTAAAGGAAATTTTCATCAAATCTCAGAATACAACTTCAAGTGAATTTGAAAAAGTCTTTTCGGACACAACGGGTGAAGTAGAAAAGGAATTAGTACTTGATCTTCCCCAGCCAACCATTGCACGAGCACACAAGATTGAAATTAAGGTTGTGTTACCAGAAGTTGGATTTGAAAAAGTATTACCAGCATTTAATTTGACAGATGATGGATGTTATATTTTGCTTGATTGTTCCCAAGGATTGAGATACAAACAAAAACACACATCAAAATTTGATTAATTCTTTGTGCATTAAATTTCAGAGTGAGCATAAAAGTACTTTTCCGAATGCTGTCACAAATCATTCAAAAAAATGTCAACAACTCTGCATCTGAATATTTATCATCTTCCTGCTTCAACCGATTGCCCAGCAGTACGTACTACCATTTCATCAACATCCTCATTCTCCTTCTCCATTCAATTTCTATTTTTGTTCAACACTCTTGAAATATTTTACAATTTCATTAATTTTCATCATCATTGAAAATAATAATTTTTTAAATCAGACAATTTATGTTCGAAATGTAAATCTAGACACAGAATTTGAAAAAGTATTTTTTGACAATTCGGGAGAAGCCAACGAACAAGTTGTTCTCGATCTTCCACTTCCATCATCTTCTCGAGATCATAAAATTGAAATTAAGCTCTCTCTTCAAGAAGTAAATCTCGAAAAGAAATATACATTTAATTTGACAAGTGACGGTTCCTATATTTTACTCGATGGGTCACAAGGTATTCGTTTCAAACAACGATTTGATGATAATTTCGGAGCTGCCTACGCACTAACTAAACACTCATCTTCTCAAAGTAGTATTTCTGGAAATAAGAAAAATTTCAAAAAATCAACTCAACAAGCAGGATTTGAATACCATGTTGAAAGTGGAGAGAAAAATTTCAACAAACTTGCTACAGAAGGCCAAGTAAGAAGTCTAAAAACAGAAGCTAAAAAGAAAGATACAACGATAGAGGATTTAGAGAAATTAGCTTCTCTGAGAGATGCTGGAATTTTAACAGAGGATGAATTTGTCATCAAAAAGAGAATGATTCTTGGTATTTGAATTGTCAAACATTTATAAATATATTGTAATAATATTATACTGCTCAATACAGTAAAATTGCTAGTAATGTTATAACAATGTTCGAATTATTAAATTTAGAATTCAAATCGTTGTTGCGTTTTTAATAAAAAAAAAATGTCGTTTGTGGTTCTTCCTCCTCAAACCACAACTTCCTCTGCTGTTGGGTCTTCAGGATTGAATCATGGAAATGTACTCGTTGGTTCCTCTTCATCATCCTTGGAGGGAAATAGTTCCGATCATCGTCCCAATGTTTTGTTTTTAGGATTTAATCAAGATTCATCATTGATCGGATACGGAACTGATCGTGGATTTAAAATAATATCATGTCTGTATGGACATTATAAGAATGAATTTGATGTTAGTGAGTATTAAAGATTATTGTTGAAATGATGATTCAAAATTGAATGGTGGAATGAATCCATTGGTTTTCGGAATGAATGTTATGAAATACTATAATATTCTTAATTCATGAAATCATGATGGTTAACGGTTTTTTTTCTAAATTTGTTTAATTACAATGAATAGAGTTTATTGATGGTGGGATTGGATATGTTGGATTTATGGATGGAGATAAGGATATGGTTGCCTTGGTTGGAGGTGGTTATAGACCTGCCTTTTCTAAAAACAAATTAATTTTTTATAATTTTAAGGAAAAGAAGGTTGTGAACGAGCTTTTGTGTCCAAGATATGTGATTTCAGTACATTCCAGACAAGACTTGTAAGTTTCAATCTCTTTACAAGATTTCCTTACTGTTGGTTCAGTTTTGTGGCAGTGTCAGAAGAAATGATTGTCTCGTTTGACATGCAGACTCGAAAACAAATTCATTCTTGGAAAACAGGATTTAACACTCGTGGATTATGTTCCATGGTCTATCAAAAGGATCAACAACAATTTCTTTTAGCATTTCCAGATGAAACTGTGGGGTCTGTAAAGTTAGTTCGAATTTGCTCACTCTCGTATAAGATTGTTGAAGAAAAGGTGATAAATGCTCATGAATCTTCCATACGATGCTTCCAACTGAGTTATGATGGGTCTCTTCTTGCGACAGCCTCTGAAAAAGGCACCTTGATTCGACTGTTTCATACATCATCCGGTGAAAAGAAGGAAGAATTCAGGAGAGGAAATACAACTTCAACCATTTACTCGATATGTTTCAGTCACGATAACAACTATGTCGCCTGTGTGTCATCTAATGGAACTTTACACATCTTTGTAGTTGATTTGGAGTCTTGGAAAAACACTCGTAAAATCACGAGTAATTCTTGGTCAGACTGGTTCAATAACTTGTACAAGGCAGAGGCTACCTCAGTTTTTAAACAGCGAAATATTGATGGAGTGGCTATTTGCTCGTTTGATCCCAATGACGAATCAGTGATGCTATGTACAGATAAGGGCGTTTACATGAACCTTAAATTTGATTGGAGTTGCAGCTCTGGAACGTTAAATGAGGAAGCAGTTGAACATCAAATGGCAAATATTGATTGAGGCCTCATTGTGTGTAATTTAAGATCACTCACCAATATTTTGACTGTACATAAATCTGTTTGTAAAAAATTTATTCTAAGGCTGATCATTTTGACTTTTGTTTGATTAATTTCTTTAAAGCGTCCAAGTCGTCTGAAGAGAACACCGATTCATAATTCACATTTTTCAGTCTGGTTGAGTGTTTGGCCATGGTTGAAAGAATTTGACTTGTGAGTGGTGTGAAATTATTTTGCTTTGTTTTCTTGTAATATTCTAAAACGTTAGCCGGAGAAAGCATAATAGCTAAATTTTGTTTACAAAATTGAATGAGTGCCTCAACCTTCCACAGCTGAGCTAGTTCGAAAATTTCAAATATGTTATCTTCTGTAATAGTACAATGATTAGTGTAACAGAATAATATAGCTTGATATAACGAGTCAAAAGAAATATTACAATCTAATTCCAATGAGTTTCCACATTCAATAAGCACTTGGTACAAATAGGAGGATCGTGTAGCCAAGAGGCCCTTATGAGCTGGTATTTGTTTTGAACTGTCACTCTTAAGAGAAATGTTTACGTCTGAATATGTGTTCATTTCATCTGCCTTCGTCAATAGTAATGAGTATTCCTCCCCAAGTGCAGTCATTGTTGGACGATCAGGCTCAAAGAGACCCACGAGCTTGATAGTATCAATTTCACTCCATGCGTTCGTAATTTTTAAATCAACTCTAACTCTTTTAGTAACTACAGAACTTGTCAAGGTAGGGCAAAAATCGCGTGCTGTAGTAGCAGTCGAAGTTGTGACAACACTTGAATCTTCCCATAACACCACCCATTCCTCTGATGAAGATTCTGAGTCATAAACCATTGCAGAAATTTTGGATGTGGATCCCGTACCAAGAACTTCATACACATGCACTTCGTTGACCAATACTGGAATTTCAAATTCCACTTCAATCCACTCGTTTCCATTCATACCAGCAGGACACCATGCAGAACCACTGTATGAATCAGAATTTGGAAAAGTTCAATCATGAATGGAAAAGACTTTTCTTGAAACATACCTATCTCCATAATGAGGATAACTACTAATGCCTTTCGTAACATTCCTAGCAGACCATGCAGGAATGGGTGCATCCTCTGTGAGTGGCACACCCGAGTCATTATATTGTGAACTATATTTGAGTACTTTCTTGGGAAATTGTTGCAAGGATTTGGATTCAAATTTCAATTCCATTTCCATCATGGAAAAGTCATTGCTGCTTGAGTTACCTCCGATACCAGTAACTTTTTGAGCAAAATTCTTCAATAATGATTTCAAGGCCATGATGATATAAATAACAATGATCCAAAATGGATGGAATGATATGATCTGATTGAAAGAGTGATAGGATCGGGATGAACTTGCACTTCTGATCGGAAAGGCTTCAAGTATTTTTTTTTAAAGATTGAGATGAACCACAAGTTCATTTAAAGATGAAGTGTTAGGTACTGCAAGATGCACTTTGAAAGGAAGAACAAGAGTTGGATGAAGAACAACTCAGTGGATTTAACTCAAGAGCGTTATATTCTTGAATTCAAATTTTTGAAATTCAAAATTTCCAAAAAGAGTCTCTAATTTAAACTTTTTTTAAAAAAATACAACGAATGATCGGAAAGGCCTTGATTGTGGTATTACTTGCAGTGGTGGTGTACCAGACTTTACAAATTCAAGAATATAAACAGCAATTGGACAAGTCTGTTGGAATCAATTCATCTCGGAATACTGAACAAGTTTCATCGAAAACAATCATCCATGATGAAAAATCAAAAGCTGAGAATACGGACTCCACCATTCCTTATTCAACATTTACTGCAAAACATTATGATAGTATTTTGAATATTTTGGGAGGTGATCAATCCAGATTATTCAGCACAAAATTTGGTCCAAAGGATGACAATCAAACTCTGACTGTAGAAAAATACACGATTGATGCTTCACATTTTCATAGAGGAAAGGCTGATGTTGTTGTCTTTCCAACAAGTAATGAAGAGGTCTCGAAAATTATGGCACTTTGTGTCAATGAGAGAATACCTATTGTTGCACAAGGTACTTTAACTGGACTTGAAGGAGGCGCTGTGCCCTACGAAGGAGGTGTTGCCCTAAATTTGAGATTAATGCGTTCAGTGATTCGTATCTATGAAGAGGATTTGCAAGTACAGGTCCAAGTTGGTATCAAAAAGTCAGAATTGAATGAATATTTGGAAAAACAAGGCTTAATGTTTGCAGTTGATCCTGGATCAGATAGCAGTATTGGAGGACAATTGTCTACTGGAGCTTCTGGAACCCTCTCCATTGCTCATGGAACTATTCGTGAAAATGTCATTCAATTGAAGGTTGTTTTACCAGATGAACAAGGAACAATTATTACAACCAAGTCACGTGCACTTAAGAGTAGCACTGGCTTTGATTTAACTCATCTATTTGTTGGAAGTGAGGGTTTGTTAGGAATTATTGTGGAGGCAACTCTTAAAATTATTGCAAAGCCAAGTAAGGTTTTGGCAAGTCGTGTCATTTTCAACACGATCAGTGAAGCTGCAAAGACTGTCATTGAAATCAAATCGAGAGGTGTCTCTCAGATGGCTCGATGTGAATTAATTAACAAGTACGGTATTATGGCTGTGAACAAGTTGTTCAATAGAACCTATGAAACCAAGCCAACTCTGTTCTTTGAATTCCATGGCTCTGATGAAGCCTCTCTCAAAGTTTCCTCAACCATTGTTCAAGAAATTGCTCAAAAACACAATGGATATGGATATCTTGCAACTACTGATGAAAATGAGCAAAAAGAAGTGTGGCATGCCAGAAGAAATGTCTACTATGCTGCTTTCAGATTGAAAGAAGGAAAGAAAGGAGACGTAAAGTTATATGTCACCGATGTTTGTGTTCCCATTAGCAAGCTTGCACAAATCATTGAAGTCAGCGAAAAGGAAATTGTTGAGTTTAATGAGAAACAAGCAAATGCAGGAAATTTCACACTCCCGCCTGCCATTGTAGGACATGTAGCAGATGGTAATTTCCACTTTATGATTCCATACCTTGATAGTAACAAGCAAGAATTGGAAGCAATTTTGAAATTCAATGACGAATTAGTCCAGAGAGCCATTCAACTCGAAGGTACATGTTCTGGAGAGCATGGTGTAGGTATTGGAAAGCAAGGTGGACTCTCCATTGAACATAGTCCAGAAGCAGTTGAATTAATGAGAACCATTAAGAAGGCAATTGACAAGAATCAAGTATTGAATAGAGGAAAGGTATTTCCATGTTGTGACTAAATTTACACAGTGAACGATTACTCGTATCATCACTACTAAAATATTTATTTTCCATCAAATCTCTTGTTCTGATACATTATTCCACAATTTCTCCACCATTGACATGAATCGTTTGTCCAGTAACATACGAAGAGTCCTTACTTGCCAAATAGACATAGGCAGTCGCAACTTCAAATGGCTGACCAGCTCGTTTCATGGGTGTTGATTTTCCAAATTCCTCAACCATTTCCTTTGAAAATGTACTTGGAATCAGAGGTGTCCAGATCGGTCCAGGAGCCACACAATTCACTTGAGACAATAATGAGTAATATAAATTGAAAAACTTTAAAAAGACTCACCTCTAATTCCTCTATCGGCAAGACTCAATGCCAAAGATCTTGTAAAGGTCGTATTCGCTCCCTTGGTTGATGAGTAATCAATCAATGACGATTTTCCCTTATATGCTGTCACACTTGTCGTGTTAATAATCACTCCTGTATGATCTGGTAAATAATGCAATGCTTCTCGTGCCATATACATGTACGCGAAAATATTGGTTCGAAAAGTTTTCTCAATTTGTTCATCACTAATTTGAGTTAAATCTTCTTGAACATGTTGAGTACCTGCATGATTTACTAAAATATCCAAATGTTTCAATTCCTTGATCGTGCGTTCCACTGCTTCTTTACAGAATGCTGATGAAGTGACATCTCCAGGAATGAGAAGACATTTACGACCTTCTTTTTCAATCAATTGTTTAGTGAGATCAGCATCTTTTTGTTCCTTGTCGAGATAAACAATGGCAATATCTGCTCCTTCTCTTGCAAAGAGTACACATATGGATCTTCCAATACCAGAATCGCCTGACAGAGTTGGAAATTGTGGTAATGAAGCATGTTCAAAAGTAAATATATTCAAAAAAAAGGTCAACACTTACCTCCAGTGATTAAAGCAACCTTTCCTTTAAGCTTGTCAGATCCTTTGTAATATTCTGGATCGTCGTATTGTGGTTCTTGCATCATGGCATGTTCCAAACCAGCGGTGGCATGTTGGTGAGGCTCTTGATGAGGTTGTTTTTCGACTTCTTTGCCAGAGAATTGGGAAGGCTTTTCGTCAGAGACCTTGGATGACATGTTCTTTTCTGAAATTATTCTTGAAGATTAATCGAGTCTACAATGTTGATGTGAAAATTATAGGAAATTTCTTGTTTTATTATCCTTATTTGGATAATAGCTTTTACAGGTATAAGACTTAGAGGACCTAGTTAAACGTTAGATTTGCAAATATTTACAAATATCAATAAATTAAATAATAATTAAGGGAATGGGTTAGTGGTATGAGTAGTGTTGAGGAGGACTGTTGGAAGCGGATGAAGTCGATCGTTTAGGGTAATATTTCTTATTGTTGTTTCGCTTCTTATATTGATCTGAAGAACTGCTATGGAAATGCTTTCCTCTGTGGTTGGATGAATAAGAGTGAAATTGATGACTGTTTTCTTTAGATCCATTTTCGCTAAGAGGATTTAAGAACACCTCGATTTGTTCTTCTTCGTCAATAGTTGATGAAGTTAGTAAGTCGTTGCTTGCGCTTGAAGACAGTACGTTTTGTGGAATAAAACAGTCTTCGTTTGGAGATGAGCTACTAGAGCTGCTAGTGGAACTCTTATCAGACAGAATATAAGTCCTCGAGAGAGGAGGTACCATGCTTTGTGATCTTCCACGCCGTTCCTCTAGGTTAGGCGGAGCACTGTCGGCATTCACAGAAGAAGAACAACTGGAGGGAGTCATTGGGCTAGAAGTCATTGATTGTGAGAGAGCTCTGTATCTTCTGTTAGGAGAAAGGGACGCCTCAATTTCCAAGTAATCTTGAACTGTGTTTAAAAGTGGCCGATAAGATTGAATAAATTCTCCAAACGAATTATCCCTAAAAGGGTCGTAATATTCGGAAACGGTAACTGGTTCGTCGAAAATATGGCCATCATTTAACAATTTCTTGACAATTTCTGCAATGGTAAAGCAGTCACAGAGACCAGAATGATGTCTTCCAATAAAATCAATTCTGGATTGTTCAACCATAGATCTGAGACCACGAACGATTGCGTATGGATAACACTTGACATATTCCTTTCTTAAATCATAGAAAGTTCTAAAATAAGATTCAAAGAACACGCCTTTTGTTCTCGCTTCTCTAATTAAAAGGCCCTTAATATCCCATTCGCTGTCAGTCAGAATGCAGAATGTTTTTCCTGTATTTAGGAAGTTGTTTTTGACGTAGTTATGGAAATTTTGAAGAGCAGCTTCCAAAGAAATACCTTCTTTTTGTAAAATTTCATCTGTTATTCCTGTCAATTGCACACAAAAAGGTGTTAGAGATGTCGTCATGATTGGTTTGACATAATAGCGCTCCTTGTGAACGATTTCAGATGTTGATAGGTCCAAGACCACGAATGGAAACTCAATCATCTCTTGATTATCTCTTGTTATTGTTGGATTCATTCCAGAGTCACACGTGGCCTCAAAGTCAATAATAACCAAATAATCATATCGATGTCGAGGTTGGTTCACTTCAAATAATTGCTGATTTTGTTGTTGGAACTGCTCGAAATCAATGTAAGATCTAGATCTTGGACTCTTTGTGTATTGCTTGTTGTTGTTATTTGGTGAAGTGTTAGGACCATTGTTACGTTTGTTACCATATCGTGGTGAGTATCGGTTGGATTTGTTTGATGGTCTGTTGCCATTATTGTTTGATCTCGAGTTGTTATATCTCCTAAAGTGATGGTGTTGTTGATGGTTGGTGTCATCATTAACTTCAATGGGGAACATGCAGTTGTCTTCTTCACTTCCGTCAGTGCTAGCTGCTATTGTGTTGGAAGAAGAGGATGTGCTACTACTCTCCAAACATGAAGATAGTCTATCAGTACTTTCATTGTTTCCGTTATCGCCAGAAACGATTGGAGATGAGCATGTGTCCATAGCATTCGGATTGGAATGGGGAACAATGACAGAGTGATTTCCATGGTGATGATGATGAGAAAGATAACTACCACGTGATTGTTGTGGTGTTGCAGTTGTTTTGGTAGGAGTTGTTGTGGCTTGACGGTGTTGATAGAACATGAGAGGTTATTGTTGATTGGTTATTATTGGTTCTTGAGCTATACGTAGAGACGTGTGTACCGAGAAGCAATCAATACCTGAAAAATCATGTAAATAAAACAGTTTCAGATCAATCCGTTGAAATCTTTCCTCTGGTGAATATCAATGAATAGGTAATATTCACTAGATTTGAAATTCAAGGCTTGATATTCAAAGAGCCAGTGATGATCAAAAAACCGTTAAAATGATGTAGGATCAATATGATGATGATCAATTCAAGCAAAAGCCAAACAAAATCACAGCAGCTCCTCACCCTATCAAAAGTATGGTGTCGTTGGTAACAGCAATTTCGTTTTACCAATAATTTACTATTACGTTTTACTTCGTAACCGTAATATTAAAACAGATAATCGCGTACCAAAGCTTTGATGGTGATATCCTCACAGCGTGTGATGATGATGACGGTTGTTTGTGAATCTCAACAACAAACAGCAACAAAGCGATTCTTGTTGTGAGTTAAGTGAAATTCACCTCAGACGTCGTCTTTTTCTTTGGAGATGATTTTTTTTTAAAAAGCCATCCCGCTCGGAAGACTGAAATTGCAGTTGTGGTGATGATGATGTTATCTTCAACATATTTCAAGAGGTGAAGATAAGCTTCCGATGATTGTAATACATTTTAGAAAATTATTTCTTTGGGAATTTTAAAATCATTTTTAGAATTATTGAAAAAATGCAAACCAAAGAAGAGTGTGTCTTGACATTGGTTTCAAAAGTGCTGGATTTGCAAAATGATCGGATTTTAGCTTACAAGCAATTTGAGAGGTGTGTTCTTCAACACAATGATGCGGATCATGATGAATGTATTATGTTTTTTATTTTACTAAATTTTACTATTGAATTTTAATATTTGCATTTCGATCACCAGTTCGTTTAAATCGTTTAAAGCAAATCCGAACGATAAGATTGAAATTCTTAAATATCAACGAGTGGTTGAAACCACGACACAGGAATTCCAGGAAATTTCGACAAACATAAGAGGTGTGCAACAACAATTGAAAGATTTGGGACAAGATAAATTCTCCACAATGATCGATAATTTACAAAATTTGGAAAGAGACAAACTACAAACTGTGAGTATTGTTATAATCTTAATAACGTGACAAGATAATTTCGCGCCCACTTCGAACACATTAGACAATCTCCATTCAAAAAATAGAACTATCCTGTGATGAAGAAAAGAAGAAATTGGAATGTGATCACGATGAAAAAACGTGTCAACACACTCATCACAGTGACGAAGAAGAATTGGGAGGAGCCAAACTTCTCATGCTTCAAAACGACTTGAAAAAGTTTAAACAATATCATGCAGAATTGATAAACTCAATTAACGAAATATTGGAGGAATTTAAATACGATATCGAGGACTTGAAATCAATAGTGCAAGATCAAAAAGAAATGAAAGTTGATGTACAATCAGAGTCAGGTGGAATTTTTATGTAGTCTATTGTATAATAACAACTTAGTATTCTCTTAGAGCTATTGGAATGGTACTCTTCTTCTTAGCAAGTTTTTGAGATCGAGGACTTAGCTCAGGACTGAACGTGCATTCACTTGGCACTTCTTTTTCTTTTTTGATTTTGATTAATTGTTCTTTCCTACTCGTTTTTTCTTTTTGCCAAAGTAATAAGGATTCCACTGATCGTTGCATGGATTTAGAGTTGTCATTAATTTTTGGAGAAAAACTAACATCCTTTTTAAGGTTATTATTGAATTTGGATCTAAGATCTTCCAGTCGTTGCTGCCTTTCCTCCTCACACAATTTCATTCTGTTGACAAAAGTATCGTTAGCTGGAGATGAAGGCCTTTTGGAGCTTCTTGGAGATCTCGGAGTTTCACTCGTCGATGATTCATCTTCTGGAGGCTTTTTAATGGTGTACAACCTTTGAAAGACCTCCAGTGCTGAATCCTTTTTTCTTGGTTTTGTATCGATCGTGCTGGCCTCATTTTCGAATTTAAACGCTGGCTGATATGAATTTTGGGATGGTGAGGAAGGATTTGGTAACGGTTGATGTTGTTGTGGCAATGGAGTACGAGGCGAGCTTGGTGGTGGCTTTACGTCACCTTCTGGACTTGTACCATCAAAAGGTCTTGCACCTAATCCTCGTTTCAGGGAGTCATACACTCTTCTTCTTTGGGTGTGAGACGTCAAACTCTCTTCCTTAATTCTTTCAGCAGAATCTAACGTCTTTTTGAGGGTGCTCATGGACTCCTCAAATGTCAAATCTGCCATTTTCTCATACTCATTGGAGCCTGGTTCCTTCTTTTCACTTTTCTTTGCCAAGGCTTGAGCTAACATGAACTCATAATATTCTCTAGGGTTTTTCGCTGGATCTGGCAATTTAGAATCGTTCTCCTCAAGATTGCTTTCATCGTCTGAGGAGGAAGATGATGAAACGTCATTTAAAAATTCGTCTAGCTCCAATTTATGTTTCTCGAGAAGAGATTGAGATCTTTTCTTGTCTGACGCTATTGGTGATTGTTTGGACGACTTTGGCGATTCTAATAACCAGCAATCTTATAGAACGTTAGAGTTAAACCTACAACAACTTACCTTTTGCGTTCTCAACAGCTCTACCGTAATGACTGCTCACAGATGAACTCAATTCTCTTTCTATTCTCGGAGAACCCACCCTATTTTGAAAGGAATGTCGTGGAGAAGATTGTTGCTCGATGACTGGTGATCCTCCTTTCACAAGGTTTGCAATGAAGCAGGAGTCATCCACTCGTTGAGTTGCAATTTCATTCAGAGAATACTTTTCCATCATTTGTTTCACTAGTTTAACGCTCGAGGACAAGTAAGAATCGAAGCGGAGAGGTGATCCAGTCATTGTGTTCGTTGTTGAGCTTGATGTCGATTTGGTTTGTCTTGGAGAGGATGGTTGATTAAAGGAAGGAGAGGAAGAAGGAGGGGCCATTGGTTTGTCGTGTTGTGTTGGTGATGAGAGAGATCTGCCTAGGAAAATCTTCTTTTGAGGTTTCTCATCCTTATAGACTTCGTTGTTGCTCGTTGGAGAGGTATTGCTGTTGTATATTCTTGAGATCATACCCAACGAATCATTGTTCTCCCTAGGTGATAATGTAATATCTCCTCCGATCCTTACTCTGTGTTTTGTTGTGTTATTTGATGAAACGTTCTTTGAGTAAGACATTGGAGGTGAATTGGATTCATCATATTCTACTTGTACACTCTCTAGACTACTCTTTTCATGAATGGCACTGGTTTGCTTTCTTTTGTCTTCTTCTGGAACATTGTTTCTCTCATCAACCAACTTCTCATCATGAAAAGCCTTAACTCTCTCACGATTAAACCCTGAGAGCCATGCTTGTGCCAAGCCTCTTCTAGGGGATTCCTTCATTGTTCCTTCCTCGATCTTTCTTTCCTTACTGTTCTCCTTCTCCTCTCCGTCCCCATAAGCATGAAGATTGTGAGAGGCCATGCTGTAAATTGGCATTTTTTTGGGTGTTTGCGGAACGCTCTAATCATGGATGGAGAACGTTTGTGATATAACGACATTTCATGCGTATATGACATTGCAAGTTTGTTGCTCACCTTACTTATGAAAAACATTCCACAGAGTAGGAAACTGTATATATCCTGAGCGGCAATTGAAATCAAGATTGAAAACAACTTCAACTCTAGAGTTCATCTTCAAGGTTCATCCTGACCTTTCTTTCAAAAACAGCACTGTTAAAAATAACACACTGCTGAACCGGTTCAAAGTCCCAATCCAATCCAAAAAAAACACACAAACCACACCTTGTCGACACCTCCCCAAAGCTATTTCCAGAAATGAAAATCTCTCAAACTGCATTGCAAAAATTTCAAGGATTGTTGAACTCTGTTTCTCCACAAAGTATCAATGTGAATGTCAAGATTGATGCTGGTCATTTGCCTCGTGAAGACGTTGGTATTCAATGTGAAATTCCATTTCTTCTCCGAGTGCTGTTTGGAGACTTTCCAACTAGCGATGATCAGCGTTCATCTCACACTCCTGTCAATGTTTGTATTGTTCTCGATGTCAGTGGTTCCATGGATGAAGGTTTAACGAACAATCAATCAGGAACAAAATTGAGTGTATGCAAAACAGCGATCAAGGAATTGGTCAAGAACTTTTTGAACGATCAAGACACTGTCCACTTGGTCAAGTACTCTGATTCTCCTTCTACAGTATTTACTGGAAAGAAGAAATCCACAGTCGAATTAGCTACCATTGATAACATTCGAACAGAAGGATCTACCAATATTGCTGATGCCATTCATTATGCTGTAGATTTGTTAAAGAAATCTGAAGCTCCAGGAACTAAATTAGTTGCATTCTTTAGTGACGGAATGGCCAATGTTGGTGAATGTGATGTCAATGTATTCGGAGCTTCCTTGATCAAAAAGTTGAAAGAGTTCGATGTCGAAGATCAAGTTCACATTTCTTCATTTGGTGTTGGTGCTGAATATGATGAGAAATGGTTGCAATCCATTGCTCGATCTGGTAAAGGAGAATACTATTATTTGGATTGTGACGAGAGAGCAAAGGTAGCTTTCGAGAGATCTCTTCGCAAATATCAATATCAAATTGGAAAGCAATTCAACATTAAGGTGACAGGATTGAATGGAGTGAGTGTCAAGACTTTCAATCAAAAGAATGATCTTGCTTCGTTGGTGGGCGGACTTTCCTTGGGAGGTGTCTATTGTCGTGATTTGAGATTTGTGGAAGGTGTTCTGGTTTATAATCCTCAACAAACATTCAAGACTCAACCAGAGTTGATTGAGGCGCTCAATAGAGGTGCTGGTGTTCCACTCTTAAGTGTTACTTATTCATACATTGATATGCAAAATGGTCAATTGAAAGAACATACTCTCACGTATGTCCATTCCAAATTTGCAAACTCTGCTTCGGAATTACCTGCTCTTGTAGCTCAATATGAAAAACAAGGAGAGAGAAATGAATTCATTGTACAAAAGACAATTTTGCAAGCTGCTGACCATCAAGCTCAATTCAACAAGTATATTGAGGAACACAACAGAGAACAAGCGCTTATTGAAGCTAAAATCATTGAGGACATCTATACAAAGGTCTTGGAGCATGATGATTATGGAATTATTGAGCAGTTATTGACTCAAGCCAAATTGCAACGCGATGAATTGGAAAAGAAAGGCATCTCTCAGTCCTTCCAAAAGATGGTTTCCAAGAATGCAAGCGTTTGTTTAAAGGTTGCCAAGAAAGAAGAAAAACAAGCTTATGAAGAAGAGTGTGATGAACTCTATGATGAATGTGAGGATGCTTATGGTGGATTGTTTTAAAGATCGTCATCGTATCTTCATTATTAAACGAATCCATTTTGTGTAAAACTTAATGATTCAATGAATCCATGTTGACACACTTCTAATCTTCGAATGATATCAAATCAATGCACTGTTTAAGGGTTGCTTTGTGGCAGGGCTTGACGATGACTGAGTCGAATAGATATGATGGAGTGTCAGCAAGAACATCCCCTGTCAATGCCACCACTTTTATCCTTTCTTTAAATCGTTCTCGTATTATTCGTGCAGCTTCAATTCCGTTCAAATTTGGCATATTCTGGTTTTCCGTTCACGAGTGAAAAAGTAAAATGAATTAATCATGATCGCGCAAACACTTACAATATCAGTAATTACCAATTTGTGTCTCTTCTCATCAATGTTCTCAATGAGTTGTTGTCCATCACACACTGCATCTGTTTCAAATCCCAAGCTTTCAATCAACTTGACAATGACCTTTCGATTAATGGCATTGTCATCGGCAATGATGATCTTTGCCTTGCTTTTAGAAATTACTGTTTGCTCAGCCGACGCAAACAATTTCAAATAATTTTCTTGAATTGAGAGCTGTTTTTTCAGAGAGTGATCTACCTCGAGTTCTGTCCGCTCGTTGCTCGAATCGTCTGAAGTTGATGAAACAATTTCAAGTGGCAGAGTGACTGTGAATTCAGAACCTTTTCCAACATCAGATTCCAGATGAATAGTTCCTCTCATGGAAGTGACATTGTGCAACACAGTGTTCAATCCAAGACCAGAACTTGGATAAATCGATTCATTCACATTATGTAATTGAGAAAAAGGTTCAAATATGACTTGTTGTTTCTCTTTTGGAATTCCAACTCCTCGATCTTTCACTTTGAAAATCACATCTTGTTCCATCACTCCATTCACCAATTTCTTTTCATTGCAATTTGTTTCACAAATCAGTTCAACATCATCTCCTGATTTTGAGGCTTTCACTGCATTTGTCATTAAATTTGAAATAATTTGATGAATTCTGTTTGATTTGCTCTCACAACAATATCTTTGGTCATTTCATCAATTTTGACCAAAACATTCACATTGAATTGTGTGGAATAACTCTTGATAATATTTCCAATCATTTTCACACAATGTCCCAAACTAAATTCTTGAACATATTTTGAAGTGTCGACAATTTCTTCCTTCTCTTCCAACTTTTTTTCATGTTCAATTTTAGCCAACGTCAAAATGTCTTCAATTAAATTCAACAAAATTCCATCGGCCGATGCAATGGTTTCGACCAAATCTCTCTGATATTCAGTGAGAGTGGTTTCTTTCAAGAGTTCGACGCTTCCCAATGAAGAGAGGCATGGAGTTCTAAATTCATGACTAATGTGTCTTAAAAAAGTTTGTTTTGCCTTTAAAGCCTCTTCCAATTGTTTGCTAGTTTGTTCTAGTGACCTGACCTTACTTTTCAGATCTATTCCTGTTGTTATTGTTGAAAATCCAAATAGAAACACTGTCATGATTAGTGACACATCCTCCGTCAGGACTCGTATTGTATTTCCATTCCAACCTTGAACACAAATGCTACATAGAAAATCCAAAAAGAAAAGAATACAAGCCGTATACGTTGGAATAAGCGACCATTTAACGCTATACCTTGTGAATTTGGTTGTCTGCAGCACAAATAAGAAAAAGTAAGGAACCAATATTATTTTGTGTTCACGTAGAAGAAAAAATCGAATCATGAAGAATACCAATGCTACCTTTATGGAAGCTTTCTCTTGATTATAAATCTCTTCCGTGGGCACTGTATAGCTCCGCTAGTGATGGCTCTATATTTAAAAAGTATTGGAAATCCAATAACAAATGAACTGAAAAGTGTTAGGCTTGACATCCAACTCAAATATTGTGCACTATAAATTAGCATCATTAAAAATTGAATCGCCACGGCATACGGTAAAATTGCAGTTGAATTTGTTGATAACACCCAATTCCGATTAATATGCGTTAAGAAGTCGTTAGATGATGAGGCCAATGGATGTGTGGTCTCATTAAAAATATGTTGAAAGACATCTCCAGCCCAAGTAGTATTTTCCAAAGTCCTGCTGTGATGATGAAGAATATTTTTTGATGAAGCGACTTCATGATGGTTTGGCATTGAAGACGAGCGTGTAGTCAAGTTTTGCTCCTTTGTTGCGTGTTGTCGATCAAGAGGTTCCTCTACGAGACTGCCCATCCTTCGGGCGGTTGAGTGGATGATCATCTCTTTGACAAAGTTGTTGTTTTGATTACAGCAAGAATGAGTGTCTCGTCTGAAGACAATTTTTGAAATGTCAACAACGCTTGAAAAAAGGCAAACAAGAATTAAAAAAGGTATGACCGCTCCCATTCGTGAAAGGCTGGAGTTACCGTACTAAAGAACCCGGTCTGATTTGAGAATCATTGATGACAATACAACACACTGAGCGATAAATAGTCAATGGTGGAACAAGTTGAATTTAATTTCTGTTTCCTTATAATTTGAAATCAAAAATCTAATAAGGAGAAGGGGACGAGAGGCGTTAGTGGTGACAACCGTTTGCCGCTTTGTACTTGAGGAGCCATGGAATCTCAATTTCTATTGGACGACGATTATTGTAAAGCGGTTTTTTGGTTGGTCTACAGTAGCCAACCGACCCAGCCTTACATTTTTCCCTTAATCAAAAAAAATATCTCAATTCGAAATCATCACAAATGGTACGTATGGTATTGGTGAAATATTTTCCAAAAGGCTTACATTGGACTGATTGTGCCACAACTTGTACAGGGTCTCCTTGAAGATAGCACTCCTAAAGTTGAAAAGTCAATGGGTATGATCATCTTGATCATTAACTTCTTGTTCCCTGGTTTTGGTACTATTCTTGCTGCCATCCTTACCTCCGAGAAGGAAAAGATGACTTCCACTTTGATTGTTGGTATTTTGCAAATGTTCTTGTCTTGGCTCTTGATTGGTTGGTTGTGGGCTATTTGGTGGGGATACAAGATTATGCAAGTTTCCAATGCTTAAATGATCGAGTGAACGTTGCGAACTAGATCAATGAAAGCCTTCTTTCTCTGATACTTGTCTATTGTTTTGATTCCACTGACTCAATTATTTTGTATTATCTTACATCGGCATATCGTTGGAGCCGATCAAACGAATGAGGAAAGGGACAGTCCACTCCCAATGTCTTTCCCATTCTTTGAAGCGTGAGGGAAAGAAAATGTTTGGCTCTGTTGTATCCGTCTTCGATATTTTGATACCGATCTTTCTTTAATTCGTTCATTTCGTGAATGGTGTTGCTTTGGCCTTGAGCGCTCACTTTGCCCACTGTTTGTTTGTAGAGCATGGCTGCAAGAATGTTGAGAAATCCTCCTGCATTCATTACTGCCAAATGGATATTGTGGCATCTGTCTTTTGAAACGGGTGTTGTCACATGAACACTAATGAAAAGGCTGTTCGTCGTCTTTTTTGAACCCATCTTGCCATTCTTTTTCAGATATTTGTAGCAACTGGATACTTGTCTTCGTTCAAGATAGCCTTATTAATCGTGAAATACTTTCCATTGACAAAGAAAACAGATCCTTCAATAGTTTCATTTTAAAAGTGTTGACCAGAGAAGTTGATATGGCTTTAGTCTCTGCATGATCATGGAACTACTAAAACTTACCAGCTGCATAACACGTTCTCATACCAAATGGTTTTGGAAATGCAACGTTAAACTTTGTTAGCCAACTTGGATAAATATGCTTTTTGGATTCATCTGAAAAATCCACCACTTCATACTCATGAGGAAGAAATGGCATCTCAACTCCCTCTAGAGTCTGATCAAATTTCGTGGTGGGAAGAAACTTTTTCGTGGCATATGTGGAACATTGAGCTGCCACTACTACTTCAGCTGGGAAATCTAGAAAACCAATGACCTTTGCAAGATTGAACGGTCCAACACCAACCTCATTAGTGTCGACAAATTGATGACCCTTACTAAAAAACACACTCAAGTCTTCCGATCCTAGCATGTGTTGCAAACAGCTCATATCTCCTGCAGCCATCTCACTAAATTCTAAATCCTTATTCGTAATGAATTCTCGTAGGAAATCAGCCTTTCTGTATTTGAGTTGCTCCACTCGTTGTAAATCCTCAGGATAACAACACGCATCGGCTAGCTTGCCGTTTTTCAAGACAAATTCTTGCCACAGTTCCGATTGGGCAAATCGAGGCAATACATCTCCTTTAATGAGGAGTAATAATTGCAACTCGACTCGATTGAATAGATTGTACTTGCTCATAAAATCCATATCAAACGTGAAGCGATTCATGGAGGCTAGACTCTCATGATTTTCAATGTGTCGTTTCGTTGATCCATCCACGTTAATTCCATACGGCGCTCCATCCTTAATGTAATTCTCCACCATTTGCAAGGCAAAGTAGTAGAGTTTTTCCTGTAATTGTCGTTCCTTTTCATGATCCTGGTTGGAAATACGAAAAAAGGACAAGGGAGAACGAACTGACATGGAAGTACTCGTTTCATAACTCGTGATGGAAGTTGCGTCGTCAAAGAGTGAGAAGGGTTTTGGATCTTCAGAGTGGTTCGTTTCCAAAGCAGCACCTGCCATACTGTCTCGCCTTGAATATGTGCTGAGATCATGATTGGGTTTTCCGAAATATTCACTCGTTACAACCTCTGAAGGGGAATCTGTCTTTTCAAGTTGAATGGGAGGTCGTTTTTTCCTTAGAGAGGATCGTCTAGAAACGGATCTAGAGGATTCCTGTTTGTTGTTTGTCATGTCGTCACTAGTATTAATATGATGATTGCTGTTTGTACTCGAATGTTGGAAGGAAGTGTTGTTATTAAGCTCAGGCAGTTCCTTTGGAGAATCCATCATGGTTTCTAATTCTCTCTCACTACTGTGATGATAGTCCTTACTAATGGAGAAAAAAGAAGAAAAGAACGACTTTTTGAAAGATCCATATTTGGAGACACTTTTAGGTGAGGCACACGAAGGAGTAAAGCAAGAATCAATCACAGAGGATTGTGAAGAAGGTGAAGTCGGCGGAGAGTTTATGTTATTCTCAACCTGGGAGCCATTAGGAGTGGATGTTATAACATTTCTGAAGGAGGAAGGAGAGGTCATTCCATCCGTTGTTGTTGTTGTTGTTGAATGAGGAGAAGATGGCCGTGTGGAATGATGATTGATATAATTACTGCTACTCCCATTCGATGATTGATTACTGAGAGTGGAAAATCGTCGTCCACCCATAGCTTCCAAATTCATTTGAGGATATAATTTCAACACCATCTGTTTGTAGCGTTTGATATCCACCAAACAATCCAAAGACTCCAACACGTGTTGAGAATTGGCAAAATTTCGAAAACATTGCAGAGTGCAATCATTTTCGAGAATTCTCTCAAAATCTGGTCGCATATGAATATTGATGATATGTGTCTTACCATTGTGATTACGTAATTTCCTAGCCGAAGGGAGAGATGAATTCATTGCAGTTGTGGTTGTGGCAATTCCATGTTCGGCTGATCCGAAAAAGGAATTGTTGCAATGTTCCAGACAAGTGTCATCGTATTGGGGATAGGAATCATTTAGGTCGTTGGATGGAATAGAAAGGGGTGAAGAAGTTTGAAATGGATGGCCATTCGATGAGTTTGCTGTTGAGTTCTTTGAATGTTGTTTTGGAGTCAGGACTATTAATTCCTTCTTCTCCAGCTCTTGCTTGGTAAAGTCAACGACTCGGATAACGAATTGGCGTCTTGTTTGGAATGTTCTGGATTCAGAACGTTACTGACATCAAGCTTTGGGTTTGAAACGAAATGCTCCTTGCTGAAGGAATGCTGTTCAGTGGAAATTGTTGTCGTCTCATCATGATGAGGAAATGATGCTTGGTCCAATGACACACAGGGAGAAGAAGAAAACATTTTTTGCAACTCAAAGCATGACACACCCTCGTCGTATGATTTCGAAAATTGAAATCTGCTTGGTATGAACAATGACGAGTTTCTGAAAAAGGAAAATTGGTTCCTCTATTTGCAGTATCGCTCAAATAGTATTCTGCACGTTGTGGTTCTTAATCGAAGTGATGTGCTGGACCTACAGAGAAAGAAAATATCTTGTGGACAATAGGCGAGAATTATTGAAACAGTTTTTTTGAATGCCATCTGCCAACGTTTGATGGCTGGTTCATGAAACTGACAATAGACCAGAACCGTTCTCAATCAACATTCACAAGATTTCATTTCGTGGTTATCTCGAAGATATAAGGCTACCGAGAGAGAGATAGTTCTCTTGTGAAACCTAAATTGAATCAAAAAATAATTTAAATTGGAAGGATAGGATGGCATGTTCACTTTTAGGAAATTCTAAATTGAAACTCAACCTGTCTTGATGGAGTGAACAGACTTGTTCTTTGATTCAAGGTTGGCCATACAATTAACACTACTTTGTCACGTTTGAAAAGATTTTTTAATTTCAATTTGCAAAAATGATTAAAAAGAACCAAACCATCAGCAAGCCGAAAACTCGCCATCAAAGAAAAAAGACTTTACGTCATGATGAAAAATGGTATGATCGATCGGAGAATCGAAGATGTCTATCGGAAATTGGATCCGATTGTTTGACAGATATTTTCAAGTTTTTCGTTAAATCTGCTATGGATCTACTTGTACTCTCTCACATTTCTAGCGAATGGAGATTATTAATCAATTCCAATCCATTACTATGGAATTGTAAAATTACATCCAAATATGAAAACAGATGTTTATCATTTTACGGATTGAATGTGCAAAAAAGCCAAATGTTGAAGCAATTTCTATTAGAAAAAAGTGCAGAAAATAATGAAACATCCATGATGAACATTACTCCTAAATTGATAGAGCAATTTTCCAAGAAAAATGGTGGACATTACAATCGAATGATTTGTCATACGGACGAGTTGGTGAACTATTGGGAATATGAAATCAAAGTGAGAAAAGACTTAAGAAGGAGAGATGCCATCTATTCGAAATTAGGCTACTTTTTTGAATGGATTCAAAGATGTTTAATTGTCATGTTTTGTATCTATTGTTCATTTCAAGACCATGTGATGGTCATGAAGACTGGACTCGATCATCCCATCTATAGTTGGACGATCTATTCGGATTATGCATTTTACATTGCATTCTTTTTGGAACCACTGTTGATTGCGATTGATTTTTTCATCTTTTCATATTATCGTGAATTAGTGCCCAATGTTAGGAAGGCCTTTCATTGTTTATTTTCCAAGAAATTTATGGACAGCAAGACTCGATATATTCCAGTGACAATGGTATCATTTGCAGCGTGTTTTTCTTTTATTTTTCGATTGATCATGTATTTTACATATGATGCATCCTACATTTATAAGAGAAGATTGTACTTTGCAGAGATGGACCAGGAACAAGCAAGTTTATATGAGAGGACACAATTAATCATGTTTAATGGTGAGGAACAATTCAGAAATATACTCAAAACAGGAAATTTAATCATGACCATTCCACTTGCTGCTCTCTACTGGATTCCATTGAAATTATCCCAAGTGTCCAATACTATATTTTCATTTGGAATCGTTTTATGTATTCAATGCTTTTCATTGGTGTTATTATGTTCATGGAAGCCACCTTTGATAGCATTTGTGATATGTTTGGGAGTGTGCCAGTGGATGAAAGAAAAATGGTTTGGAACTTTATTGATACCATTTGTAGTGTCACTGACATTGGCACATTTTGGTTTGGAACCAGTGTTTGTATTTACTCCGTATGCCGTGTATTATTTGACTTGTGGTCATACCGGAAATTGGAATTCAAATATTGAAGAGGCATTTAACAATAGATGATACATCTAGAGATTAATGTTGATCTTTGCTAATCCAGGTCTGAATGAATATAAGATGAACGAATTTCTGCCTATTTCAAGTAAACAGGCTGTAATTCAAGTAAATTTACATTATTGTCATGGAACTAGATTAAAGCAACAAATTTAAGTTAAATGAATGGCTACGGCCATATCACGATGAATGCACCTCATCCCGTCCGATTTGAGAAGTTAAGCATCGTCGAGCTGCATAGTACTGAGGTTGGAGACAACTTGGGAACCTGCAGTGCTGTAGCCTTTTTTTCTCCTTTGCGTTACGCTGGGCAATTATTAATCAGTGTGATTTTGAAAAGAGTGGAAGCGTTCTTTTCACAAAGAAATCATGTACACTTTCGTGGTTTATTTGAAAATTTTATTAGAGGCATGCCGATTACGCCGTAATCGATGTTAATAACGTCGTACGGAGCAACAAGTACATGCCACCGTCACATACTGTATTGATATCCGAAAGGAGTATAAACGTATTGATAGACGGTCACAAAACCATGCATTTAAAGCACATCTTGTGTGTCGTTTTTGTGTTTTACTTTCAGTTGTAAGTTTAGAGCAATTGTTGTTGTTAAGGATATGAACTACTGACAATCCTCTTATTTTTCAAATCGTGGACATTTTTATCGTGAAAATAGCAGTTCGTGAAAATGCTGAATTTATAAATAGTCGGCAATACTTGAATATTTAATGATTAACTGTTTCATGAATTTGAGAGAATTCTCTGTTCGCTGGAGGTGAATCCAAATCCAATTCAGGACCCAATGGAACAATTCCAAACGGATTAATCTTTCGGTGTGATCCAAAATAATGTTGCTTTGTTTTTTCAACATGGAATGTTGATTTCAAAATGCCATCAAATGATTGATACACATCTTTCATGTAATTATGCAAATTTGGAAATCCAAATCTCAAAGTTTTCAAATTACACTTGAAATGTGTATAATACACTGCATCAAATCTCAACAAGGTCACTACCAACCGAATATCAGCTTCTGTCAAATGTTTCACACCTGCCACTAAATATCGTTGTCGTGACAATATGTTTTCAACTTTTAGCAATGCCTTAAAAAGTGCATGAAACGCTTCTTCATAGGCATATTGCGTTTGTGCAAATCCACACTTGTAAACTCCATCATTAATATTCTCATAAATCCAAGAATTCACAAGATCAATTTCTTTTCTAAATTCGAAAGGATACAAATCCAATTCTCGATTTCGTGTTGCCAATTCATTAAACTGTTCATTCATCATTCGAATAATTTCACTCGATTCATTATTAACAATTAAATGTTGTTTTCGATCATACAAGACTGGAACAGTGCATTTTCCTTCATAATTTGGATCCGATTGTAAATAAATTTCTCGAAGTAAGGTCGCATTCAATCCAGAATCGGTTTCTGGTTGTGAAAATCTCCAACCTTGATCGGTCAAAATTGGATCGACATAAATGACACGAATGACTGATTCGAGACCTTTCAACACTCGAACGAGATCGGTTCGATGACACCAAGGACAAGCATGAGCGAGGTAGAGAGTGTATCGATCGGCTTCGACAGGAAATTTAGAATTGAATTGTTCATTTGTTCGATTCGAATCGGAATTGGGAATTGTGTGGGACGTGACTTGATTTCGAAATTTGGAAGGACTTCGAATGAATTTTCCTTCTTGTTTGGAGACTTCTGAATTGAAATCATAAATTTTGTTGCTCATGAGTTTGTGTGAAATTGTTGTTTTTTTTGAATGTGTGGTTTTGAATGAAAGGACTCAAGAAGGGTTTTAAATTTTCAAATACGAGTACTGAGATGGAGTATGGATGAATTTTTTGTCAGGATTAATTCATGCATTTGAGCGCACGCCGAAGGAAGTTATTATTTTTGGTAATTTTATAAATTTAGTAATATCCATACATGATTGAAAGAGAGATCACTACTTCCAAGATTCAATGAGTTTTGAAATTTCCTTATTGCTCGATTTTAGTCTTTCAAACACATCTTTCATATCCATTAAACAATGTTCTCGAATCGAATCGAATACATGCGAATCATTTTCATGCTCTTCCATGGCTTGCAAAATTTCTTGTCCTCGTTGAGTGACTTTTGGCATGTTCAATTCTAATGGAGAAGAGTCTGACAAGTAGGTTTTTACAATATGTAATGCCATCTTTTTGTTTTTGAACGTTTGAATTTTTCAATGTCTTGATAACAAAGAATGGATTCCGTGCAATAACTTCTTCTACCTGAGAAACAATTTTTTTGAGAGAATGTAATAAAAACAGAATATATTACAATGATTAATTCAAAAGTTGATAGTTGACTTACCGAAATCGAGTAAAATGTCAAATGTCTTTTTGTCATTCAAAATTCTTTCTAGGTAGACATGGATTTTGGTTGAGTAGATTCTTGTTCAAAGTTGTACTTGAACTCCATACCATACTTTTTCTTCTCTTTTCTCTTTCATCTTTAACAATTGCAAATAGTATCGGTAAAATCACACAAATCAAACATTCACTTAACAAGTAATAAAACAACCAGTTGGCGTAGGGCACAAGAAAATCAATCAAAGTGTCAAATATTTGAATTCTTCCAACGACAATATAACCGATGGCTGCAATGAATTGAAGAATGATTTGAATAATGGCTTCGATTTTCACATGCCAAGTGTCACGATCGGAGAGAAGAGCTAAAATGAGAAACACAATTTCAATAAGGGTGAAAAATAAGGCTTGACAACCACAATAATCACCGTATTGATGTTCATGGAACATCCTTGTGAAAAGACAAGCATTCCTCCTTCGATCAAAATGACTCTTTCCTTATTTGGATCTCCATTCGTATTATAAATTGCTTCTTCAATAACTCCAAAGAGTAACCATATGGCAATGGTTATCGTCATGACTATGACATTTACAAGAACTATGAATTTGTTACTCACTAAAAACGAATAAATTTTCAACTTTTTAAACATTTTAGAAATTTCAGGAGATTCCACGACATGATTTCTCAAATCATTTCATCCACAATGGTTGATTTGCGAGAAGGTGGTTGCTCCGTGGTTAATCTCAACTCTGTGTTCATGGATTGAGATTTATCACAGAGATCATGCGATGAGCTGCCACTTGTCACTTGTGACTGTGCATCATCAAATAATTTTGTTTTCAATAAATTCAACTTGAAGCCACAATTTTGTAAAGCTGTTGAATGAACACATCTCTACTTACCGATACATGAAATGCAATCGTGCCAATCTCAACACTGTTGGTAAACACAACGCTGCAGGAACAGTAAAAAACGTAATGGTATACAATGCACATGGAAAAACTGAATTCCAATTTTGAATTCCATTTGGAAAACGAGTTGTTTCTTAAAAAATAGATTAGACCATTGAAAGATTACATACTTTTTCTTCCAATGAGAAATCTCAATGCAAGTAACAAGGCAAATAAATATCCAATGGACATGGTCAAGATCATGTGTGAAGGATTTCTTGAAGTGATGAAACCATTCTTTCGTTTCCAAATGACACCAAAGATTCCAAAAGAAACGGAGAGGGTGTAAATGATGAGAAAGAAGAGAGTGGTGTAGAAGGTGGACCAAGCTATTTTAAATGTAATTTTTTGTTATGGTTGATTGAAATGATTAGTAACACTTACTGTCTGGACAAAGACCTTTTGAAAATTGTGGCGGATCTTCACGACTCAAACCAGGCGTATCAAACAAGATGTGATGACAATATTCGCTTGCGTTGGTGATGGTTCGATTGGTTTCAAATCCTTTCAATGAAAATTCATGATCACGATTTAAATGAATTGATGAAAATTGAAGGAAGAATTGTTGGGCAAAGGACAAGAACATGTTGTGAGAACCATCCGTGATGATTGAGTAAATGGTCGTTTGGTTTGCGTGCGTGTTTGTGTTGGACACGTTTTAAAATCTTGAACTTGTCTTATTTTTTTGACAGATGTATTTTGATTCCGTTCCTTTTCAAGAAGGGATGTCTTTTGTTTCAGAACGACAATCAAAGTCGGCATCATCAATCTTACATTCCACTTGAACAAAGACATGGAAAGTCATGTAAAATTTGTGTCACATAAAGAGTTTCGAATTGAGCTACGAATGTTTAAACACCTGATCCTTTGTTTAAAACTCTTCAGGTTAAATCGCACTAACCGTTTTCTTGTTGGTCTTTTTGAAACGAACGTTCACTTTTTTTTTAAAAAGCACTTTGTACCATGGTTTTTTTCGATCGCTTCTCTTCAAAAATCTATCACAAACCCATGTCTCCCAACTAGTTGTTTTGTTGTTGTTGTTGTTGTTTGACGTACCAAGAGACAACCCGAAATATTTTCGCGCCCAAGTTGGACGTTGAAACTTTTCCAAAAAAAATAAAATTTGTTGTAAATCAACAGAAAGATGGTTGGTAAAACGGATTATTTATTCTTCGCCGCGTGTACGTGCGCATGACTAATAGTTGAATAAATAAGATTTACATTACCTTTTCTATCCTCTCCTTGCTTTTATCAAAAAAACGTCAACTTGCTTGTCTACAGCAAAAGACATTGATTCTTTGTACAATCATCATAATAACGGAAAGAGATGATGTATTGTTGTTCATCCATCACTCGATACAACAAATCAACAACGAGAGGCATTCTAATAGTACTACTATTCGTGGTAACTCTGTTAGGGCTGACCAACAACAGTTATATTGTGGTGCAAGGACAATTTACATTTAATGAAAATAATTACAACAAGAAATGGAACGACGAAACTGAAATATGGTTTGGTCAATCAACAGCTCTTACAGGACAAACGAAAGAGTAAGTGTGTCAATGATCATCAAGATTGATATCGAACTTTGATCAAAGACTGGGATATCCAATGATGACAGGCGTACAGGCTGCTTTCAAAGAAATTAATGATCTAGGTATGTTGACATGTTGATGCTTATTCTAATGACATGTCCAACTTGATAGGAGGTGTTTGGGGAGGAAAGAAACTGAGGCTCTTTACATTGGATGACGGTTATGATCCACCAAGGACGTTAAATAATACGATAGATCTTATTAACAATAATACAATTTTTGGATTAATAGGTTATATGGGTAGGTTGAAGATTGAATTTCTTAATTGACACTCGTGTCATCATCAATGGAATGTCACTCATCAATGACATTAGGCACTGCAACCTCACAAATTGCATATCCATGGATTGTACAATCGAAACTACCATTCATTGGTGCCTTTACTGGAGGGTTGTTTTTAAGATCACCTTTTCAACCCAACATTATCAACATTCGAGCAAGTTATCAAGATGAAACTCTAGCATGGTTGATTACTTGATTAATGTCAAATTAGTAAGACGTATTGCAATCTTTTATCAAAATGATGCTTTTGGATTGAGTGGAGTGAGCGGTTCATCATTGGGATTACAAGCATTAGGACTTTCTTTTGTATCAATGGTAAGTGTGTCAGAGAGATATTTCTAAAAATGGCAAATTGTAATTTCATCTATTGGATACAACTTTAGGGATCTTATGAAAGAAACACCATTGAAGTCTCTAAGGCTGTCAATGACATTCAAAAAGGAAACCCACAAGCGATCATTTGCATGTCCACCTATTTACCTACTGTTACCTTTGTCAACGCCGTTAAAAATCGAACCGACTTTGATCCAAATATTGTTTTCATGACAGGTAGTTTTATTGGCTCCAATCAATTGCCTTATCGAGATAGTTTTATGATTACACAGATTCTTCCACCACCAACCAACACCAAATATGCATCAGTGTTGGCGTATCAGAGAGCTAAAAAAGCAATTGATCCAAATTTTACTCCATCCTATGTGGAATTTGAAGGTTATATGGCTGGAAAACTTGCATACAATATTTTGACACAGGTATGTTGTTCTGGATAACATAGAAGATTGATGATGTATCATTTGAAAAATAGAGAGTTTCTGGCGATCTGACACGATCAAACTTTATTAGTCTATTGTATTCTTCAGGAACTTATATTATTGACAATACTGTGGTTGGGCCTTACACACAATGTGCAGGTTCTTCATCTGCCAGAAAAGTCCATGTACTGGAAACCGATCCATTCGGTCAACAATTACTCGTTCCTGAATCTGTGACAAAACCAAAATTTTCTCCAAGAGTTTCATTCACACCATTAACACCAAGAGAAGTTGTTGGTTTTACACCTTTATGTTCTTGCAATCAAGGTTTGAGAACGGTCTACAAGACGTATCAAAAGGAAGATAAATCATTTGTGGAAATCAGTGCTCCGACCGTGTGGGACAGTAGTGGCTCTACGAATTATACATGTCTTTACGATCCATCCAACGTTCACGAGCCTATTGTTTTTGGACATGTCAATATTGGATCTCAACATGACATTGACTTTCTGGTTGGAGCTATGGCAGCAGTTCAGGAAAAAAACAATCAAAAAGGAATAAGAGGAAGAGTCGTGCAATTATTGTCTGTCACTCAAACGAATGTAACTGCGACATCTATTATCAACACTGTGAAAAATCTTATCAAAGATCACAACGTATTGGGAGTGATTGGATCTTACATTCCCTTATCGGAAATTACACAATTTATTATTGGAATGAGACAAACTCTGCCAGATGCCTTTATGTTAGCTCCATACTCATCCTATGATCAATGAAATTCAGAGAAACGTATGCACCTAATATCATTAATGTAGGAACTATGGTTAGAGAGCGATTAGCAACTTTCTTTAATTATGAAATGAATACAAATGGCCATTCCAGATTTTCGATCGTTTACACGAAAAGCGAATCAGGATTGGGCGTATATTCAGAATTTAAATCCATGATACGAGACTTGAAACTAGAAATTGACAGTGAATATTCATTCTACATTGGTGACAATCTCAATGCTGACCTCATTGCAGCCACGTTATCCAATCACGCAAATCCTCAAGCAGTACTACTTGCCATCCCAGACATTCCAGATTCATTTGATATTTACAAGACTCTTATTGACAGCGTGGCTCGTATTCAAAAAAGAGATGAAATTTCTCTCTGTATCATTTACTGGGATTCTATTTCTTGGGAACACAATCTTGCCACATTTATGAAATCTCTCCGTTCGAGCACAACCCTCAAATTTAACATTGTGCAACGATTTCCATTGGTGAGTGCCAATCATCCACTGGTTGCAGCATACAATAATTTTATGTCCACCTTCCAACCCAATACTCAAGTGAAAACCAAAGCTGCCATCGAAGGTTTCTTGACTATGAGTTTCCTTTTCGAAGTTCTTGACAATATTGCTCCATCGTTGCCAATCACTGGAGCAAATATCTTGCAAACCATGTACACAAATGGAGATTTTCTCAAATACACCATTCCATTCGGCACTCTCAAAAAGTTATCCATTGACTCTGGTTGTAATTTGGCCATGCGTTCCTCCTATGTGTACACATTTGACAACCAAACATCTAGCTTTAGTTTGGCTCGAACTCATAGTTTTGATAAGGCCAACTGTGGAATTGATTCTCTCTCAAAAGAAACATCATTTTCTCAACCAATTATATTTGGTCGATTATTGCCCAATGTCGACAATGCTGATAATGATTTTGAATATGGTGTCACGTCCATGTTCACGAGTGTCAAAGACAAGGGCACCTTATCACAAACAACTTTGCATGTTTATACAGAATACTACAGTGATGAAGACGACATGCTTGAAAAGGCAACTTCAATGATCAACAAAAACAAAGTATTTGGGTTTTTGGGATCTCGAATTTTATATAATGAAGCAAAATTGAAAGCTCTGCTTGAGGAAAAACGAGTTCTCCTCATTGGACCTTTATCTTCACAAAAAGCCCTTAGAGAACCTTATTCAAGATTTGTTGTGAATATTCGTCCTTCGATTGTCGAAGAAGTGGTCACCATGGCAAGATACATCAAACAAAAATCACAAGGAAGCAAACCATCCATCAGCATTGTCTATGGAAATGGAAGCTATTGGGAACAGAATAAGAATGATGTTCTTGATTTCTTTGAAACAAGTTTAGAGGGTGTCTCTATTGGAAGTGTCCAGAAAATTTTCTCAACTACAAATACGCGACAAAGAAGAAGTACCTATCAAGATTTTTCATCATTGTCTTTTAATTTAGTAATCATTTTGGCAGATGCTCAGGATACACTCTCGTATTTGAATCAATTACCTGAAAGCAATTCAGCAATTCTCTATGGAGTACCTTCAGAAATTTCCTCAACTGCTCTATTTTCTCAAAATATCAAAAACTCTGCCATGTCGCAATTATTGACTTCCAATTTTCTTGACAAGTATTCTTCGGCCAGTAATACCAATTTTATGGCTCGTGACTTTTTGCAATACTTTACTCAATATTATCCAACCAAAAACACATCCATGCTTGCCTATGAGGGTTTCACAATTGGATATATGGCAGTGAGTGTCATGCAATATATGAAACAAGCGAATATGCCAATTACTAACGAATTATTTGTGAACACACTTTTTGAAAGATCAATTTTTGAATTGGGAACGAATGTGTTTGGCCCGTATGGTGATTTGTGTACCTCCACCTTTACGAATGCATCCTCTGTTACTGTTTCAACGGTTTGTGAAACTCAAAAATCATGTAATTGTAGCAAGGAGCAAAATCCATATTCTTATCCATTCCATTACGTGACGAGAGTTTTAAGGTTTCATTTGAGACTTGTGGACTCCAACCCATATTGCCCTTATTATCCAATGCTGCCATTGCAGGTATTGTTGTGGCTGGCACGTTTACAGCTATTGGAATTTGTTGTCTCGTCATGATTGGAATTATTTGTTCAAAAAAGTCCTCAGGAACCAAACACGCTCCAAAAAGTGGATACATTACATGCGCTTTCACAGATATTCAAAATTCAACCAAGTTATGGCAACATGACGAAAAAACAATGAGAGCTTCATTAGAAATTCATGATCAAATTATGCGAAAGAATTTGGAGTTGTATCGTGGTTATGAAGTGAAAACTAATGGTGACAGCTTTTTCGTTGCATTTAAGAGTCCTCATGATGCTGTGTTGTGGGCCATGCAAGTTCAAATTGATTTACTAAATGCAAAGTGGCCTTCTGAATTGTATCATCAATGGGATTGTCGTCAGAAATGGGACAAGAGAACGAAACGAGCGTATTGGAGTGGTGTTCGTGTGAGAATTGGATTGCATTTTGGTAAAGGAGATGCAAAATGGGACAAGACTATGAAACGTTTTGATTATTTTGGTAATGTCGTAAACAAGGCAGCACGTATTGAAGCAATTGCACATGGTGGACAAGTATTAATTTCAGATGAATTGTTGCAAGAAACTGCTGACCTTTTTAATGATATCAAGTACATGGATGAGCAGTATGGATTTCAACAACAAACAGCATTCCAAAATAAGCTGAAAGAGAAACCAGAAATGAAACGTAGAGACAGTGTGGCCAGCAGTATTCAAAGCTTACAAATATCAAGTCTGTTCAAAAAGGTTCCAAAAGTGAATGCTGAAACAAATTTAACAGCAAGAGAACTTGGACTTTTCCAATTGAAGGGTCTTCTTGAAGAAAGTCGAGTATTTGAAATCAAATGTGCAGAAATTGCGATGAGACAATATCCACCTCTGAGAGTTTCTCAAGACGAACAGCTTACTGAAATGCCACACATGATGAATGAATTCACAGAAGAGGAAGAGGAGGATGGCGACCAATCGGTCATTACAGATGGCAATACCAAGGAAGTTGAATAATGATCTTTCTGTTTTACCAGCCAGCTTTGCAAATGTAACATTAAATTTTGATAAATATCACGAATGACTTGTGAATATCACAATGCAAGGGTCCTTCCTTATTAGTTAAACAAATCTTGATTCCTAAAAATTGATTCAACTCAACTCTCTCTACTTTCCATGTGTAGTTATTGATCATACTTAAACATGACATACAAGACTGCATGCAGTATTAATAATATTTTGGAATTTTCAAAATCAACATCCTCAATACTTACCCAATACTCCTTGAAACCAATTTAAAAACGTGTGCTCAGTAACTTGTTTCGTTTGTCTTAACTCAGTCATCACAGATCCGACATCTAACACAATGTTGTTATTGGAAACCGATGTGGCAATAGAGCTATCTTCAAATCCATATAAATCTGTATTTTGTTCTTGATCCTCATCCAGAACGTCCTTAATTACAAGAATGTCAGAACCAAGTCCTCTCTCTCCCAGAACCTCTCGTAAATGAGTCAGAAATTTATCAAATTGCGATCGTGACATGGTGTAACATCCTTCTTCTACGTCAAAAGTCTTGGCATATCTATAAAATATATAACGCGAGACCCAATTTTCAGGATCATCGATCGAAAGTCGTACATCATAGGGCTCTACAAACTCCAAATTTACCTCTTCGGATGATGATGATTCTAGAAAATCTTGTTCTTTAGCTTGTTGAAGTAAATCCTTTTTCAATTCTTCAACATTTAGCTGATTTGCATCAATAAGTGTATTCACTTTCATAATTGTATCAATACAGCATGCCACAATATTCCGCTGATGAAGTGACTGCTTTAAATTTCCGTACAGCGTTCGAGCATGATTTTGAATTTTCCTCTTAACAGAATTGACTTCTTTTTTCTCGTTTTTTGGTGTTGCATTTTCAAATGCTAATAAATTATCTTCATCCTCATAAATGGCGTTTGAGTTATTTTCCAAAGGAATGATATGTCTTTCAAAAAGTGCGGAACCGTGAAGTATCAGTCGATCAATAACATTGAGAATAACTTGACGTTCTTCTTGAATATCATGGCTAGTCACCATGAGGGATCGGGATGGCATATCATACGAAAATGAGTGTTGTCCTCTCCTCCGATCGTGAGTATGATTGAGAAAGAGAGTAAGACTATCATCATCAAACATGTTGGTATTAAAACTTGTTGAAATAAATTAATTGAAGGTGTATGATGAATCTATTTACACAATGGATGAAATAAATTAGATGAGGTAATTCCGAGTTCCGAGAGTGTTGTATCTGGTATTTTAATAAACCATGGATGATGATGCGAGAGAGAGCAGCAAAGCTTGAGGATGAATTTTTTTTTCAAGACTTTTGGATCAGGAACAGTCATCAATTCCTCATTTTCAAAAACACTCAACGCATCAAGATGAAACTTTTCCTTATCTAATTCATAACGTTTAATGACAGGTGAGAGGGAGAGGCCTTTTCGAAATTTGACAATGACTTTTGGTGGAACAATTTATGTATGACTCGAATATGGGGATGTGGAGGACGATGTTTTTGTTGATGAAACATGTTTTACGATTCATTTCTCGTAAAAGCCTTTATCGAGTGATGAAAAAGGAAAAATAAAGGCAATCGTCGTTGCATTACCCAATAACAAAAAGGCTACAGCACTGCAGGTTCCCAAGTTGTCTCCAACCTCAGTACTGATGCAGCTCGACGATGCTTAACTTCTCAAATCGGACGGGATGAGGTGCATTCATCGTGATATGGCCGTAGCCATAATATTCTTAACTGTTGTTTTTGTAACTTTATATTCTCTAATGTGTTGATTCCAATTCTTGACTTGTTCACGACAAACTCTCTCCCTCTACTAACACCGTTACTTCTCCTTTGCACTCAATGAGCCAAACTCAAACGAACACGTGTTCGAATGTTCCTCTTCTTTCGATTTTTCAAAATGAAATCACCAAAGTGTCCGCTGAAGAGAATTAATACGCACGCTCGTAAATGGATTGTGTCGCATGTTCGTTCGGAATGCATCGGATTGGAAATTCAACAAAAAAAACACAACAATTCATTGCAATATTATCAACAACAATCTCCTCCATTACCAATGGTCCTTACTCTCGAAATTCCATCTGCATTTGGCTACGTCTTGGCTGTTGCTCTCGCCTACACTCTCGAATTATTTGTGTTTGGTGGTGTCGTTGGCCACATGAGAAAGAAGCACAAAGTCCCGTATCCTGATGTCACAGGTGCTCCCGAATTCAATCGAGCCATGAGAGTCCATTACAATGCATTGGAAGGAACTCCATTCTTTTTTGTGGGTTTAATATTGAGCGGATTGTATTGGCCTGAAGTGAGTGCATTGGCTGGAGTGGTGTACATGATTGGACGAGCTGTGTACTGTGTTGGATATTTGCAAGCTCCAGAGAAGAGATCTGCAGGAGCTTATATTTTCCATTTGGCTGAATTGGTGCTTTTGGTATTGAGCGTCATGTTTATTGGAAGAGTAATTTTCCAATAATAATAATTTTGAAAATATTGTCAGTCAAATATTCAATAATGAATGACCACAACTAGTATACTTATTCCATTAAGAAAATGTTAAATGGGCATAATAAAATTCACTCGATATGTCATTCTACACATTCGAATCTAACATAATTTCACACTTGCTGTACATTTTACCATTTTCTTTTGAGGTTGCTAAAAAGTGTAACTTATCCACTGTGAATCGAATGGGTTGTAACAGTTTTTCCTCCAGTCGTTTCTTTCGTTTCAAGACTTCTTCCTATTGAAATTGATTATCATTCAGATGTATATTAGGACCATGAAATGAGACATTGACACTTACAGTTTTCACATACGCAACTGATAAATGAGGTTCGTATTCATGATTTTCCTTAATATTAAATGCAGTGACAATCAAGTCATGGATCAATTTTAAAAGATCATCTCCTCTAGAATCTCCAATGACTCTCGGCCGCATGAAAATGATTGAAGTATGTGTATGTTCAAAAATGTCAAAATCTGAAAGCTCTATATCAAAACTAGAAATTGAATTTTCCTTAAACACTTGTTTCAGCTTTGTTTTAGCAGCTGTAAATCCAGCTTGAGCAACAAAGGGATATGTTCTAATCATTACATTGTTGTTATATGAAAATCAAATAATATCAAATAATTAAATTTCCAATTGCATTGTTGTCCAATAAATCCAATGATCAAATGATGCAATATTTAAAAGTCAAAAAAGATCATCATCATCCATTACATGAATTCATCCATGTTCTCATTACTCTCTGAAACAATGCATTCTCACAAACCTACACATTGATGTGAGCTGGCCACATAGCTCTATTATTATCATAATCCAAAACTCTCTCGGGAGAATGCTCCGAATAAATGAATGGCCACACTTCCAACGGAGGAATAATACTACATGCAGTATTCACTGTTGTGAAACATTGATTTGAGTTGGACATTTTTTTTTTGTAATCATTCAATTTCATTTCCAGAGTTGAAATTCAGGGGTGTTTGAACGCTGCACATTTAAAGTGCAAGTTCATCAAATTTTGATAACCTTGAGTTCTTGAGTTATTTTGAGAATGGTTCCTGTGATCATTACAAGGCCACCATTTTAAAGAACTTTTTCGAAAAAAAAATCGATTCAGTTTGTTCTCTCCTCATCGCAGTCTGAAACAGCTCCAATCATCATCCCCCTCTAAAATGTCCATTTACAAAAACTTGGCTGCTCAATATCCTCATCCTCATACCATCCGTGGTTATACCAATGATGCTCAGTGTTGGTGTTTTCCTTCTCGTTTGGCCCGAGTGTTTCCAAAAGAGTTCAACATGACTCTCACTGATCAATTCAATTTACACATGATTGGCAATGAAGAGAAGGAATTTGTATTGGATTTTTCAGAAGCATTGGTTTTGAAATGTAAAACCTATTCCGATAACACTTTTATTAAAGGGATCAAGCCTAACCCTTCAGTTTCGCATCGAGTCATTGTGAGATTTTTCCCAGCTGCTGAGATTGAAGGATCATGCCATGATTTGTTGGGAATTGGAGATAAGGAAAAAACTACTGTCAGATATGAGGAATCGGTGTTTGTGATCTATCCTAACAAGAAAGTAGAAGCATTATTTGAGTGGTATGTCGACAATGCCAGATCTCCTGAGAGAGGTAGAAACCTCTATGCTTACAATGTGAAAGAAGAATATTGGGTGAGAAAATATCAATATGTTGGATTGGACCAAAGTCATGTTTTTGGTCTTGATGACAAGTTTGAAATGTTCGAAAGAGATTTCACAATCATTCACAAGAAAATTGACTTGTTGCATAAGGTCGGAAAGAGTTGTTCACTCAATTACTTTTTACACGGACCACCAGGTGTCGGAAAATCTTCATTCGCTCGATGTATTGCCACCAAGTATAATTTAGACATTTATACTGCCAATTTGAAGGATGCCAAGCATATCAAGGATTCTGACGCGATCAAGTCGATTCTCTCTCCAAGAAAAATGATTTTCAAAGCAGAGCCAGAGCATGTCAATACAGGTTCCAATGGAAACTGTTGTGACAATGATGATTATGATGGATGTGAATTTGACAAGATTATTAACCCTGAAAAGCATGAATACGTGGTCGTTTTAATCGAGGACTTTGATAGATATTTGAACAGTTGCAATTCTGAAGAGATGAGCAATGTGGTAAGTATTTGCAGTTTTTGCAATGTTTCATGATGAATAATATGGATTTGTGTTTATTGGGATGCATTTGTGTAAAACTTTAGTTAAATGCCATTGATGGAGTCGAACCATCTGATGGTATCATTCGTGTCTTCTCTGCCAACAACACCGAGGACATTAAATTGAACAAGGCCTTCCTGAGCAGAATGAACGGTATTTGGAGATTTGACCTCAACTCGCAAGAGAGCATTCTCAAGAGAATTTATGAACTGTTCCCAAATAATCAAATAAGATTATCCAAAGAGGAAGATCCTGAACAAAAACCAGTTCAAGAATTATATGCTCAAAAAGCATCCGAGTTCAAAATGGCTCTCAGAGAAGTCACAAATCATTTGTGTCGATACTTGATGGATGAATCAAATGGAATTGTGGAAGCTTATAAAGATATTGAACGATTTGTTCATGAAAAGGAAATTAAGGTTGAAAATGATGCTTTCACCATCAATGGAACAGACGAAGACAAACAAGAGAATGGAACAGCTGACAGTAATGATACTGAAGCATCCTCAGAATATGAAACTAAGGTGTAATCATTCGAGTTTAAATGTTTCAATTTTCTATTAAATTATTTTATTTAATATGAATTGACTTTACATAGGCCTTATTAGCTTTGGTAAAGTGATAATGAACAGATAGGACAAAGAAAATTCAGTTGTTTCAAAAGTCTCACGAAGACAGTCTCATTTCCACAACAGGAACGCAGCGGCTACACAAGCGTAGAGTCCCAACTCAATGAACAACGAAAACCATCCAAGATAGTACCAAATGAAAACGTTTGATAACAGCCAACCCAAAATTCCACAATAAAGAAAAGGAGGAAATGGGTTAAAACCTCCCGAAACATGGTGCTGTTGTGGAATTGTGAAATGACCCAAAAAACTCATTCCGATCGTACCAACGATGGAAATAATCATGGCTATTTGAACACTCGCACAACTTGGGAGATGTGTTGTCGACATGTAGGGCATTTCTTGTTTGTGAGTTGGTTTGCACAACTTTCACACATGATCAAATGGCCACAAGGAATCAACACTACATTGATTTCTCTATCCATACAAACCACACACTTGTCTTGGTCTTCTCTTTGAGGCTTGTCATGATGATCGTGTGCATGACTAGAGGTCCTGCTCACATTAGTGGATGTAGAATGTTCAACATGATTATGATGAATTGTGTTGTTTTCCTCGTGTAACCAATCATGATTTGTAAATACTGTTGGATCTTCACGCAATTCTTGAGGAAAAACAGTCTAGAGTGGTGATTATTTCTATGGCTGTTGTTGCTATTATTCATTGAAGTGTTTGTGTGATTCTTTCTGTTCATGACAATGTCTCGTTTTCTAGCTCCAGCTAAGAAGTTTGTCATGTTTGCTTTTTTCATTCTGAAAATAAGAGATGACAATTGGTCGGAGAAGTCTTGGACTTTTTTTCACATTTCCGAAGATCCTCATCTAACTCGTTCGTGTTTGCTGCGAAAGAGTGCATTTCTTCTTGTTGTGTGTCAGTTTTGCAAATTTGTTCCATTAATTTGTTGGCGCTTTGTAGTTTGAGTCTTGCCTCTCTAAAGTTGCCTTCCTCGGCCAGTTCAGCGCTTCTCAGCACTGCATTCAATCCAATAATTGCAATATCTGCTCCTTGTAAGGACTCGTTTCTGTCGTTGGTCAGCTTGAGTTTTTGTGTCAACACCCTTAAACGTTGGTTGTCATTGGATGTGAAAAACACTTGAGCTTGTATCCATGCTTCACTGTTTTTTGGGTCCAATTTGTTGTTATTCACTTGAATTTCAAAAGTAAGATCGTTTTCTGCTGTAACACTCCCTAGCATTTGAGAAATTATGGTCGAGCTACCTTTTGTGACAACTTCTTGGGCCTTGGAAGGATTTCTTAGTGTTAAAGGAGCAGATAGAATTAAATTAATCTTCACATTGGTGGCAATGACAGGATTATCAATGATTTGTCTCATTTGACGTCTTAGTTCAATTGGTTTCACTAACATGGTAGTACCATTTGTTTGATCTGCAATTTTTCCTAACATGGACATGTTACAATCAGCGCCTTCAATTCCAAACACGCTAATATTCACACCGTACTCTGTTGCCAAATTAGAAATCTTGTCGTAATATTGCTTCTGTTGTACAATGCTATTCTTCCTGTTGGATCCTTCTTCGGATTCACCCCCAATTCCAATATTAGCCACACCATCGGTACAAACGATTACCTTGGAGTTCTGAACTTGGCTAGCAATTCCCAAAGAGACTGTGATGGCCGGAATGAGAGCTGTTTGGCCCTCCTCGTTAATAGAATAAACAATCTCAGAAAGAGCGTCTTTTGTTTCGTAAATTGGACTAAGGCTTGATGTTCGATACGAACGGCCAAGTTTGAATAATGCCTCAAAATTGTTCAAAATATTTGATGGAACTGTTGCCTTACCAAATTTCCCGTCACCAACAATTGTTACCTTGTCTGAAAAAGTGACGATAAGAACACGTTTGTTTGGATTCTCTTTCGATATTTCTTCCAGCTGTAAATCTATGGCCATAGACAGACATTCAATTCTGCTCACATATGATGATTGTCTGCTCTCATTTGGAAGGTATTGATTGTGAACACCTACTTCGGTATCAAGTCCTAACTCTCTCAATAAACGTTTTGTCTTTTCTTCCTTCTGTTGAGCCTTTCTCATGTCTAAGTTCAAAACAGAGAAGCTTGGTAGCAGTTCAGTCTGTCCCATGCTTCCCGAGATGTCAATACAGAAAATTAAAAGGCCATTATCTTTCTCTTTTTGCTCAAGACCATCATTCGCTGAACGTAAAGTAAAATCAAGCTCTTGAGGAAGTGAGAGAATGATGATTTTTGTCCATTGACTTGGTGAGTACCACAACAATATTTACAAACAGAAAGTTGTTCTTCAATGAAAGCTCCGCAATTCTTACATCCAGATGCTTGTGGAACTGGCATGACATTGGGAATGACTGATGATAATGGTTTAAAACTCAAGGCTACACAATTAGCATCAGACTTTTTGAATTTGACAACTTCCTCGTCTTTGTTTGGTGTTTCCAATGAAGAAATGGTGTTGATGGAAGCGCTACTACTTGCTGTCTTCTTCGATTTCCTAAAGAATTTAGAGAAAAATCCTTGTTTTTCTTGAGGTTTCTTCTCATCAGCCATGTTGTCCGTCATGATGGAGTTTAGGGGCACATTTGGAACACGAATTTGTTTGCGATACGAATCCTCAATGGTTGGATCGTAGGTCTCTACGAACACTCCCTGTATCTATTATGGATAAATGTCATTAGAAATAAGGTCATTCAACAATTATCATTGCACAAATGAATAATACCTACAAATTGTAGGGAAATGCTTGACTTTCCAACACCTCCTGAACCTACTATTACAAATCGATATTCATTCAATCTTCCACACATTCGAACCAATTCAAAGAATGGTTCTTCAGTGTTAATATTACATTTGGCACTCGTTTCAAAATAAGGTAATCCCAAACGAGAGGCTGTGAGCTCACACTCGGATCTCGAAATTGCTCGTTCCTCTTGCAAATCACACTTATTTCCAATCAACACACATGGATACCTATCAGCATCTTTGACTCTCAATATTTGTTCATAAATTTGAGCACAATCTTCCAAAGAGCACGGAGAACTCAACGAAAACACCAACAAAAATCCATCTGCACTCCGATAATACGAGTCTCTGCAAGCACTATATTCTTCTTGTCCTGCTGAATCCAACAAATCAATAAGAGCCATATGATCCTCTCCATGTCGTTGTCCACTATGTAATAATTGTTTTCTCCGAGAACAAGCGTAGGCTTGTTGCAACGAATTTTCCTGATTCAACTGTGCGAGCGAGAAGGTATCGTAAATTTCATCATCATGATTTTCATTTTTTGATGATGAAGAGGATTGGGATGAAAGAGAAGGTTCGATGAGAAAGGTCGGAGTGGCCAACGAAAGGGACATTTTGTGTTTCTTTTGAATTCTAACAAGATTGTTTCGAATTACGGTGAATGTTTGTTTGTATCAGGAATAAGCCGTTCGGAAGAAGGAACTTGGGTTCTTGAACTCGGAGGCACCAATTTCATTCTTCTCTCTATCTCTAGCGCTTCCAATGTCCTCCTTACTAGAGAGAGTTTGAGGGATACTTGTTGTTATGTTTAACCTTAGTTATATTTTGGTAGTTTTTACAGTTCAATAACCACAACTTGTTCATGTAACCAAGCAAAAAGCCTCCTGTCTCCAATCAACGCAACGCTTTGGTCTTTTGTGTGTTCGTCATGATTCGGTCTTTGCCAAGTAATGTCCTTTCTAATGAAATTTGAAGGACATCAACTACAGGCTGTTAAAAGAGGAAAGGGACCGGTTCATCAAGCAACAACGAATCCACCAACACATTATCAATGATGATTACCACAACAACACCTCAACGAAAACGATAAGGATTTCAACCAACTCTCAAATTTCTTGAACACAAGCAAACACAAGAAGAAAGGTCCAGGTCAAAATGCCACCTCGTCACTGCACGGGATTACGACCTATGTGCACAATTTGATGTCAACGCTTAACAAAACGAGATTGTTAATTTTGACAGGAAACATAAGCGCATTACATTTCATTTAATGACAACCGACATTTTAGGGCTCCAAAACAAAAACTGATAATTTTCACTAACTTGTGTCTAGCATTACTCAAAAAAAACCAACAAGTGTGTTATCTTCCGTGACCTCAAACCACTTCTCGCCTCCAAGACGAAATGCCTGAACAAATCACTCTTGGAAGCACTACTGGTAAGTTTCATTGTGTCCATCTCATCATGTTGATGTTATTATTTCATATTGCTGAAATTCGTACCTGATATATTACATGAAATACTCTTGACCTCTTTTTCTTTGACCATATGACAATACATTGAACAAATTTGGATCGTTCGATCAACGTTATGTGAACACTCCAAATTGTAGCTGCTCGACAAGTTGTGGGTTTAACCTCAGCTTGCTCAAGGGAGGTACTATTACTCAAACTATTGGTAGGTTATTTGTTTATGAGGTAGTTGTATGATTGATTCGCTGACCTTGTTGGTTCATGTTGTTGTTGTTGATGTGTCGAATGATCATTGACACCTCGCTCTTGCGCGCACATTGTGAACGAACACGAATCATTGTTATCCATAACGATCAAATTTGTCAACCTCTCATGGAATGCGCGTACTTGAATGTGTTCACTGCTGATCCCTTCTTCTCATAACCAAGTCGGTGGTGTTATCACTGCTCTCGTGATTGCCTCTACCGTGGCCACCATCATCTTGGTCTCTGTTGGTGTTGGTTACTCTCCACCACAACCAAAGAATGACATGGCCACAACTTTTAAACGTGTTCCAATTACTTTGGATGTGTTATTGAATGATGTCGATCCTCGTGGAGGTAACTTGACATTGACCAATATTGTTGTCTCTCCTCGTCATGGTGTAGCCAAGATTATTTCCAAATCCAAGATTATGTATCAATCGTTGGGAGCTTTTACTGGAAATGATACCTTCTCGTATGAAGTGTCAAATTCGTTCATGACTGCCAATGCTACTGTCATCGTTCAAGTATTGAATCGAGCTCCTGAAGCCATTCCAATTGTCAAGACAGTTCCCAAGAATGCCAATCGTTTCCTTATTGACATCTTTTCATATGTTGGAGACAACGGAGAGCGTATTTCTGATGTCGACAATGATGCTCTCTATGTCGATACTTTTTATGGTAATCAAATTGTTGGTGGAAATCAAACCGATTTGGGAATTGTTGAAAAGGACACATGGTCTGGTTTCTATTACACACCAAAGAAGGATTTTAATGGTGTGGAACAATTCAACTATGTCATTTCTGATGGCAATGATACTTCCACAAGTACCATCACCATTACCATTCAAAACAATCCTCCTACTTGTGTCGATGACACTTTTAACGTTCCCAAATATGGAGGTGCCAATTTGGACGTATTGAAGAATGACAATGACATTAATGGAGATGATTTTTATATTTCTAGAGCTCTTGGTGCTGGATATGGAGGTGTCAGCGTTCGTTCCAACAACAAGCTTGTGTATTATTATACCAGTAGTGATCTCACTACCAAATATGGTGATTCTTTCGAATACTCAATTACTGATGGTCAATTAGAAAGCTCATGTGTTGCTTTCATTCAAGTTTACAATACTCCTCCTGAAGTCTTCTCCAAGACTTTTACTGTTGGTAAATCCACCACTGGTAACTTGATTCCAATCGATTACTTTGATGTCGATGGAAAAGATTTAGTGACTTTGAAGAGCATCTCTCCTGCTCTCAATACTTTAAATCCTGCAGGTAGTGTTCAATCTTCCAAGACTTACAAGACCAAGTACTTTGAATGTTGTGACTTTTTAAATGTTGAGATTAACAATTATACTCTTGTTTTCTCTCCAACTCCTGGAACTGTTTACAGCACTGTGTTGAGTGTGACCATGACCGATGGAGAAGCTGAAGGAACTGGTAAGATTACAATCAACGTTGTGAACACTCCTCCAACTCCTGTGGATGACACTGCCTCGTGTGGAAAGAATCTTCAAACATTGATCAATGTCATTGAGAATGATTTTGATACTGATAATGGAGATAATGTTCTTCTCAAGTTGACTTCTAATGGATGGATTACTGCTACTGAAAAGGGTGGTTCTGTTTCTCTCTATAACAATACTCATGTCTTGTACACTGCTCCAAAAGATTTGGTTGGAACCACAGATGTTGCTTATTATCGTGTCACTGATCAAAGTGTGGATGGTAATGGTCAACCAGATCCAACAAGTTTTGCCACTGGTAAGATTACCATTTCTCTCATCAATAATCCTCCTACTCCAGTCGATGATGTCATTACCATTCCAAAGGGTATTGCATCTGTATTGAATGTTTTGACCAACGATGTGGATCCTAACGATGGTCCAAATTCGATCAAAAAGATCAAATCTGTCGATGCTTCTGCCAACAAGAATATTGTACCAAGTATTTTGTTGAACCAAATTAATGGTAACACTGATGCTGTTTCTTACACTGCTGTCAATGAAGAATATACGGATAGCTTCTTGTATGATGTTACTGATCAAGATGGAATGGATTCCACATTTAAGGCAAAGGTCACTTTGAATGTTGTGAATACTGCTCCAGTTGCTAATAACGACAATTATAATACGAAATGGAATCGATCGGTGGATTGTAACGTTAAGGCCAACGATTTCGATGAAAATGGTGATTTGTCAAGAGCTACTGTGAACATTATTGCCAATCCAGGACAAGGATCAGTTGTAGTGATGGGAGATGTGGTTCGCTACACTCCAAACAATGGATTTGTTGGTACTGATTCATTCACATATAGATTGAACGATTTGAGCTCTGTCAATGCTTTGTCCAATATTGCCACTGTCACTATTCAAGTCACAAATACTGCTCCTGTTACTCAACCTGATTCTATTTCTACTCACTGGAGAAACCCAGTTGGAGTTTTAGTTTCACCATTGACCAATGACAACGATCCAGATGGAGATGCTTTGGTTGTCTCTGATGTCTCTTCCAGTGTTGGAACTGCAACTCTTGTCGATTCACAAACCATCAAATTCATTCAAGCACGAACACACCAATTACTCTTGGAACTAAACAATTCACATACACTGTCTCGGATTACAATTTACAAACTGTTGGTACTGTGAATGTTGAAGTTACAAATACCAAACCAGTTCCTCAAGATGATACTTTCACATTGCACTGGGCTGCTTCTGCCACTGTTTTGGATGTTTTGAAGAATGATGTTGATGCTAATGGAGATTCATTGACTGTTGCAAGTGTGGACCGACAAGTTTATCCACTAAGGGATCAGTTGTTGTTACTTCTGGTTCTGGTTCTGTCACTTACACACCCAATAAGAGTTATACTGGTGCTAGTGATCAATTCAGATATGTCATTAACGATGGTGCTGAAAATTCTGTTACTCAAGGAACTGTCACCATTCAGCTCACCAACAATGACAAGCCAACTGCTTCTGATGCCTCTTATTCAGTTCATTGGAGAGTTTTACAAAGTGCTGGAGGTTATCGAGACTTTGATGTTCTTTCTGGAAAGACTACTGACAGTGATGGTGATTCTCTCTCAGTATCTGTTGTTGCCTCAGGCTCTTGTTCTGTTGTGAGCAATAAGGTTCGTGTGACTGTTACGAGTGGATTCATTGGAACTACTTCATGCTCATTCACAGTCACTGACGGTCATGACAGCGTCACCAAGACTGCAAGTGTTGTCACATTTAACACTGCACCAACATGTTCTGACATTTCTGTTTCATTCGATCCAAATAATTTCAACACTGGACAAACGATTGTTGTTACCAGCTTTATTAATGATTTGGATTCTGCTGATGTTGCATTCTTGACTCCAACTGAACCAGCCGGAGTTCAAGCTGGAGATTCTCTCACTGTCAATTCAGGTGATCGAACACTTCTCTTTAAGCCAGCCAAGACTGTCGGTACTCGAGTCATGTCGTACAAGGTGACTGATGGTGTTTCTACATCTGCTGCTTGTGCATTGACAGTTGCTGTTTCATCCACGATCCATCTGATTATTCCAAATCAGTCACTGTTCATTGGAATTCTGCTAATAACGAAATTGACATCTTTGCTGCAATTCCAACTTCAACCTTCTCACAAATTTATCCAGGATATTCTGCAGTCTCAATTACCTATAACTCTGGTAACAAGAAGATTTACTACACACCAAAGAAGGCTGTTGGTTTTGATCAATTCATTGTTGGTGTTAAAGATGAACTCAACACTCCTAGAAATGTCACTGTTTCTGTCACCATTTACAACAATGCTCCAAGTGCTTCCGTTCCACAATCATCAGTGGTTTGGAGTTCAAGTGGTATTGACATTGATCTACTTGTTGCATATTCTGATGCCGATATGACTGCTGGTTTTGAAACTTTGGGAACTGTGTCATCTATTGACACTGTTGGTTGTGCAGGATCTGTTGTTCTTCAAGCAGACAAGAGAACTGCAAGATTTGTTCACAAGGAACTTTCACTGGATTGACTCAATTCAAGGCAACTGCCACTGATGGTGTTGCTTCTACTACTTTCCCTGTTTTAGTTGTTGTGACTAATCAAGCTCCAGTCACTCAACCCAAGACGGTTAGCATTACTTGGTCCCAACATAAGGCAGGATATTCCATCAATGTCTTGAACTTTGGTGGTAAGGTTGACAGCGATCCTGATGGAAATGCATTGACTGCTTCTTTATCTGGTGGTGTTTCTCCATCTACTGCTGGCTCTGTTTCACTCACAGCTTCACCAAATGCCATTGTAACTGCTGGCGCTAATGTTTATTTAGGATCCTTCTCCTTTGGTTATTCTGCATCTGACTCGGTCACTTCAACTCCAGGAAGTGTCACAGTCACTGTGACCAATACTTTACCAAGTCCATCTCCATACAGTCTTGATTTGCATTGGAGATCCAAGAATGTTGCTCTCGATCCTGTGATCAGCTATGCTCCAACTCGTAAAGATTCTGATGGTGACTCATTGACCATTACAGCTGCTTCTGCTTCAAAGGGAACTGCTGTTGCTAATACCAATACCATTACTTACACTGCTCCAGCTTCCCTTGGTTTGGATGTCGTCTCATATACTCTTACAGACGGTGCTCAATCCGTGTCCAATGCCAATACTGTGGTCAATGTAAATGTTGTGAATACCAATCCAATTGCTGCTCCATTGACTGCTTCTGGTAAATGGTCTGCAGTGATCACCAAAGATTTAACGACTGGTGCTTGCTCTGATAATGATTCATTGATTCTACCTTTGTTAAATTCAATGGAGCAGTTTCCAACGCAGTCGGTGGTACTACTTCCGTTTCAGGAAATGTTGTTTCATTCACTTCCACTCTTGCTGCTTCTTCCTATTCCTTGTCAGGAAATGTTTACACTGGAACTGGTAGTTACAAGTATACTTGTACTGATGGTTTGGGTACTTCACAAGGAACTGTCACTGTTACTGTCAATAACAATGCACCAACTGGTACCGGTAACTCTGTTACTCTTCCAAGAGATTACACAAAGACTACGTATGATTTTACATGGGCTCAAATGGGTACATTTTCTGATGCTGATGGAGATACCATTTCTGTGATTAAGGTCGCCACCACTTCAGATGTCACAGTCACCACCATTGGTTCTGGTATTCGGTTGACTACTTCACAAACTGTTGTAGGAGCTAAGGCCATTACTTTCAAATTATTCGATGGTCTCCATGAAAGTGTCAACACCTTGACATTTACCGTGACTTTCACCAATGCTGCTCCAACTTGTTCTCCTGCTTTATTCGAAGTCAATAAGGGAACTGCCACAGACATGTTACCCAAGTTGAAGACTCTCATTGCCGATGCTAACAAGGATTCTCTTTCAGTGTCGTTAACAGGAACTTTGCCAGTCTCTCTGGGATCCATTACTGGAACTACTTTCACCAGTTCAAGCACGAACAGTGGTACTTCTACTGCTGTGAGCTATATCGTCTCTGATTCTCAACTTCAAGCCACTTGTGGAATGACCCTCACAGTGACCAACAGAGCTCCAACTGCAAATCCTGCCACTTATTCTTTCGATGCTCAAGCTGCCAATTTCGTTCACACTGCTCAATACGATCAGGCCTCTGATCCTGACTCTGCTGATACCTTGACGTATTCCATGACCTCAAATACTTGTGGTAGCATTGCATCCTCGGTTAGTGTTTCCTCTTCTGGTCTTATTACTTTCACTAGAAAGAGTACCTCTCTCAAGGGTACTTGTACCGTGTTGGTGAATGTTGTTGACAGTGATGGTTCCAATCCATTGTCTGCTAGTGCTACGGTCACTTTAGTTTTGAATTCTCAAACTCCAACAGCAAGAGATGACAGATTCTCCATCAATCAAGGACAAACCATCAGAATCTTTGTTTCCCAAATGCTTGCTAACGATAATGACGAATTTGGAGGTGTTAGTGGACTCACCTTTGTCAATGTTTCTTGCCCTGACGCTTCTTATTGTCACAAGACTCCAAGAATTGTCAATGTGAATGGTCAAACTGCTGTTGAACTCGATTCTGATACCAAGTCATGTCAAGCTGACAAATTCAGATACACGCCAAGACCACATTCAATACTTATGTATCTGCCAACGTTTTCGTTGAATTCAAGAATTGTTATTGTCAATCCAAGATTGATTTCATCTTCTTATTGGACTCTTCAGGATCGATTGGTACGACCAATTTCAACTCGATGAGAACTTTTGCTAAACGTGTTACTGGTCGAATGAAGCTTGCTGCTGATGCTGTTCAAGTAGGTATTGTGAGATTCCACACGACAGGTGTTTGGACTTTGGGATTAACCACTGATGGAGTTTTGGTGAACAACACCTTAACCAATATGCCTTACGATGCTGGAAGCACAGCTCAAGTTCCTGGTCTCCGTGTTGCTGTGAATATGGCTTCTCAAGGACGTACCGATGCTGATAAGGTGATCTATGTGTTGACGGACGGTATGGCCAATGTTCCATGTTCATGCAGTCAATGTGAATCCAATGTGTATGGATGGGCAGCTTCACCAAGCATGTTCAAAGACACTGTTCAAAGTAAGATTATTGACAATGCAGCTCTTACTGCTGATCAAAAGAAGGCAGCTTACAGAGATCTTTGCAAGTATCAATATAGTGATACCAATTGGGCATTCAGTGGAAAGACATGTAGTTACTGTACTTGGGATTCTAATTCTTATTGTTTACCTTGTGCTGATGCTGTACCGTGGGCAAAGAAGGTCGGTACTTGGAAACGAGATGCACAAGGAATCGTTCCCAATGATCCAGATAACCCATTCAATGGAAATAATAAGGTTTCTTGGAAGATTGTTGCAATGGCTGTCGGTAATGCCATGTCAAATCCTGTCGGTGCCAGACAAATTCAAGGAATGAACTATGATCCTGCACGTGCCATGACTGTTTCATGGAATGATTTGGATAAGATGATGAGCGAAATTGTGGATCAATCATGTAACACCAATGATGTTCAAATTGGACAATAAATTGCTTTGGGTGAAATTGAATAATTTTCAAGGAAGTACCTGGAGAAAGCTAAATCATGAGATGTCCTGAGCGTTGACTTTTTAATAATTGTTGTGCAGTTGTTGATCTATTTCTCTGGGGAGTCTTTCATGGCATGGTTAATTTCCGTTGCACCCAGGGCTAACAAAAAAGGTGGTTTGAGGTAGCAGAACGATGAAGTGCTTTGGTGGCAAGGCCGCAGCATGTTAATGATTCAGTGTGAAGGATTGGAAGGCGTAATTCTTTACGAGGCTCAGTCTTAACTTGAGGGATGTATGTGTTGTTTAGTAATTGCTTATATTTCCCAAATAGGTAAGCGTAAGCATCTCCAGATGGTCAGTAGCTTGTTCATAACGTTCTGTTGAAGAAGAGAAGCTATCTCTACTGTGTTGAGTTTGATAGTCCCAATTGCATCGTAAGTACGAAGAGCACATGAATTTCAGAGATTCACCAGATAACCCTGAAAACAGATTTCTTGTTGTATCGTTTAGATTGATGAATTGGATGGTTTCAGGAGCGATGGGTTCCATTGGAAAAGAAATGCTTATTGGTTGTTGAGGGACTTGGTTTGTACAGTGAAGTGAGAGCCAACGGATTGTGGTTGAGCAACTTGTTCAAGAAGTGATTTCAAGGCTTGATTTCGTTACAGAAAAGGGCTTGGCACTGCGTCGTTGAGGTAATTTTTCTCGTAATGCTTCCCTCAAAAAAATTACAATTTTTTGGTTGTGCAGGCTTGTATACTTGAGGTCCAGCCGTCCCATTAGATATTGCATTTATTAAGGACAGATCGACTTGAAAATAGTGCTACTAACGCCTCAAAAGTTCAACAGATGTATTGTTTATAACCAATTCTTCTTGGCATCTCTTGTCCAGACTTGTAACAATTCAGTCGATCTAAAGATTCTCAACAAATTCAAATACATGGCCTCTTCCATTCCCAAATCTTTATCTTCTCTTGCCTTGTAAATATCTTGACAATAATTGAGTAACAAATCCACATTATCTAAATCTTCATAAATCACTCGTCCTACTAAACCACTGCTATAGAGACGAATGAATTGAGCAACGGCCAACACAAAGGATGTATAGAAGGTAATAATACCAAAACTACTAATGGCAGAAATAATAGAATTAGCTGCTACAATATTTGTACTTTGAATAAAGAAGAATGGTCCTCCTCTCACAGCATTTACATTTCCGGACTTTCTTGGAGGATAGAATTTGGTTGGTTGTGAACACGTCATGAACCATGAAACAAATCCAGGTGGGTTGTTGGCTGTGACATTTTCTGGAGTAATGTACTTGTTAGTGACTGTTAAAGTACAATTTGGAAGGTATCTCTCTTCTTCAACTGTGGCATACGCCAATGCAGAGTATTTGTTCATGACATAGGGATTGTAAGTGAATGGAATTGAAATACTCTCAGTAATACCATCATTGAAATTCATGGAGGACACATTGTAATTGATTAATTTAGCAAGTTGTAAACGTTTGTCCTTGCTCAAAATAACAGCTTGTCGACTCTCCAAGCTCAATTGTGTGGATGGACCTGCTCTGTTAATATTCAAATGCATTGTTAAATTGAGAGAAAGAGTGTCATTCAATAGAGCATCCACAAGACTGCTTCTACTTGGTGTTGAAATTAACCAGTAGCGTTCAGAATATGAAGCGAGTGTAAAGTTTTGAATTTGGAAGCTCGGATCATAATCAGCAAATAATCGTAAACCATTTCCATTAAAGAAATCAACAAAACTTTCTAGGGAATCGTCTGGATTCAGTCTATAGTAACGATTTTCATAGAGTGGCTCGAATCCTTCTAATCCAATGCTGACTTCAACAGTGTTCACCGTGTTGTAGCTGAGCGCTGGGTTTGCTGTAGAGTAGAATAGTAATGGGAAGAAGATAATCATGGAGAAGATGACAAAGAGTAAAAATCCACTGGTAGCTTTGGTAGTGAGGAAAATTCGATTTCCGAATCCTCTAGCTTGCAAAATTTTGTACTCCAAGTCACATTTTCTCTTATATAAAGCACTATAAATATCTTCAAATTTAAGATATTCATAAAAGTTAAGAGTAGTGTCAATAAAAGTCCAATCTAAGAGTGTCTTCAATTCAAAAACAAATGGAATTGCTCTGTAACCAAGATAAATGTACTGAGCAATCCAGAAATATGATCTTGTAAAGAATTGAGTATATCTTCGTTTTGGATATCCTGTTCGAATTTGAAGGGCAGCCAAGAATAAATACACACACTTGATGAAGAATAGAATCTTGAGCAATACAATTCCAGTAGCATTCTGATTTCTGTAAATGATGATATACGACACAATGTAGGCAATGTGATAAATGACCACAAGTAGTGTGTGGAAAATTAGCTTGGCAGTAACACTTGCAAAAAGATATAACACTCTCTCGATACAAATCTCAATAAAGAAAAGGAACAAAATAATAACAAATGCCCCTGATAACTCGTTGGATTTGATAGCGCCCAATGTCTCATCGGCGGCTCTACCACTCATACTTGAATAACTGAAGAAGAAGAAAACGAATGCAATGATCTCTACCGCAACTGTGACTACATAATAATCAATACCGAGTTTGAATTGGTCATTCACAACAGCTTTGACATTTCTAACAAGCTTCTTAAAGGCTCTCTTCACAAAGTGTTCCTTCTTAGCCTCTTCCTTCTTTGCATCTTCTTCTTCCACATCAATGAATTTAACAGTCTTACTCTTCTTTTTAGGCTCTTTGTTTGTGTCCGTGTCAGACTGTAGTCTTTCAGATACAAGCTCAATCGACGTTGCAGTATCAGATCTTGCCCTAGTGGTAGTAGGTTGTTCAACAGAAAGTTTTTGTTCAGAAGAAGCAAGCTCTGCCGTTGTGCTACCAGCAACATTTTGTTCCACTTTGTCAGTCGTACTAGCTGGTTGTTGGCTCGATGTGGCAGTTGATTGGCCTGTGGTTGAGGTTGTTTGATCTGTGACATTGGCTTCTTTGGATTTCTTCTTCTTTCGAGAACTGGTTTTCCATTCACCACGATTTCTACTCACTTCACGATGGAAGAAAATGGCCAACATGATCAACAAGTACATGACAATATCGGACAACAGAGCTGTACTTGGTTGCCATCCCAATAAAAACACAGCTGGATCTGTATCATTGGTTTTCATGGAATCTGGTAAGGCAGCTTGGATAAGATACAGAATATATTGTACGGCAATCAAAAATTGAGCCCAAATCAACATGGCTTCATAATAATATCGGTGTGGATATGGATATTGCATAGCTGCGTAAGTAAATGCGCAAAAAGTGAATATCAAATTAAAATAGGTTGGAGCATAGAGAACATTCACCAACATGGCAAAGAAGCAAATGACATCGGTGTTGTTGAAAAAGAGCTTGGTAAGAACAATCAAGAGTTGTCGAATTTTGAGAGCGATTGGAACCCAATTGAACGGTTTCTTTTTCATGTCAGGATGAACTTTCAATTGATCCAATTCTTGTTGCATCACTTCATCAAGATTAACATGTGGAATTTGCTCTGGTTGCTCCTGTGATACTTCTTCATCCTTCTTCTTGTCTTCTGTTAATTTGATTTCATCCAAAAGTTCAACTTTTGTGCTAGATTTTTCTTGTTCCTTTTCCTTATGTTCAATATATTCATCAATAGCTTCTCTAATGATGGCATCCAAATTGACACGATATTTCTTTTCTATAGTGGCATTGTCCATCCATGAAATTCCAATAAATATTTGTACTCGATTTGTGAATAAATCAGTGAACATGTAAATGTAATGGCCAACATAGGCAAAAATCATGGCCATAACCTTTTTCAATTTGAAAGAGAAAGGATATTTGACTTTGGTTTCTTGTTGTTCCTTGACACCATCTTTGGATGCTTCGTGTGCTGTGTTTTCTTCTTCAACAATCTTTTGAATTTGCCTGCTCAATATATCGTTGATGGAATCAGTTTTAACATGAGTTTTCACAAGATTATCTAAATTTGTGGTTGGAGCTCCAAATACATCTCCCAAATCTACAATTCTATCATGAGGAGCAATCTTGGAAACGATACTCTTCATAACCTGTTGAATTTCTTCCTTGGTTACATTGCTTGGCATAAATTCTTGAGTTGGGTCTTGTGGAATATCAATCAGTCCTCGTTCAAAATTAATGGGACTTCTCTTGGAAGCCACTTTGACTTGTTTGAAGTTTTGTAAATTCTCTAGAGTGGAAACAACTTCTCTCATCTTCTTTTGGAATTTATGCTCAGCACGCTTCAATAGTTTCTTCATCAATGTTCCTTCCTTATTCACATTGGAAACAATTCTCTTTCTGATTTTTGCTGATTCTGCGCTTTCCATATCAAGCAGCTCACTAATTGCAAGTACGAGAATGGCTCTCTCACGTTCAATTTTTTCTGAATTCTTAGCATAGGTATTGACCACTTTCGAGTATTCATCTTGAGCATGTGCTTGCGATCGTAAAATGTTTGGAAATCCGAAGCCTTATTCACTTCATGGAAACTCTTCAAAGCTGAGCGATTGGCTTCACGTCTCTTCTCGGAGAAGAGCTCTTCTGAAAATCTTGAGAGAATTTGAGCCGCTCGGTGAGCTTGGTTCAGCTTGTACTTGGAAGCACGCTCATGGTTCTCACGGTATAACAAGTTTACAAAGTGTATGTAATCCTCGCTTTCAAATAGAAGTATCTGAATGTAATACAAGCACACGACAACTATCTCAGAGGCAAGCTTTCAAATCCTCTTCTCTTTAGACCAAATAAAACGCATACATTATTCACCCAGCCTGTGGTGTCGTTGTCTGAGCTCCAATTAATAGGGTCTCCAAGCAACACGATTGGTATTTGATAAATTGCGTCAATGACAAAGGAAATGAAATAGAAAATTCCAATTCCTCTCCAAAAAGGAACTGATCTCCAATAAATTCTGTTAAATAAATTGAGATAGAACAAGCAAAGAACCATCTGAACTAATTTGATAACAGTTGAGTCTATCGCAGCATCAATAAACATCACAATCAGCACTAAAAAGCAAAAGAATCTGTAAATAAATAACTTGATCTTGTACCACAACTTCTTTTGATTTTCTGGTGACGTGAAATCCTTAATTTTCTCAATTTTTCCAGTATCGATATTTCTTCTGACAAGACTACTACTATCCAACTGCACAATGAGATTACCTTCAACTTTTTGAGTGCGTTCCAGGAATTTGGAGACCAATTCGCCTCTTTCACGTTTTGGCAACTTTTCAGGTTGTGAAATTTCAATATGTTGAACCCTAGCATACATTCCTTTGAAGAAAACTCTTGCCTGAAGAGCCATAAAGAACATCATCAAGTATAAAATAGCCACAATATACTCCGTATTGTTAACATCAGAGGATCCTCCTAAATTTAAAATGATATATCGACTGAAAACGGGAATGTTCATCATGGTTCCGTAAAATTGGAGACTTTGCACAATGTTTAGCCTAAAGAAAAATAGGATAAGCATGTTAATATCAACTACCATCACAAGGAAGATCCATCCTCTACTCAAGATCTTATTTTTCTTTCCTGTGAAGAAACAAACTCCAAATACAATCAAGTAAACGGCTCCCCACAAAGTCTGAATGAGTGACAAGCTTCCCAACAACAATGTAAAGAGTGAAATCTCAAATCCAAAGTCATCATAGAAATGGTTGAATGTATACTTGATTGTTCGTGTTACTTTGGTTACGAACTTCAATGCCTTTCTTTTGTAAGTATTTTTGAAATTTTCCTCATTCTCCCCAGAGTTTTGTTCGCTTCTTCCTCAGCATAGAGTTTATCGAAATCTTCTCTGTTAATGTAAATTGTGGTTCTTTTACGGAGAATCTTTCTCTTACTTCCCAAAGCAGAAGCCTTTTTCTCTTCTTCAGTCTTGTTTGAAGGTGTCAAGCGGGCCTCAGCTTCCAAAAAGAGATGGCCCTCTTCGTAGAGACCTCGTCGTTTCAGAGACTTCTCCCAACGGAACGTGACTTGTTGTAGAAGAGCAGAGATGAAGACCAAAAGGCTAGACCATAAAACATTTCCAACATATTGATTTGGAGTTGTGGCTGCATCGACCAATCCAATATAATCTAACCAGGTACAAATTCCAGAAGATTTGCCAAAGTTTGTCACTTGATGTTGAATAATGGCTCCCAGTGCATTATTACACAATCCATGTGTGAAGAATGGGTGTTGATATGCATATTTAACCAAAATGATTGCACTACTGTAGAAAGAAATAATGAACCAAATCTTGCTGGCAATAACTGGAGCTGGAGCAAATACCAAAACCAAAACTAAATATATCAATCCAATAATATTTGGATTAAAGTGTGCAGCCAAGAATAAGAAAATAATCAATAACTTGGGAGTGTGCATGACACAAAATCGTTTCAAAACTAAAAATGTCTCTAATAAAACACTGTCAACCTTTTCTGAAAATATAATCTGTCTCTCTACTTGACATTACTAGGATCCTCTTGTATGGTATCCACAATTTCATCGACAAGAGATGGATCCTCTTGCTTCTTTTGATCTTTTTCTTTTTGGTTCTCTTGGCCTGCACATTCTTCCTTGATTAGTTTCATTCGGTTTCGTCTTCTCGAAATGACGTATTGGAAGTATTTTAGCTGAATAATGGTTAATACAGCTATGACGGTAAATGGTAAAAGACTAACATTCTTGTACTGATATTTGTAGAGACCAATGCTTCTTGGAGTTATATAGCCATAGTACGGAGGAATGTACACAGATTTATCCTCTTCATGCTCTCGTATTAACTGCTGAGCTCTTTCTACCTCTGGTAATATGCTTTGAATGTATGAGTAAAGAGATGGAAATTGATAGGCATATTCCACTACAAACACAAATGTGCTATAAAATACAAAAATGTACCATGAAGCAACGAACACTTTGAAAAGTCGATATCCCATCTTATTAGATGACGAGGTGGCGCTGCTGGACACTACGTTCAATGTAAAGCAAATCATTACAATTACTAAGAACAAGAATCCGATCCAAGATGCCTCCTTCTGAAGGAAAATAAGCAAAAACACTGCAAAATAACTTAGTAAAGTGCCCAAAAAATACAATAATTCTGTTTCCAAGAATATTTTGTCCCAAACCATTTTACACTTCTCAACAAAGGTGTGAAGCGTTGCATTTTTCTCCTTTGTGAAAAGTTCCCATCGATCAAAGCTCGTTTCAATGTTAACATTTCCAACATTTTTAACATTTGTGATATGATATTGAATGCTTGTGAGGATAAGAATGAAGATGTGCCAAATTAATCCTCTCCAAAACACTCCAAAGCTGAATGTCTTGTCCATGTTATCGATGGTTAGGAACGCAGGATTGAAACCAATAATTTCATATGGCAGATCAACAATCTCAGGAGCGTACCAAACATTGAAGAAATAGAGAGCAATAATCACAAATTGGCAATACAACACTAGGACAATCCATGTTTTTCTTGCAAAATTTGGGAATATAAAGTATGTTGAGCAAAATATTACTAACAAGATGTTAGTCAGCGAACCCATGCTTTTCAAATACTTACAATAAATAGCATGCAACAAGTCTGCATTTTCTGAGGTCAAATCAGCAAAATAACAAACAATCAAGCTCAAGTAGAAGCTGTTTCTAACAAATAAAATCAATAAAACTTTCCAAAAGTAGTCTAGAATAAGTACTTTGAAGAAGTTAAGAACTTGCTTTGTTTTCTTCCAAACGAGCTCTAAAGTTTTTTGTTTCTTTTCCTCTCCATCTACCTCACCGAGATTGTTATCTGCTTCATCTTTCAGCTTATCCAACTCTGTCATGTCAACAGACTCCACAACAATTTGAGGAGGTCTTTCTGTCACTATTGAAACGGACTCACGATATGAATTTGAGGTCTGGTCATTTAAAGGAGATGCTGCAACTTCACCCAAATCACTTTCACTCTCATAATAAAATGCACTTGAGATTGGTCTTGGCTTTGAAGGAGACCTTTCGAGGTGATCTTTTTGTAGTAGAGACATTTTTTGTTTTTCAGGAGAATCCGTGTCGTAGTAATCCACATCGTTATCGTCAAAGTGTTGATAATATTGTGTTTCATCAGATTCATTAGAATTTACAGCACCACGATAAGGATTATGTTTGGTTTGGGCATGTGAACCACGGTTTACAAGTCGTTGAACCCATGAAAATGATGGTTTAACATTCATAGATGTTACTATACGTTATATACCAAAACCAACCAAATTCGTGACTTACCTGTGGTTGCCTTTTCCTCTTCTGCAATTTTCTGAGTACTTATCTTGCCACTGTTTTTAACATCCTTGTCATAATCGATGAGTTTGGAGAATAAACTGACACGAAGTGTAAGACCTAAAAACAATGTTAGTAAAAGCTGCCCAAAAAGAACGAGTACAAGAACAATCGATCTTCCATTCACACTAATGTCAGTAATAAAAGCTCCAACTGTTGTGCTCACAATTACTCGGTAAAGAATGCCTTGAACAGGGTAGAATATGAGACCACCGCTGCCTGATGGGTTGTAAACTATTTGATTTCACAAGATTGATAGTGTCACATATTGTTGTTATTGAGTCATCACATTGAATGATTACCTACCATTATCTGACATTTGTGTTGTTTTGGGAGAGTATGCAGAAAATTCAGGAAATTGAAAAACATATTGAGCGCTCAAATATAAGATACTCCAAATATAGCATATTGGAAGCAAGAACAGCATAATCTTGTTTGGCCTCAATGTCGAAGAAGGAGCAAGAACCAATCCCAAATACATGAACAAGAGATATGGTAAACTGGACAAACTTGGAACTGTTAACACTACGCAAATAAGAGCAATCAATAAAATATATAAAATAGATCTTTGCAAGTAGTATAGCATAAAATTACGGAATCGATGAGAGGAGGCAAACAATGAGTTTGTAGATGTCTGTGTAGCAGTTTCCATAATTTCTACAAGTCTTCTGTATTCAGACTTGTAATAAATATCTTCATAATACTCATCTGAATTTTCCTTCACGTCCTTCCTCATAATCTTTTTGGAGTACTCCATCAAAAACTTTGAAATTTGTTTTTTCAGCTTATTTTCCTCTAAAGACTTGGCAAAATATTGGCTCATAAAGTTGCAGGAAAGTATAAATGTCAAAAGAATGAAAACTAAAAACACGTATCCAGTATAGTACTTTGAAAAATAGTCAAAATTCTTAAGGTTTCCATCAATGTCAAAGAATCCAGCCATTTTTCCATATGGATCTGTTAGAATCATCTTTGAAAACTGGCCAACAGTTGCCAAAGAGTTGTATTGAAATCTTGTCAAGAAATAGAAAATCAACAGAAGCATGGAATAGGCTTGATTCAAAATAAATAAAGTGAGTGTGACTCCTGTCTTCAGCTTGATGTTAAAACTTGTAAAAGTAATAACAATGAACGACATTGAAAGGTAAAATACGCTCACGAACCCAGGATAAAAACATGCCGTGATCATGCATGAGAGAGTGAACAGCAATACCTTAAAATCATGAATCGAAATGTGTTTTTGTGGCACTACTGTTTTTGCATTCTTGTCTGCCATTGTGCCAATATTCTCAACCTTGTTCTTGAGATTCTCCAATGTTGTTGTGATCAATTTTGGCTTTTTGGCAAAAACTCCAGGAAGTTCCCACATATTCATGGTTGCATATGGTAATTTAGGAATTACTTCTACTGGTTTAGTTTGAGAAGGGTTTCCCATGGTCGTGTTGGAAGTTGTCACAACATCGGTAACTACATCTTCTGTTTGCATTCTATAGGGCGTTTCAACAGGTTGACCAATCTCAATCTCCACATTATCTGATGATGTTATCGAGAGTGGTTTGTTAGCAGGAGATTTGTTTGACTCTTCTGACATTATTACTTTGCCCTTAATTGATGTGGGAAGTGCTTTTTTAATTTTGAGAGGGATACCATCCCTAATCAAGCTTCTTCTCTTTTTCCACAGCACTGCCAAAAATATGAATACTAATAAAGAAAATACTATCAGTAAACAATCGGGGAGAACATGAATAAGGATTTGATCTAAACCTTTGCCAGATAACCTAAAGTTTGATGGTAAATAGGTCACGCCATGTGGAAATTAAACCATAAAATAACTTACTTTGCAAATCCAACATCTCTCAAAATATTTTCCTCATCTGTACCCAAATTAGAGAGTGCGCTCAGCACTATATGACCAATCATACAAGAAACAGCAAGCAAAAATGAAAGAATTAGATTGTAAAATCTTGGAATCATCATCCATATGTAATTGATTGGCACTCGCTGAAAGTACGGATAATAACTTGGGGCAAGGTTGTGAATAAAGAAAATCAAGAGATATCCCATATTGATAAATGATGGTCTGATAGCAAAGGCTATTGGAAGATTCAGACACAAGAAATGATGTGAAAACATTGTGTGCAGTAATTAACACAGTGAGTAGTACAAATACAAAAATGGAAATTGTCAACAGCGCCCATAAGATGTCAAAAATTATTTCGAAATTAGTGTTGTCATCATCATACATAACACATTTACATACCCACAATTAAAGATAAATAATAAAGAACACAAATCACAACTGTTACGACTTCCAACACAAATCCTCCTCCCAAAACTTCATCGCTCAACTCTTTCATTTGACCCAAAGCTCCCAAAGATGTCTGACTTGTTTGGTCAATACTCGATTGGTCATCTTGCAGTTCAATATTAGAAGTAAAAGAGCCAGCTGCAGATGTGTTCAACACGGTTGACATGATATCAGATTTTGAGTCCTCCATTACCAATCCTTGTTCCTTTTGAATCATGTCAAATAATTGTTGTAATTGTGTAGAAGGCTTCTTTGTTTCAGAAGAATCATAATCATCATCGTAATCATCATCAGCACTTTCTCCGAGAATATTTTCATTCTTTTCAGACGCCGATGATATCACCACACTGGATCGTTTGACCTCCAATGGCGATGATGGTATCATGGTGGATAGTTATTGTCGGTCAATGAATATTGTTAATGATGATAAACGTTCCGAAGAGAAAATAAACTTTGAAAATCAAAAATCCTCGTCTTGTTGTACTTATGGTGAGACGAGCTGTTGGCGTGATCCGAATCACCGCACGGTCCTCGTTCAAAAATTTTTTTATGTTGTTACACAATATTTTCCTTAATGATGAGGCTTTATTGAAATCAACTACTTCACACACAACAACTACAGAGTTACGTAATCAAATGTTCCATTATCTTTTTACATAAATTTTGTCTCATTGTGGAGTGAGGTCTTTGTAAAGACGCTATATTCATTTCAACGTGTGAAACTTGACTGAAGCATGACACTCTTTCACACTGAGGTCCATAAAATCCTGAATTACAAGTACACAATCCATTTCTACACACTTCCCTCGTCCACTACAGGCCAAGGGATTATTTCCTTCAATTCCAAAACACTTGGGAATTTCACATTTCACACCCGAATATCCCTCTCGACATTGACACAAATCCGATCCCACACAACTTCCATGTGAAGAACACACCGTCGAGTTTCCTGAAAAGATGCCAAAACATTTGACTTGTTCACAAAATTGACCTCCATACTTGTTGGGATCCACACACAGACAGGTCTCTGGTGCCATGCAAGCTCCTCTTCCACTGCAGACTAATCCGAGTTCATCTGCTCGAATGCCATTGCACATGGGTTGAGAACAATCCAAACCTCCATAACTAGGAAAGCATTGACATGTGTCTTGAGAGAGACATGTTCCTTGAAAATTGCAAACACCTGGGTCTGAAGGTAACAATCCAAAACATGTGAATGGTTGTGCATAAACAAACAGATCGTTTGAAAAGTGGAGTGGAAGAAGCAGCAACAGGGACGGGAGGAATATTGAAAAGTAAGGGATCATCCTAAAAAACGAGGCATGTACACTGTTACAAGTTGAAGAAATCAGAGGTAGTCTCAGTACGTTCGTTGAATGCAATAGTTTTTGGAATGTGGATAACTGAAAGGGTGGAAAGTAATAACGAATCTTTTTCGAGTAACCAGATGACGAAGATGAATGGTATTCTGCATGTGCGTTCATTGTCGAAGCAATTTTTTCAATCATCTTTGGAATAGTTTTGTTACGTGTTTGTAAACACTCTAAAAGGTGTGAATGAATACTGTGAAAGAATGCCCACTTATCGTCAATACGAAAAGATGTTACTCCATGCCAGATTATGTGATAATACGTAAAAGTGAGTGCAGGTGTTCCTTCGTAATATTGACTTTGTTCGAACACCAGTTGTGCTCAATTGCAATGACAAGCAATTCCGAAAGTCAAAATAAATTTTTCACATGATCAAACAATTCTTGTCTGTTTTTTTGGATTCTAACTCTTCCAAAAAGAGACCCATTAAGGCTTTGCTATCATGAAATCTAAGACACCCGTAATACTCACGACACTTTCTCACAACAGTAAAGAAAGCTTGGTCAACGTTTTTTCCCTCTTTGGCACACGTTTCAATAATACAATAATTTTTCAATCGTAATTTCTGTCCAACTTGTTCTTCTGCGTATACTGTATTGAAATATCTGTCAGATTCCAAATCTGATTTGTTTAAGCATATCACAACTGGAAAGTATCTAGTTTTCAAAATATTAATACAGCATGTCATCATTTCTTCAAGTATCTCGATGGACATCATGGAATTGATCGAACAAACGCCAATAATTCCATGTGATTTCGAAAAAATGTCCTTCTTTGTTTGAAAGCTCAATTCGTCCATGCCCAGTATTGTGTCAATATCTAAGAGACATGCCTTTGAGTCAATTTCATAACGGTTGGCTCCGTAAAACAATAGTACCTATCATAATCGAATTCATTCCAATACTGTTTGGTAGAAAAATACAAGTGTAAAGATCTTCTGCCACAACCACCATCTCCAATTAAAGGGATTGAGAACTTTTCCGTTGATGATGCATCAGTGCTTGGGGATGGTGTCTGAGTTGTTCTTTCGGATAGCTTCCGTTTTTCTTTTGTTTTTTGATATTGTTTCAGTTGTAGATCTTTGAATCGGGAGAAATCGGAAAAGGCTTTTTTCCAATGATCATCATAGATGGCTCGAATTCTTTCTTGGTAGAATTCGTAAACATCATGACCAACGTATTCCATGAAAATAAATTTCCAAAACCTTCCAAATAATTGAGCAATTATTTGATGAATTTCAGTGTGGCGTTGATGGCGCTCCTTCTTTGTTAATTTACTCCTCATGCTTAGGATTCGAAATATCATTTCGTACCTGCATACACTCCGAACATGATCAGTAAATAATTTTGGACGCAACTGATCTTTCCAAGCTGATTGATTTTTTTCTGATGACACTTCTATGTCTTCTTTACCTAATACATTAACGTGTACATGATGATTTATGGTCACTACTGATAAATATTCAAAGATTTGATAATACAGTTCCAATGGTAAATCTGTGATTTTGAAAATTGGCATTTTTTGATGGCAAGTTCACCAAACGCGTCGCATGATGACAAAAACACCCAGATGAAAAGTTTTTAATACTGTTTTCTTACTTGCTGCGGAATGATGAATGGATTTCATCGAAAAGGTGCTTGACGTTTTCATTATACATGGGTTGATACGTGTAACTCTTGATAGAGGCAATCTTTTTAGAAGGCAACAACAATCCGGTTTGATGCATGACCAAATTTTCACCAGTCATACCATCTACCATGACATAGACCATAGAGAAAGCGTCGCTACCATCTTTGAGTTTGATAATTTCATCTCTCTTAATTTCTACTGGGGCACCACCAGAATATAATTGAACCATTTGTAATTCAGCCTTAACAAGTTGAACCAAACTGTCCAAGTCAGAAACAGGCATCATTTGATTTGGCTCGGCAATGGTAACCAATGTTTCCAAAGGAAGGCTACTTTCATCGCCTTGAGTCAAAAGTGTCACTACTGGATTATCAGAGCTATTTTCCTTGACAATGGATTGCAAGCTCACTGGTTGGGAAATCTTAAAATTGAATTCGCTATTCTCGTAAATTAAATGTTCAGTGCCGGCAGGATCAACTTCATCGAAGAGTTTCATCTTCTTGATCATGGTAACAAATTCAACATTAAACTTCTCACTAACTTGTGGTAATGATCTTCCCAAAATAGTGTAAACTGTTGATCCACGTTGGAAATAAACTTCAATAAAGTCATAAACATGTTGAATATCTGCCTTTTCTTTCTCGCTTGCAACATAGGAATTGCATTTGGCAGAGTATGTGATAATTTCTCCATTGCAAGTACCAATCTTCATGTGTCCAACGTTGTGGTACTTCTCCTTGGATGAATGAGATTGTTTTTGTTCTTGAACAAATTGTTCAAAATCAACAGATCCGTTTGAAATGATAACAATTTCTCTATCAATTAGCTCATCCTTTGAATAGTTAAACAAGTAGGTTTGAACGTCCTTTCCACTGAGGTAGAGTGCACGATCATTAGCATTTCCGGTAGCCAAGAAGCTAGTACTTGGCAAATGAAGAATATATCCAAGCTTATCATTTCTGTATGAAACCTTTCCGAACAATTCTGCTTTTTGAAGTGTGATTGTACGAATAAGATTCTTGGTTTGTTCAATCTTGGTACTGAATGTCTTTAAATCAGTACAAATATGTTGAACCATGAAAACTTTGCTAGAGTCAAGTGGATTCTTGAAAGCAACAGCGAAAATTTTCACTTTTTGTTGGCCAGACAATTCGGAGATCATTTGGCAAGCTGGAATACCATTAACCTTCACGTTATCTTTCTCTTCTTCAACTTTGAATGGTACTTGAGTTTGAGCAAGGGCAGAAACGTTATTCTTTAAATATTGTTTAATATCAAGTTCTGGAGGAACATCTTCAATCGTGATCATTGTTGCATTTGGATCACCTCCCATCATCATCATATTCATATTACTTGTATCTACAAGAGTGATTGTAGTGATTGGACCTTGAGAATGAACTTCAACTTCATATCTTGTTGGCATCTTGAAGGAAATACCAATCTTTTTATGAGAATAACTCTTCCATGATTGTGTTGAAGGCACTGAATCAGCCTCATCATACAAGATGAATTCGGGCTCTACAGGTTCAGATGTGGCCACTTCTTTTGTTGGCTTCTTTTCTGTGGTAGTGTTCTTGATGCTAACGGCCAACTTTTTCGTTGATTTATTCTTTGAGAAGACCGAGTAGAGAACAAACCCAACAACTGAAGCAGCTGTGGTACCGAGAACGGCAGCAAGACCCTTGTGTTGCTTCAAGGCATTCAAAATACTTTCCCACAAGGAAGGTGATGATGTCGAAGAAGATGCGGAGGAAGGGGTTGGTGCCATTTTTTCTAAATCGCTCAAAAAATAATTTCTTCTTAATAATGATTGAACGGAAATTGATCACCAACGTGCAAAAGCTTTTTTGCGATTAATGTGGTTGAGTAGTAGCAGTAATAATTGTTGATTTGATTTATAATTTCATGGAAGACCTATCAAAAAAAATGTCTTGCAGAGATCGGCTGTTGCAACTCAAACATCTGCTTGAAACACCAACATCGGAAACCAATCTAAACGAAAACAATTCATCATTCTGGAGCATTCATAACATTGCAAGATATGTGAGTGATGTTCTAAGATTAGTGAGTGTTTCTTTTGAAACACTACGAAATTCCTTCATCTCCGATTCAGAAGCAAGTCATTCGAAGGCTCGTACCATGTTGGAAAATAATTTAACTCTTCTCATCCAGACAAAAAACACAGAGCCACAAAACATTACAACTGCTGTCAATGCTGCTAGAGATGAACATCGAAGAAAAATGTTTGACTGCTTCAAAGAAGCAGAGAAGTTTCCTGAAAGAATGACAGCATGTATTGACGAAAAAAGTTTAATAGATCTATCGAATACTGTGAGTGAATTGAAAGAAAATGAAAAATTAGACGAGCTGAAGGATGAGGTTTTGAAATATTTTGACTCACAAGCGAGTAAGGTGTACAATAGGGCTGCCCAATTAGCCATGGGAGTAGTGATTTTGAGAGGAGTCATGAGTTTGTATAATAGTGTTCACTCCATGAAAGAATATTCCAAATATTGCAATGCTAACATTGCAGTTCATCATCAAATTCTTTCGAATTGTGAGGCAGAAATTTGTGATATCATTGAAGAAGCTATTCAACATGTCGATGATTTTGATGACATGATATTTAACAAACTCCTTCTTGATATTGGAAGAATGAATCGACTTTTGGAGACGCAAATGTTGTCCATCAAGTTGGACATCAAGCGATGTGAAGAACAACAAACGAGTGCCCTTATGAGTGGATTAGAAGCATCGATAGGAGTTATTGGATCGCTATTCTTTTCTTATTTGAATTGGAGAAATATGTCAAACGGCACAAAGTTTTTCAACTTAGCAGCTGTAGCTGTTGGCTTGGGAAATATTGTGTACGGGCAAACAAGAGCCTACAATTCGTATCATAGAATTCTGAATAACTATCAGCATTCACGTCTTGAATATGAAAAATTTAATGGGCTATCTCTGGAGCTCAAAAAAATTGTAAATGAAATGCAGTTAAGGAGTGAACTGGGTAGCAAGATGATGTGATCGAACTTGAATCTTTTAACAAAGGAAAGAGCTCACTCTGGAATCCACCTGTCTTTTTCCGACAAAAACAATTCACCCAACTCCTGGCCGATTAAAAAAATTTGGACAATCTCTGGTTGATTGCTGACGTCCCTTCACAAAAGTCACCTTTCTGTCAATCCAAGTAAATTTTGGTTTAGATACTCGGATTAGAAAACATATCGAAAAAAACGAGAGTGTTGAGTGATTCACACCACTCGTTTCTCAACGGTTGATTGCATCTCCTTCCACAAACTTTTAATTCATCATTGCATTGGCTTACAATTTTTGAGTTCCATTAAACATTACAAAAACAAATCAACCGGGAGATTGTTCAAATAATAATAACATCAATAATTATTTATTGAATTTATTTACCAAACAACAACAAGATGAGACCATCTAAAAACCATCATGGAACTCAACCTCCTCCTTCCAACAGCAACAACAATAATTTAGGTAACAAAATCTCTAATATGAGTCATGGTGATTTGTTGGATTTCTTTCTTTCGGATGTAGCTCCTCCTGCGACCACTATTGCAACAATTAATAATAACAATAATACTGGTCAAACGAATAATCAAAATTGGTTGAACAACACTCAGCAACAACCACCACAGCAACAAAATGCCTTGTTGTTTCCTACTTCATTCCCTGTTAGTGGAGGAGGAACTCAGAGTAGCAGCAGTGGTGGAGGCGGAGGATTTAATCCAAGAGCAAGGCAGATGCCAACACATACGCAACCACCACCATCAACCACATCCAATAATAACACAATGATTCAAAATTATAATATTAACAATAATGGAAGAGTGAGAGATTCGAATGAATCATCATCCGTTTCATTACACCATCACCAGCCTCAACATCATCATAGCCATCATAATCATCATCACCATAATAATACTCATCATGTATCTCACGTCCATCACTCAACAACAACAGGCTCATCATCTCTAAATATCTCCAACAATGCCAGCAGCAATTCAGCAAGCTCACTCATGCCTCCACCCCCTTCCCGTGGTGATATTGGAACTGCACTGGCAAAGAGCGTTACAGAATTTGAGACAAGTTTTGATGATGACTTTGCAACTCACTTTGATAGTCCTACAAGGATGGAGAGCTCAAGACCTCAGCCACCATCCACAAACATTGTTCCTACTCCATTGTTGAATGCTGGCGGTAACAAGTTAGATCAAAAAACAACAACATCCACTGCCGAATCTGTAAATAACAAGAACAGCACACAAAAAGAAGCACAAAACATCGTTTCTACATCATTGACTCCTTTGCCTCAAATCAAAGAAGTCACCAAGTCTTCCGAGTCACTCACATCTATCAGTCAAAAACATCCACAATTGAATATTTCACTTGAAGCGATTCAGAAACATAAAATTCAAGAACCTGCAGCAACATCTTTGGCAACAACTACAAGCGGTGTTCCTAGTCTCAAGAAAGAAAACAGTAACTTGAGCTCCAACAGCACAACAGGAAATACTTCAACAACAGTGGAAAAGCCAGTTTCTAGAATGGAAACTTTGAAAAATTTAAACGATTTGACACCAAATGGAAAATGTCAGCACAAGTGTCAGTTACCTGGATGCATTTGTTATTGCTCTTTCGATCACTCCTCCGAAAAGTACAAGGAATTTATTGAGAATGAAAATGGAGGTGTCGATTTTCACATGTGCAGCAATGCTCACTTTTGTCCAAAATCATGCTCTCACCGTGGATACTGTGAAATTAAGGCTGAAGCCAAATATAATGATGTTGGATTGAAACACCTATGCAGCAAAATGCTCAAGCCTTACAAATTTGTACACGAAGGAAAATGTATGTGTTACAATGATGAAGATGTTAATGTGCAACCCCGCAAGCACTTTTGTACAAAGAAATGTCCTGCTTGCTTGTCCATATGCAGGTTAGTAGTATTTTACGGATTGACATGCAACAACGCAAATATTGCTTTTCCCAAACATTCATCACTGCTACTCTATGTCTGTAATAATGGAATTTTTATTTTGGAATCAACTAAATGTAAAATATTTTATAACTGAACAGGAAAGAATATGGTCATGATAAACACTCGTTTTGGATTTCAAAACGATCCGTAGATCCAAAATCTAGACAAATAGATTTTGAATCACTTACTTTGAAAGAACAAGAGGAATTATTGCTTCATGATACAGAACATACGAACATGATCAACACAATATTTGTGACAGATTCCAAGCTGCTCAAAAACAACGCTATTGAAATTCCATACATTTATCAAAATCAAGAGAGAACTCTACGATTCTTTCCTGGACAAAACGGTGCAAAATTCACATGTGAAACTTATTGCAGAGTTCTTGGACGTGGTCATACCTATCTCACACTTTGTCATCACGAACATGCTAAACGAATTGCAGCGATCGAATCGACCAATAGCTCCGCATCAGATCTTTCAAAATTATCTTTGGATGGAGATTTCATTTCCAGCAAGAGATCTGCCTCAATGAACAAATCACCAAGTAATGGAGATTTTGTGACTCCTAAAAACAGTGATTCAAGCAAAATACAATTTAGCACACCAAGTAATACGGCTACAGCCAACAAGACCGAAGCCAACGTACCAAGATCTCGCTCATATGGATCCTACCTTTCTACTATGGGTTCAGAACCGCCATCCACTTCTGAAATTCCAAGTCTTACTGTTGAGGAATCCAAGCCATCTTCCTCTTCAATTATTCACACGGCATTGGAGGAGTACCAAAAAGAGTACCCTCATCAAATACTAACACAGGAAGTGGTATCATTCACAGCGGAATTGGAGGAGTACCAAGAGGTAATTCTGTTATTAGCATCACTAGCTCAACTGCAACCAACACCACTGACAGTGGTAAAGGAAGCACAAAATCTCAGTCTCCAAATTCCATGACTAATCAATCTAGCACAAGCACGTCATCGAACCTTTTGTCTATTACCTCTTCAAGTGGTGTACAGCCTTCAATTTCGCCAAGAGGTCCGCAATTATCACCAAGATATGGCAGAGAAGATTCATTTATTATGGATACCGAGTTTAGTGACTCTGAAAAGGATGCAGCAAACGGATGCCCATTCACTGGTGAGTTGAGTTTGATGGCCACAGGACGTAGACACTCTTCAATGAAATGCGAACATATGGATGAACTTAAGCATGACAAGTTTTGGGATTTGTGTGGATTTGTTGATCCTTGCAAAAAAGCTTGCATGTCACCAGAAGAATTGCGCCAGTTCAATTTGTGTCGTGTTCAAACCGTTTTCGATTCAAATCAAGCATTGGAGTACTGTAAAAGACACGTTTCTCATGAAGTTTTGGATTCCAGCTCTCTTGATTATTTGGAAGATATTGCCTTGTTGGCAGAACGTTTTCCAGCAAGAGATACTGGCTGCATTTTCTCACCAAGCGGTCACTTGTTTAAAGCTCAACCAAACTCGGGCTTCCACCACTATATCTTTATTGACGTCAGCAAAAACATGTCAAGTCAAGATTTTTGCCCTTCTTTCCCAGTTTTCAAGCCTTCTACTAAAAGCTTAAAGCAAAGCGAAAAATCTGAAGATTACTCTCATTTCACAGCCTATGACAACAGACTTGGTTGTGCTATTGAGATTGCTCTGAAGTTTTTACAAATTCTTTACAAACTTCGACCTTCTGATAGAATGACCGTAGCAATTTTCACCAAAAAAACAGTAGAAGTTTTGATTGATAATGAGGAGTTACAATATTATTATTCAGTGATTGATTTGGTCACGACGAAGATTAAAAAACCTGAAAATGATGGAGGTTTTGAAGAAGTTTTCACATTGATGTGTTCACTCTTGACCAAACACAATGTGAGAGATTCTGCAGACAGAGTGAACAAGGCTCTCAAACCTAAAATTTATCTACTCACAGGAAATCAAATTGAATCTAAATTCCAACCAAACTTTGGTAAAACAGCATCATCTTCAACAGGAACACCTGTTTGGCATTCGTTAGGTAAATTGGAAAGTATTTCACTTCAAAGAAAGAAAAAGAAGGAAAAATCCAAACTCGATGATGTTCTTGAGTGGTTTGAGTCCAATGGAATTAAACCAACATTTGGAGCTAATGGAGAGTCGGAACCTTACATTTCCATTATCAAAATTGGTAGCGAAGGCAATGAATCAAAACTTAATCAGATTTTATTGAGAAGCAAAGGCCTTTCTACCATTGTTGATTCAACTCTCGTGTCTGCCAATGTGACTACAAATCTAACTGAAGAAGACAAAGAGGACATAAAGAAACGATCTGCACGAGACCCTTTCGTAATGCAAAGGAAAGTTATTTGCCACATGTTGCATGAGTTACTTTTGATTCATTTGGAACACAACAAGATCAAGCTCAACGAAAATATGAGAATTAGCGGTGCCAATTCTGCATCATCAGGTAAATGCGGATTGCTGATTAAATCAGCTATCGATCACGTTCAACATGCTGACGGTAAGCATGACGATGATGACACAGATTCTGCTGATAGCGACGAGGAGCTGTCAAACTTTGGATTTGCAAGCTTTATGATTGGAAAGAACCAAAAAGGTGTCACCTCTCCTTCATCTATGGATATACTTGATGAAATTGAAAATATTGAGAGTCCGAATTTACATGAAGAGGGAGAGTCCAGAGCTGATGAAACAAATCCTGAAGAAAAACCTGCTGATGCAAAAGATTCTAAGGCAGAAGAAGAAAACAAAGAGGATAACAAACAAATAGAAAATGAAAAGGACAACTTGGAAAGAGAAAATCTAGCAAAGGAAATTCTCGATACTGAAAGAGCCTATGTCACATCTATTGCTAAAATTATTGAACTCTACTATTATCCATTACTGAAATATGTTCCAAATGTCCTCAGTGATGAAGACAGATCCACTATTTTTAATGGTCTTCTCGGTATTTACAATTTACACAAAATTTTAGTGACCGATTTAGAAGAACGTGTCAACGAATGGCGTAAAGATCAAAAGATTGCTGACATTTTCATCAAGCTTCATCAAACATTCAAACTCTACACTAGTTTTTCCACCAAATATGAAATGGCCATTGAGGCCTTCTCAAAATATAAGGATAGTCCACGATTCCGTAATTTCCTCTATATTCGAAGAAAGGATCCATTTTCAAAAGGAGAACAACTTCAAAGCTTTTTAATCAAACCCATTCAGCGTATACCAAGATACATTCTATTATTGAAAGGTTTGCTTAAACACACTCGTGATCCAAAACATCCTGATTTTTCTGATCTTGTGAGCGCCATCTCCATCACTGAAGAGGTTGCTACATTCCTCAATAATAAGATTCGTGAGAGACAATACTTTTACCGCATGAAGAGTATTTCTGATCGTTTATCTGGAGTTTCTGACCTCATTCAACCTCAGCGTAGATACATTTGTGAATTTGATAAGCTCTATGCTAGTTATGACGCTATTCAAAACGAAGAATGTGTCGTGTTTTTATTTAATGATATTTTTATTCATGCCGTAAGAGAAAAAGAACCCACAGGTGAACATTCACATAATAAGGATGACCATGGTGATCATAAGAGCAAGATGTCTCGCATGAAGAGAAAGCTTTCTGTGAAATCTCAATCACAACCACATATTGTTCATCATTCGAACACTTCTACCATCTCTTCCAACACCAGTGCTTCCACTCAAAGCGCTTCTACCAGTGAATTACCCTCTTCGAGCATGAACACTTCTCTTACTATTGCATCTGAAGGAGCTGGTGGCATTTCAAATGATACTTTTTCACAAAGTGTGGACGTTATGGGAATTATGGAACAATCCAAGAAGGACAGATATGAAGCTCGATTTGTGCTCAATTTAGGAGATATTACTATTCATCCAATGAATTTTGGTTCACAAAATGATACACGATTCCAAATTTCAGCCATTTCTCGCAAATTCTGTGTGGAATATGTCACAACCAAGCCCAACGAAAAAGCACGAATTCTTTCATGTCTCAACACTGCCATTAATAATTTTATGAAGAGAAAACAAAGTTTCCAAACCATGAAACAATAAACGAATGTGGCACAACCTGTCCAACTGGGAGTTTACTTGTTGTGTGAAAACGATGAACAAGTTGGAGGTGATTGTTTGTCAACCATCAAATTTCTGAGATACAAACAAAAAAAATGATACCCAATTCGATCATCAAACTTTTGGTTTCGTTTGTATTTCTACTGCTAGGAGGAGGATTTTTCTACAAATTCTTCATATCCTCATCTCCTCAATCTACTCACACCAAAAAGAAACAAAATTCATCGGAAACGCCCAAAAAATCCGATCGAAGTTTATTGGACATCATTCAGGATGATAACACTACTAGTGCTTGTACTGATGATGACAAGGAGAAAATTTCCTTGTTTGATTATTTGACAGAAGTTGAAGAAGAAAACCTGTCGTCGGATATTTGCAATTCGTCATTACCAACGTCACATTCAACAAAAGAAGATCAACAATTAATTTCTGAGCCCGTCATGATGGTAAACAAGGAAGAAGTGGACACTTCAATCGTTGAACAGAAAAAAGAAGATCAAAAACTAGATACTGTTCAAATTACCATTGAAGATGAGTGGGAAATTGTCGATCTGCCAAATGTCAAATCTTCTTCGCCAAAAACTGCAACTAGGAACGTTCCAGAACCTTCTGAAACACATCTACAAGTTCATTCCGATTCAAAGAGGGATTCCATCGAGTTATCAGTCAATCAAGAAGAGTTTAGTCAAGTTTACAAGACTGTATCGTCAGTGTTAAAAAAGAAACATTCTCCAACCAGTGTTGAAGTCACCAAAGATTCGAATCATCTCAATACTAGTCACGAAGAGTTTGATTTGGCTGAAGAAGAAACTGCTTGGACTTGGACCGATGTTGTGAGTGACGAAGAAAATGACGAAGAAGAGGAAGAGGAGCAAGATGAACAAGATCATGCTCGAGAGAGTCTTTTGAGAGAAGAGTTCATTCCAACCACATGTGTGTCGCCATCCGCGAAGAAAGGTAGACCTGATTGGGCAACCCCAAGACGAAGAACAATTGAAAATGGATGAAATGAAAAAGATGAATGAAAAACGAAAGAACATCTTGTCTGAAATTTTAACTACCGAAGAATATTATGTGAAAGGTTTAATCATCTTGACAGGTGTTTACAAGAAGCAAATCGAACAAAAGAAAATTGTGGATCCCAAAATCTTAAAAATCATTTTCCAAGATGTTGAGATTGTGAACAATGTAAATCAAAAATTTTTAGAAGAATTGAGAAAAATTTATGAAAAAGAAAAGAGTTTGATTCGAAATTTAGATCCACATCAGCAACAGCAAGTACAATCAAGTTTGGGAGAATTACTCAACACATATGCTCATTCATTTAAATTGTATTCGAGTTATATTGCAGGTTATAAGAAGGCAGCTGCCACGTTTTCTGAAGAAAAGAAAAGGAATAAGAAATTATGTAAATTATTAGATTCCATCAAACAATTGTTGAAGCAACAGGGAGAGAGAATTACAAACATGGAGAGCTATTTAGTGACACCTATTCAGAGAATTCGTAAGTATGACATGTGACAGACCATGTAATAATGCAACATCATTTTTTCACAAACAGCCCGGTATCGATTACTTGTCGAAGATCTCGTCAAGCACACTCCTGACAATGATCCAACTCGACCAAAACTCATTGAAGCTCTCGAACTGATCAAATCCATTGCCATCTATGTCAATGAAGCAGAAACTAAGGTAGAGAACATTCAAGTCACTTCTCATATGGTTCACAAATTTAAGCTAAAAGGTTTCATCCGACCATCTAGATTTATTATCGACTATTGGTCACAAGAAAATAGCGCTTCTCCCTTTATTCAATGCCGAGTCGATGGAAAAATTCTAAATTGTGAATTATACATTTTCAATGACGTTCTCGTTTTACACAAAAATTATGATAGTTTTTTATATTCGAAAGTAGATATTTATTTTACTCGAAAAGGATACAAGCAAACCACAAAGCACATGATTAAGGATGTGAAAATTACAACTGCTACATCATCCAATCCTCGAGCAAGTTTGAGCAATAGTGGTGGAAATATTCAGTGTGACACCACACTAGTTAGCATTTCTTGGAATTATGAAAATTCACATTCTACCAAAGAATTGACCTTCCTCACAACCTCCATGGAAGATGCCACGCGATTAGAAAATTCTTTACGAAAATCTGTAGATTAACTGTTTTGTGGTTGTCACGTGTTTCCAATGAAACAGAGAAAAGAGTAATAATATCCTTTTTTTGACAAGTCTCGTCATCCATTTTTTTTAATCCAAATAGGGCGTCAATCATACAGTGCCAATCTTGGATTTTAGTTCACTACAATGGGCCCATTCGAACGTATTTCCTCTTTCATCGAGAAATATTCTCGAACAGGATTCTAACACATTCTCTCTTCGCCTACGAGTATTTCCTTTTCCAAAATGTCGTTCAATGATCAAAATGCATTGACGGAATTCAATGACCATCTTGAAGATTGAATGCACGCACGCTTCAGAGGTGACAGTGTTGCTTCGAATGAATGTCAAAAGGAAACAGCAGAAACAACACCCAATTACCCAAATTGGATAATTCTCCTTCCTTATAGAGCTTAAAGAGAGAAGGAGCATGAACAAGAGTAGAATCAATGTCGTCAGTTGAACAAGTACAACGAAAAAAAAACCACCACCACTACTGTTTCATACCGCTACGGACACGTGATCCTTGATTATAGAGCCAGCACTTTTCAGTTGACTATTTCATTAGACTTTTTACTTTTCTAAATAGAGAGAATCCTTTATCGAACGTAACTAGTTGATCGTTCCTATTAATGATTTCAAGTAGACCCATCATGACCTCAACGATTTCCAATTTGTTTTCTCTTTGGTCTTCCATGGTTCAGCAGTTATTGGAGTCCATCAATATTTCCGAATCGGAAAAACCTCCTTTCCAGGCACATCGGCTCAGTAGATGCTCCTCTTCTTCTCCAATATTGTGTTCCTCTTCCTCATTGGTTGAAGAGATGGAGAAGGCTTTTGCTGAGCAACAACTCAATGATGAAGAACAAAGCAACAAGTTCATGAACGAAGACAGTAACCAACAGCAGACCGTTGGCTCTCAAAATAATTGTTGCTCTCGAGGACAAGACGACATTGTTCCAATGATACGAAAGGGTCTTTCAAGTACTAAACCAACAGATGAGGAATTGATGCGATTATGGTCGTACTCGTTTCCACCCACTCGAGGGCTGTGGATCCTTGTCAATGATTTTGTTGAAACGTATTGAGAGAGAAGACCTCAATTTAAAGGAAGCTGAAGAAGAATACATTCATTGTTGGTTCTTATTGAACTGAAGCGCTTGCAGAGTAATTATTGTAAAGCATGGAATATGGATGAGACTACCGTTTACAGCAACTGAAAGGAGCGTTCTTTCATGATTACGGTAAGCTTCGTCATGTCTCAAACGCGTTACGAATAGAGATTTTCCATGGTTTACAGACAGAAGCTTCATGTCCAAAAGCCATTTAGAAATAAACTAAGTTCATTGTTTCAAAACAGGTACTTGTAACTAAAATCAATAAGGGGCGTTACAAGGATCACGGCAATAAACAACATCGTGTACCGTCGTTCAGAATGCGAGCTCATGGTTCCCAAAATGCTTCAATTTTTTGTCCAAATTGGGGAGCAGAGGCAAAAACACAACCAAAAAACAAAACCAAATCTTCGTTGTTGCTGTTCTTTCTTCCAACAAACCTTCATTCTCTTGCACTGCAGTTTCATTGGTCAGTTGAGTTGGACAGTTATCCAACTCGAACGCTCTCACACAACAGACTGCTCCGTTGAGTTCTCCATGCGTTAGAGCAGTTCAAACAACACATGCAGTTGCTTCAACAAAACACAACCATCTTTGTGTATTTTCTTATTGCATGTGTCTGTCGTACAGCTGATCAGTGAACAGCAACAACAATTACTAAAAAGAATCCGCTTGACAACATCACGTAATGCCTGCTCGTTCTAGTTCAAATTGTTTAGTATGGACAATACGAGTCTTGTTTCGATTAGTAAGAGCTGTGCTGGGCGTGTTGTTTCTCATATTTTCAGCTATTCAACAAGTGAATGAATTATCAACCTTTGATGAAATATGTAAACCCACAACAAGCTTGGATAATCATGTTGATGATGATGAAGACGATATGGCTTTGATGGATAATGTACTTGCAATGAGAAACCGTCATGATCGTTCTTCTTCCTTTCAAGGAATGAATGAAACGATTCCTCTTCATCATCGCTCACTGGAATTCATGACCAATTCTCAGCCGTTCATAACGGAAGAAGAAGAAACACTTCCTTCGGATGTTGCATTCATCCGTTCAGAGAATATACTCTCAACAACGAGGGCTGTTCAGAGAATGAATAGGAAAAATTCTGAAATCATCGAAAAGGAAGATGAAATTGAAAACTTGAAACATTCTCTTTCAAAATTCACCTTTCCTTGAACTCGATATCTTTTCATCCGATGATGAAAGGAATCCACAACGACATGTTGAACGCATGGAAGGCTGTATTTTCTTGTTGCATGTGCTTCTACTACAAGTTACTAATAGAGAACAAGTACCTTCCATTCTGAGAGTGCCTGCAGTCATGGCGCAATTTTATTGATCATCTGAAAGAACATTCTTTCAACCAGCCAGATGATCAACATAATACAGGTGTTGTATTTATTTCTCCTTAAATAATCACAGGCCTCAAAACAAACTGCATCTGTTCCAAATATTGAATATTGTAGATACAATTCTTCTTTTATGGAAGCTCCCAAAACCATACCGAGACAACTTTGGCCATTTTCATTTTTCAACACATCAACCTTCTCTCGCATAACTGAATTTTACAACGACTTGTTGAAACTAATCTCAAATAAAAACGTGCACCCACTCGTAGTCGATTGAATCACTTCCTACACAACTACTGCGACTATTTCATTGTTGTATCATTAACGCTCAGCTCCAGGACACGAGAATATATTCCTCATCAACATGAAAGAAGAAGTAGTCAAGAAGAATCAAATCCTTCTGATGGATGGTCGTAATGAATATGAATACGATGAAATTGATGAAAGTACTTGTCCCGAGAATGTACATGCATCATCAACATTCGATACGGTATCATCCATGAACCATTTTGAATCAAATCATGGTAATTCATCGTCTGGTTCACCTACATGTGATTTTTCATCACCCCAAAAGCATCCGAATGAAGAGGCACACGTAGGAAACACTTTTACATGTTTGAGACATGATGATGTTTACCGGAAAATTGGTTCCATTCAGGGAGCAAAACATCATGAACTACAACAAGAAAAAGAACACATCAAGTCCATGACAAGCGACAGTAAAGAGGCCTCCTCGCATCTCAAAACACCAGAAGAAAAACAACGACATTATTCATTGGTTGAAATGTTGTTTTCATTTCTTTCGTTTTGGTTTCATCTGTTCTTGTAATATTCAAGCAGTTGCAAACAATCTCGCCTCTCGGTTTTGATGCTTTCCAACGAAACAGCATGTTGACAATGGAAACAACAGAAGAGCTGACTGAAAACAACAACATTCAGCATTTATCGACTCATCAAACACATCAATAAGGAGCGATCATGATATCTCTTCCAATTTTCGTTCGACCACAACAAATGCAGCTAGTGGACGAAAAAGCAGTCTCGTGCTCTTTATTGATGACAGCAATCCTCCTCTCATCACACATAATGAATCGACTGAATTTCATCCTCCTACTCTCTCTAAAAAACTATCAATAAGTTTACTAGAAATTGACAATTCTAATAGTTCTAATGCAACTCAATGCGCTACTACCCTTAATCAACCACTACCCTCACTTGAAAAAGTGTCACCCCGAAAATCCGTCTCAAAATCTCCAACTCTTTCTAAAATACCATCTTACACAGGACGCTCTATCAGTCCTGACCTAGATCCTGAGCAATTGTACAAACATCAACGAGATGAAATGATATACTTAAGCATCATTTAAATTGTTTTAAATTTCCTCAAATCTATGATGAGGAAGAATAGGTGACAACAACACAAGATCAAATTGTAAAGGGCACCTCCATTTTTTGTATTTGTGTCTTGCCTAAAACTCGTCTTCTGACTTCACTGTTCCAATCTTAAAAAGTGTCGCTTGACTTCTTTTTCTGGGCAGTACGCGTCACATGCGAGTTTAAATTTGTAGAAGACCCACAAACAGAAAAGAAATGCTAGTATCCATGCTTGACCACTGTCATCAACAACACAACAGCAATCCACAGCCAACAATGACGAATGGCCTAGAAAACTGGTTACATGACTCGTCATCGATGACAAGTGGCAGTCAATCCCACAACACATTCATCATGGTCATCCAACATCTCTTGTTTTCCATATGGCTTATCATACTTTCACTGTACCTTATTGTGTTAGCGCTGTGGTTCGCAAGGAAAATTCGAAGATCCAAATTATTACGATCCATACCCACCACAAATCATTGCAAAGACATGTTCAACAATACGAGCATGAATCCCAATATGACATGCAACTCCTCGTTCGTCAATACAAATGACACAACCATGAGAATGTCATCATCACCATCAACAACCACAAGAGACTCATCTTTCAAACAACAACAACAACCCACGACACAAGAAAATTCAGAGACTATTTTGTGTTATTTACATCCTGATTTTTATACAACACCAACGTCAAGCAACGAGAAGATTGGTCGATTCTCTGCACAATTTTCCATTGCTTTCAATGTTGTGACCAAAGACAACAAAAGTAACAAGTATTTAGAGGGTTTATTTACCCAAACACATGCAGACCATTTGGATGATGTCTTGACTTTCGACACTCACACTCCTAGAAATGAATCAAGTTATTTCATTCCTTCACATACATGCCGAACGAGCACATCAAGATTTTGCATGGCTTGTTTGAGGGATGTACTACAACGATATCGATTTCCATACTTCCTTCCCCATGCTGTGTGAATATTGAACAATAAACACATAGAATTTGAAAGAAAATTGGGCAGATAAGATTTCATTCAGAAGCCATAATTGTAAAGGATAAAATTGGGTTGTTTCCATTTTTATTCCTCTTACTCAATGTCGATCCTTGTCAACATCTTGTCATTCAATTATTACTGGGATACTGAATTGTTTTTTCGAGAGTGATCATCATTATCAACTTTCCCAACTATTATGATCCATCTGTTCAAGGTTTAAACAACCTTCTCGGTCATCAACCTTCCCATCAAGTCACTAATCAAAAAAAAATGTTTCAATTCCGAAGATCAGCAAGGACAGCCACACTGTTTTTCGTGGCAACTCTCCTCCTTGCCGTTATTACCTGCTCATCCATTCATGCTCAACTCGCTTCCACAATTCCAGGATCATCTCCTCAAGTCGAACAACAATCCTCCATTCAATTCGGAGCTGAATCTCTCCATGCCGGTGCTGTGGTTCCCAACAACAAGACTATGGTGTCGAAGAAGATTTAGAAAATGAAAATATTTCTCTCTCCGAACTTGTGAAAAGATTATCCAATGGAGGATCTTCTCCTTTGGAACATCAATCGGATTTGTTTATGAGAAAAATTCCATTCGATGATCCCAAGCACGTTCAAGAATTGGCTCAATTATTGAGTAGTAGAAAGGCCAGAAATTTGAAGAGAGTGGTTTTCAATAAGAATGGGCCTGAGAAGGAAAATCCCAATGTCCTCGATTCGGAAATGTTGGGAATTTTGATTGAGAATGGATTTTTGAAACAAGAGGCAAATTCTTCTCAACTCGAAGTGATTGGAATTACTTCGAATAATATTACGGATGAAAGTTGTTTGATTTTGAGCAAGTTAATTTTCAAGAAGGACAGTGTTGTGAAAAAGTTGTACTTGTATAATAATAATCTCCAAGGATCGAATTGTTTGAGATTGATTTTCAATCCAATATTGAGCAGTCAAAGTATCGATACCAACAAGATGACCATTCCACCTCTCTCCAAGATTGTTATTTTACACAACAATATTGGTGATGAAGGTGTGAAAATTGTGACACAAGTCGCTCGATCCATTCCAACCATTCGTGATTTGATTTTGAAGAAAGTTGGCCTCGGAGAAGATGGTTTAGTGGACTTGTCAAAATTCATTTTGGAGCGCCCTCTCAACTCACTTCGTTGGACATTAGTGAAAATGACAAGATTACTCCTAGCCCATTTTCTGTGTTTATGGAAGCTGTTGAAAAGAGTCAAATGCAAATATTGATTATTAATGAAATTGGATTGAAAGGAAAAGATTTTGTCGATCCACTCATCAAGCTCATCAAAAACAATAAGAGTATTCGAAAGATTGATTTGAGTGACAATCGAATTGGTGATTCTGGTGTGAAAAGTGTTATGAATGCCCTTTCTGAACCCATTTCTTCTGAAGGAGGTTCCCCTACTTATCCATTCCTTTCCAAGATTGATCTCTCCAATGTTGGTCTCACTGGTGATGGTATTCGTGCCATTATTGACGCTGTGAAAAAGAATTCCTCTCTGAAAAAGGTCTATATTTATCGAGTGGAATTTTTCTTTGAAGATCCAACGATTGAAGCAGAAGTGAAACAATTAGGAAAGGTGATCAAATCGGATTTCATTGATGAAGATGTTGTAACCACTTCGAATAATAGTGGTGATTCTCAAGAAGAGAATGCTTCTAATGAAGATGGTGAAGTCATGGATGATCAACAAGAAGCACAAGAAGAGGAAGAAGAAGAGGAAGATAATGCCACTGAAGAGGAATTGAAGGCACATCCATTGTTTAGTGCTACTCCAGGACAAACTAAGAAGGATGAATTGTAAGCGCGTTGAGGAAATGAATGCATCTAAAAAGAGATGAAAATTTACAATAAACAAAATTTGAAAAAATTAAGAGGGCAAAGAGCTCTGATTAAGGCTTTGAAAGGATCAAGACGACCTTGGGTTGATAACAATTGTTTTCATGATGATTGAGAGAATAGTTTTACAGCTTCTTCACTAGGGACATAACAAGATTCGTTGTTATGAGACTTTGAAGGGATGAAACTTCATACAATGGATGAATCGGAAATACACTACTCTATGCCCGATAGTCTCTGGCGTTACCGGCAATTGTGTAATTACCCTTGTTATGGTCATGACCTTCAACATGCCCGTCTCGATTTGAAGTGCGGATTTTCAAAGGCATCATTCTACAACCAAATCGTCAGGTCTGATCTCGAGGTCTACACTGCTTCTAGGGGTGGGTACCAAAATTTCTTACTTCCGATTTTTGATTTGTCCCACTATGGTAAATAGGAATTTATTTAAATAACAACATTATTTGAAATTCAATGAGAGATTTTCTCGAGTGAATCAAGTCAAAAGAATTGGAATAACACGCTAATACAATCTTGCTGCAAGCCTCAGTGAGAATACTTTTATCAATAATAGTCCTCTCTTGTATCGAGCAGCACACTACTCAGCTGAGAAGCATCCTCACCTAAAATCCATACACCTTTTTGAAACAGCCTTTGTGGTGTCTGTAATTAGTTCATTTCCAAAGAATCGACTTGGTTCGAAAATAAGAGATGCAACCTCAACACCAAACCTCTGCGGAGTATCAGCAAGATCCTCAAGAGAATGACCACACGATCAATCCTATTACTATTGAGAATAACGAATATGCTGTAACAGCAACAATTTCAGCTTACTCCTCGTCGGAATCGATTGATTTGGGAGAAATGGCTCCTCTGGAAACCCAAACACACTTACAACATGAAGAAGTAGAATCTACAACACGTTCAACATCTATCGATGAATCTCAATCAGAACAACGATCCGTTCATCCATCAGTACATTTTGCTCCATCAACAGAAGACTCTTCTTCTCAACACAACAACCATAACAATTTAAATCATCACCAAACCTCAAAACAGCATCATACGGAGCACCATCCTCAACATCATGAAACCATTCTCGACCGACTGGACGATGTGTTGGACGTGCTTCACAATGAGAATGTACTTCCAAGCGTACTCATTGCTGAACACATCGCAAGACATCCACAGCTGAAGATTCACCTTCTCAATCGAAAGTTTGTGACAATGCCGATCTTGTGGTTGATCATACCACCAGTATGCCTTCATCGACAACAACATCAGAGGTCTCCGTTTTGGAAAACAAGTTGGAATCGTCCTACAACGACCTTAAAGTAGCAGAAAAAGAAGAAGGAACGTCTGAGACAGCTCCAAAATCAGCATTTGCTAAGGCTCTTCTCAGAAAGAAAATAATTAATTTGATTCTCTTCTTTTTGGGAACGATGTGCTTTAAATTTTCTTATGAAACGTTGTCAGGTGCCATTGGTTTGACCATTCTGACTCGATTGGAAGGGCACCCTGTTGGAGCAACCACAATTTTGAGTTTATTGACCATCACTTTTGGAATTTCACAATCCATTTCATCAACCTTGTGGAAGGATTGTTGAAGAGTATTCGTGCCACACGATTGTACAGCATGGCTCTTTTATCGTTTTCTGTTTTAATTTTAATCATGATCATTTTGGAAGCAACTACTGGAGGAACCTTGACTCAGGCTGGTTACTGGACTCCTTGGATTATTTTTCCAATTTATGTTTTCCTTGGATTTTTCATTGGAGGTGAGTATTTTGACTTGTTTGAATTGTACATGAAGTAACCGATTTCTTTGTACTAGTCATTGAGTTGTACGAAAAATTATCCCAGCATCAATATTGGGAAACACTAAATCAGTTACACTGAAACGATTGAATGCAAGTATTCACATTATTTATGAAGTAGCAGGAACTGTGGGCGCTTTTCTATCAAGTGTTTTCATTGAGAAACTCGGCTCTGTATATGCTCTTTGTCACATTCCTTTCTTCTTCACCTTAGGAGCTGTTTTCTCTTCTTTATCAGCGTTAAGGGTCTGCAACAATCAGACGAACCAACCGTCAACACCTCAACTTCGACAACAGACGTATCAAGCCTCGGCACGCGACGTCCATCATTTTCTCAGAGATTCAAGTCTGGTATGAAGAGATTTGGAGTAGCTATTAAGAATTATTTCAAGAGCATGTTCATTGGAGCTAAAATTGTTCTCAGCAATCGATATTACATTTGGCTCATTCCATGTTTTGTTTTGCCACAAACACTTCACAGATTGATTGAAAACATATTTCTTCCAGCTTATGCGAAAATGATTTTGAAGAAGGGAAGTTATTCTGGAATCATGTTGGGAGGATCAAATTTTGGAGAATTGTTGGGAGCAGGATTATTGTTCTTATTGGCTAAAAAGGTGAAAAAACCAACCATTTGGATCATTCTTGATGCTGTGTTTTTAAATTTGATGTGGATTTTCCCATTCCTTACTTTTGATGAAAAGACAGACAATAATTTAATCTTTGCATTTGTATTGTTCCAGCCATGGTGTTGACTTCTGGTTCCTACGCAGCTGGAGATTGTACACAAGTGGCCTATATTCAATCTACTATTTCAGATGAAGTCAACGAGAAGAGTGGAGTCAACGAATTGGCAGCTGTGATGAGTTTCTTATACTCATGTTACATTATTATCACTACCTTTGTGGTTTTCGGACTGTCGCAAGGAATTGATCGATTCAATGCTGAAAAGAGACCAGAATTGGATTTATGACAATTTGTATTGTCTTGTCTGTCTTATCCGTAATAATTTGTGCTGTCTACCTTCTTTTTGCTAAAATCAAACCAACTCCAGAAGAGGAAGCAGAACAACAACAAAAGCAAGCTGAAATGAAGGAGCTGTCAGAAAATCCCATTAAGGACGATTCGAACAACGGCACATTCACAGAGCTAGCTCCAAAAGATGAAACTACAGTGACCGTCACTGTTTAACTTTTGGGGTTTCTTCCGTTTAATGTATTCCATTCTTCATTGACGATCCATGTTCGAACCCCTGGTCACTCAAAACCCTAGTTGTGACCATAATAAATTTACAAACCTCATACGCCCTAGCTTTTTTGGTTGGGACCTCGAAAGCGGTTCAAACGAGCGGCTTGTTGGAAGAAGTCAATATCCAAGTAAAAGTGAACGAAAACCTGATCAATGAATCGCAAGACACCTGTGTCGTCAAGTAGAACAGAAAGCCAAAAGACTTTGAACACTGTTGAGAACGACATATCAAAGGATAACGATGCTTCGATATCCAAACTGGAACAAATACAAAAGAAACACGCTGAAGCGAAACTTCACTCGGATCCGAATACAGAATCAGAAGAACACCAGTCCTCTATGATGGATCATCATATGAATAATAGCAAAAAGAACATTTGCTCAAATCGATATTATCTCAGGGTTGAGAATGAGGACAATGAATCAATAACAAACGAGCAAGATCATCAACAGGAAAAGAGGAATGAATCGAGCATTCAAATTTCGGAGGAACATCAACTCAACGCAGAGCCCTCGGCAACTATTTCACAACTTATTGCTCCGAACAATCAGTATCGTCAAGAAGTAGATACACATGACAACCATCCATATGAGGAAACAATATTGGATTACTTGGACGACGTGTTGGATGTGTTTAACGAGAATGTTTTACCAACAATGCTACGGACTGAACATCAATTAAGACATGCTCGTTATCCTCCATCGGCAACGACAAGATCATTTTCAGAAGATGCACCCTCTCATTCCATGGTTGGAGACAGTACCGATGTAGTGGTTCATGAAGTATCATTTTCTTCTTCGTCCTCGTTGGAAAGCTGTTGTGAAGATGTGACGTATATTTCACCATCAAATTTGCAACTTGTTGAAGAAACAAGTAAGAATGAAATTAAGGAAGAAACGTTTAGGGAAGATCAGGCAAAACCTTCGAAAGGTACCAACAGGAAACAAATCGTGAACTTGATTTTATTTTTATTGGGAACGATGTGCTTTAAATTTTCATATGAAACATTGTCAGGTGCCATTGGTTTGACCATTCTGACTCGTTTGGAAGGGCATCCTGTTGGAGCAACCACAATTTTGAGTTTATTGACCATCACTTTTGGAATTTCACAATCCATTTCATCAACCTTGGTGGAAGGATTGTTGAAGAGTATTCGTGCCACACGATTGTACAGCATGGCGCTTTTATTATTTGCTTCTCTCATTATTACAATGATTGTTTTGGAAGCAACGACTGGAGGAACTTTGTCACAAGCTGGTTACTGGTCACCTTGGCTTATTTTTCCAATTTATATTTTCATTGGATTTAATATTGGAGGTGAGTTTTTGACATTTAAGAATTGGTGTCAGTCAACATTTGCCTAAACAGTGATTGAGGTCGTGAGAAAGGTCATTCCAGCATCTATTTTGGGAAATACAGAATCCTCTACCCTAAAACGATTGAATGCCAGTATTCATATTATTTATGAGGTTGCTGGAACTGTGGGAGCTTTTCTCTCTAGTGTTTTTATTGAGAAACTAGGATCAATTTACGCGTTGTGCACATGCCACTATTCTTCACTTTTGGTGACATTTTCTTATTCTTTATAAGTTCCAAGAACGCAATTACAGAAGAACAAGAATGTTCAGATCAGTTCGACCTTTCTCCTCCAACTGAAAGATTTATTTTGTTGAGAAAGTTTGGAGTAGCTGTTAAGAATTATTTCAAGAGCATGTTCATTGGAGCTAAAATCGTTCTCAGCAATCGATATTACATTTGGCTCATTCCATGTTTTGTTTTGCCTCAAACTCTTCACAGATTGATTGAAAACATATTTCTTCCAGCTTATGCGAAAATGATTTTGAAGAAGGGAAGTTATTCTGGAATCATGTTGGGAGGATCAAATTTTGGAGAATTGTTGGGAGCAGGATTATTGTTCTTATTGGCTAAAAAGGTGAAAAAGCCAACCATTTGGATCATTCTTGATGCTGTGTTTTTAAATTTGATGTGGATTTTCCCATTCCTTACTTTTGATGAAAAGACAGACAATAATTTAATCTTTGCAATTTGTATTGTTCCTGCCATGGTGTTGACTTCTGGTTCCTACGCAGCTGGAGATTGTACTCAAGTGGCCTACATCAATCTACAATTTCAGATGAAGCCAATGAAGAAACAGGGGTGAACGAATTGGCTGCCGTAATGAGCTTCTTATATTCCTGCTACATCATCATTACCACATTTATTGTATTTGGCTTGTCACAAGGACTTGATCGATTTAATGCTGAAAAGAGACCAGAATTAGGTTTCATGACCATTTGCATTTTACTCACCGTGTTATCATTTATCATTTGCGCTCTGTATTTACTGTTTGCGAAAATTAAGCCAACACCAGAAGAGGAAGAATTAGAACGAAAGAATCAAGAAATGCAAGTTCTTTCAGGAGTGGTATAAAACGCCACACAATACCAAGAGAATTCCAACCATGTTCAGCATGTAAATGTTTAATCTTAATATTAAACGATGATGAACTAGTGTTGGATCTGAATTTTCACAACACAATTCGATGAAAAAAATGAGCGGCGCCAAAGTCCAACTTGTGTGTGGAGATCTCCACAGCCACCGGACCAATGATGATCTTTTGAAATTATATTCAAAATTAACAATCAAGATGAGATTACAACATAAACACAGAAGAATGCATCCATTTGCAATGAAATCGGAAATGATCCAAAAATTCAGCCCAAAGAAGTTGATGTTCCTCCTCCGGGAATTGATCCGTATCATGATTATGTTGATAATCGCACAGATCCGTCCGATGTAAAAATTTCTTATAATTTACAGTGTATTTTAGTCAGCGATTATGAACAAGCAAGTATTGTATGTTATGACTTGAAAACAAGAGAAGAGCTCAAAACAATTTATATCTCAACAAGACAAGTAAGACATTTGTGTATTGAAGAAAATGAAATTGATGATGCATTGATATTTGCGAGTAGTACTTTAATACTCAAGTATGATTTGAGACGGTTACTTGCATTACCTGAAAAGCGCGTCCAATTAAAGATACAAACACAACCATTCTACCTTTGGAAAAGTGAAGCATGTAAATGGGCCCAAGGAATTGCAATTCCATATCATTCCAAAGCATCATCTACAAAAACGGTATATGTCTGTGATATTGCTTGTAACACAATTGTGCAGTTAAATTTACAAAATGGAGAACTCATTTCGAAAATTCCTATAGATCGACCTTTTGGGCTTGCTTTTTCTCAGCCATGGACTAATTTTACAGCAGCAGAATACATGATTGTTACTCAAGTAGAGCCAAAACACACGATAACCATTTTTCAAAGGGAACAAGATGTTGAAGGTGGAGACAAATGGAATCATTTCAAAACATTAGGAAAACTTGGTAGCCTAAATGATGAATTACGAAATCCATGTGGTGTAGTGTGTGATCATAATAATGGAACTATTATTGTAGCAGATTGTGACAATGCACGAGTTCAAATAGTTTCATTGCAGAATTTTGAGTGGATTGCAAGATTTGGTAAACCAATGTCTACATCCCCGTCTGATCACTACATTAGCATGGAGCCATTATCACCTGAAACATCGTTTCATTTTACGTATTATCCTTATGGTCTATGTCTTAACGAGTTGACAGGAGAGTTATTCGTATGCGAAAGTGAAAATAAATTTGAATAGGAGATTTACGAGAGTACTCGAGGGGAAATTCTAGAATGAGCTGTAATTGCAACCATTGAGTGAGCTCAATATTTATTCCATCATCGTACTCAACAGGATGAGCTCATTGTTGAAACATTCAAAAGTGTCGATTCAGTGCAACGAATGAATATTCAAACAACATCGTCATTGATTGTGGAGGAATTTTCAATCACTTGATCGATCATGGCATTCAAAATCTTTTTTCCTCTTCTTGCGGGAATGTCAGTTTCCCTCAAAACACATCCATTGCGTTTCATGCAAATACCAAGCGCAGTCTCAATCACAGATCGACCATCTTCAACTGTGAAGCAAGGAGCTTTCATTTGACATCCATAATAATAAAATCGTTTTTTGCATCTTTTAAATACAGATCCAAGATCCATGCAATCCAATTTACAAGCGACACATTCAGAGAGTCGTTTTCCAACAAAGAATTGTCTATGAATGAGAGAAAGGTTTGTTGGACCTGTCACATTGAAACGTTTTGGTTTGGATCGAATTACTTCTTTTGCGAAAGGAGAGAGCTTCTTTGTTGCACTTGTTGTTTGTCGTTTGGCTCTTCGTCTGTTGTTGCTTTTGAAATGATCTTGTTCATGATTGAACTCATGTTTGACTTGTCTTTCTTCATTATTCATTGACGGATTTCTGTCAGACCTTTCATAATCTTGATGATATTCCCTTATTGTCTCTTCTTCTTGCCTCTCTTCATGTCTTTTCCTTCGATCAGCTTCCACTCGAGCCGAGGCAGCTTTCAAAATATCCTTCTGCATCATGTATTGTTCATCCACATCCAATGGATTTGAATCCTCAGAATTGAGAACCACAGAATATCCCTTGTTGAATCGACCAAGATAATCATTCGAGGATGGTTTACGACATTCACTTGAAGTCGCATGTACAACCATATTGTTCTGTTGAATATGGTTCAAAGACATTATGATCAAGGACATGCAGATCCAACATCGAGTCAATAATAACAAGAATACTCTTGAGGAGACTGGTGTAACATCACAGCCTCCATGTCGTGCACTCATTTTGTTTTGAACTGAGTTAATCCAGGTGTGGCGGAGGAACTCGTGTCGTTGCACAAACAAGCGTGTCAGATGCAAGCCGAATCCAACGAAAAGCAGGGAATGAAACATCAAACGCCTCTGTTATTGCCATGCCGAATAATTAAAAAGGGTGATTTAGCCTTTTTGAATGGTCATCATTTTAACATACACACAAGTCATCTTGGCACGATTCGCACGTGATTTGCTTGTGTTGGAATCAATTTTGCTTACCTTCGAATGATTGGTTTCGAAAATAGCAAAATAATTGTTCCAACATTTCATTGGATCTAAATAAGGTGTTGAAAATCACCACGACGTTCAAAAAAAGTTGAAAAATCATTCGATGACAACCATCATTTTGTTTTTTGTAATTTTACATGATTTTCAGCATGTACAAATGATTGTCCGGAATCGTGTCATTCACTTTTGTCTTGCTATCGCATAACAAACACTACCCGCAAAGATTCGTTCCTGAATTGCTTTAATTTCGTTGAGATAAACGCCATTTCCCAACTACAGTGTGGTATGGATCATTGTTCACAAGTTCATTCACAAAAAGCTTCCAGCTGAGACCTTTCGTATCAAAATGGTAGTCGAGTCATTGCAATTTTTATCCATTCCCATTCAACTCATGTCATCTCTCACTGATTCCAATCTCACACACTCGAGTCATTGGCAAAAGTCATTGCCACTCACAACACAACGCAAAAACAGCAGCGAAACAAAAAATGAACAAGTCCACAGTGATCTCTGTGATGGTTATGGCCACACTGGTCATGATCATGTTATCATGGACATCCAATACACACGCACACTCTTTGCGTAGTGAACTTTCTCAACTTGCTTCGATCAAAGCAAGATTAGGAAACAAGTGGAATCCAAGAATTTACTTTTCAAACCGAATTAAACGAATTGCAAGAAAGTTTTCAATTGCCATTCCTCGTAAATGTAAGAGAAGAGTCATCACGGTGGATGAAATTGAAAAGATTAGAAAACTCTCGAAATGTGAATTTTCATCATCGGGTGATAACAAGGATGACGACAAGATTGATTTACCACCCTTGCCACCTGTCAAACCAAAATGTCCGCTTTTTGCTTGCCGTAAACATTGCTTCAATGGATTTGAAAGAGATAGTTCTGGATGCCAAACATGTAAATGCAAACCAGAGAAGAAACCTGAATGTCCTCAAGTGAAATGTTCTTCTCGATGTAAGAATGGTTATGTCAAAGATGAAAATGGATGTCAAACATGTCAATGCCAAAAGAAACCATGTCCAGTGTTGATGTGCTTTAGAGCATGTCCAAATGGATATGAAAGAGATGAGAACGGTTGTGTGACTTGTGGTTGCAAGCCATCTGACAAGCCATCAGATAAACCATCAGACAAGCCATCAGACAAACCATCTGATAAACCATCTGATAAACCATCTGACAAGCCAACTGAGAAACCAAATGATCGACCATCTGATAAACCATCTGACAAACCAAGTGACAAGCCTTCAGACAAACCATCTGATAAACCATCTGACAAGCCATCAGACAAACCATCTGATAAACCAGATAGACCAGGTGATGATAGACCACCAAAACCATCTTGTCCTCTCTTCAAATGTGCTCCATGTCCATTTGGTTACAGAAGAAACGCAGACGGCTGTCAAACCTGTCAATGTTTGAGAAGAGTATGTCCAAAATATGGTTGTAGAAGATTTTGTAAGAATGGTTTCAAGATTGACAAACATGGTTGTCCAACCTGTGCCTGTAATGAAGTTCCTCAAGCATGTCCACAAAGAAGATGTAAAATGTATTGTAAACATGGATTCAAGACTGGACCTGATGGATGTGAAATTTGTTCATGCAAAACAAAACCAAGACCATGTCCACGAAGAAGATGTATGAGACATTGTTTCTTGGGCTTTAAGAGCGATTCGAAAGGATGTCCAACTTGTCAATGCAACACTCCAAAACCAAAACCACAATGTCCACAATATAGATGTCTCAGATATTGTCCAAATGGATACAAGTTCAATTCCAAGGGATGTCAAACTTGTTCATGCAAGCCACAAACTGAATGTCCATTGAGAAAATGTTCAAGACATTGCAAGAATGGTTACAAGAGAGATTCTAATGGTTGTGCCACTTGTACTTGCATTCCAGATACCAACAGATGTCCACAACGAAGATGTAAGAGACATTGCTTTGCTGGATTCAAGAATGATGAGAAAGGTTGTCCAACTTGTCAATGCAACATTCCTAAACCAACACCAAATACTTGTCGTCAATTCAGATGTCGTATGTTCTGTCCAGGTGGATATCGTTTGGATGCAAAGGGTTGTCCAACATGTAGCTGTAAGCGAACCATTCCTCCAGTAAGACCCCCAAGACCACCCGTGAGACCACCTGTTCGACCACCAGTTAGACCTCCTCGTCCTCCAGTGAGACCACCTTGGAGACCTCCAGTGAGACCATGGAGACCACCTGTTCGACCACCTTGGAGACCTCCTGTCAGACCTTGGAGACCACCAGTCGTGAGACCTCCTCGTCCTCCTGTTCGACCTCCTGTCAGACCATGGAGACCACGTGTACCAAGATGGAGACCAAGAGGACGTGGTCGTGGTGATCCTCACTATGTGACTTTGGAAGGAAAGGATGTTCTTTTCAATGGATTGGGAGATTTCATTTTAGCTGAAACTGCTGATGGTTCTCTCATTTCTCATGTTCGTATTGCCAAGTGGAACGGTGAAGAAGGTAGTGCTACTGTCAATAAGGGAGTTGCTGTCCAGATTGGAAATGACATTGTGGAATTCAGTAGTAGAAGTAGAAAATTCTATTTGAATAAGGATGAAGCTTCTTTCAAGATTGGAAAGAAGTATGAACTCGATGGAGGTTACTTATTGAGAAAGACCAAAAAGACCTTCTTGATTAAGGCCGACAATGGAGCTGAACTTTTCGCTGAAGTCTTTATCTTGCACGATGGAAGAAGTTATATGGATCTTCAAGTCGATGCTCCTGAGGACGTTGAATTTTCAAGAGGATTGATTGTGAATGGAAAGGATAGTGGCAAAGCCAGTGGTTTGTTCCGTACTCATAAGAGCCGAAGAATGATGAGAAAGACCAAGATTGATATTCCTCAATGGGCTACTGATCAATGTGCCAAGAGAGGATTGACTGGTAAGAGTTTGAAGGATTGTGCCTATGATGCAGCTGTGACTGGAAAGGAATTTGCAAGTGAAATTGCAAAAGATGAAGCTAAATTCAAGACAAGATCGGACCGAGTTGCCAAGAAGAAGAGTAATTGAATTGTGTTTTGAATAAAATTAGTCTCTTCAAAAAAAGTAGCCGTTATATTTTGTAAACTTGAAAAAAAATTGTGCTCTCACAGCTTGGAGATCATTCTTGCAACAGCCTCCTCGAGGAAATCCACATCAATCGTGAGAACGGATTGAAAGTACATTCCATCGCAATCACGTCCTGTTTTCATCTGGTCGACCTGCGTCTTGAATTCTTCAATTTTTTCTCGATTTAAGCCTTTCAACAAATTCATGGCATCCACTATTCCTTGAAGGATGTATCTCTTATTGCCAACATCATGATGATCTGTTCTATCATCCAAATTCACTCCAGTAACATTGGAAATGTACTCGCAAATTTGGGTAAGGTATGGATTTTCATGAATTAATTCGGGTGATGATGATGCAGAGCAA